GAGAAGAGAAAGAAAGAAAAGGGAAAGAGGGAGAAAAAAAAAATCGAAAATTTAAAAATTGACGCCTGCGGCTGTCAGCGGTTGCAGCGGGACAAATCGGTGTCGCATTGGTACCCCCTTGCCAAGTTGGGTTTTTACGTTTTGTGCCTGCCTCTATGTAACAGCTCCATAATTTACAGCTTCTTTTTCTCTCGATGCTCTTTCTTCTTTCATTGCCATTGCGCCTGCTGCCTGCGCTCTTTTTTTCCTTGGTATCCGCTCGGCACCTCTTGACTTGGGTAGTCGCGGTAGTCTACGGATAGAATGGCCGGAATGCCACATTAGGGTTAGTGTCGATCATTTTTCTGACCAGGACAAGGAAGGTCGAAGAAGATCCAGGATAAGAAAATGCACATACCCACCTATTTCTTCCCAATTGCTTCTAAAACTTCCATTGTGGATACCTTTCCTAATCCCTTCGCGCGCGGCAGGTGTCTCCGAGCGTCTTCAGCTGTCATTGTGTTCCCATGCTTTCTGCAGTCCCGCAGATAAGGAACTCAAGACAGGTTACTAATCAATGTACGTACATAGAGAGGAAATTGTATTCGTCAATTGACCCTCAATTTAGAAGCAAGATGATATCACCTTCAAGCATCAACTTCCAACCCCCTCTCTCTTGTCCGTACAACCGACGGCACTGCCCCAACTCGGCTTCCAACATCCAACGCTCGTATTCCGTGATCGTATCTGATACATGTACGTCAATGACATTTGGTATCACGGATACAGTATGTATTCGGCCACACAAGCTACGCAGGCTGCACTGGCTGCACAAGCTGCACAGTAATTGATCTGCTCACGTGGGGTCGTATACAGTTGCCGCCCTCCTATAAACGTGACAGACACTTATCCCGTCTGTTATACCATGCCACTCCCGTCCTTGGCCGTCCAGTGCCGTGAAGGACGTTGTGGTGATACCGAGCTCCGATCATTTCCCCGAACGTCTTAGTTGTGGAGTGATACGGTAGACACGACACATACATAGATCACCTTACATACATGGACTACATGGAAACAGAACACAACACCCGGTTCCGCGAATGCTGCTAACCTGCTAAGCTTGATGCGATGTTGATCAGCCGCTGTCTGCTTGCTGCTTATCCCAAAATGCACCACAGCCTGCACAACATCGTGTCATGGATAGACGTAGATGGCCGTAGATGGCCATGGATGACTAAATAGGAAATACTACCATGTGCATAATCGGATGGCACCGCTCAGTCGGTGACACCCAATTGGGCGACGGCGGACTACGGCCGACGTCCAGCGACAACCAACGACGGGCGGAGCGTCGAGAGTGAAACCCGGGAGAGGCGCAACCCTGCTAGATAGGGCGCCTAGCTATCCCTAGTCTCTGATGTGATATCTTCTAAAACCTGACACCATCTCTGAACCCGGTCACGATAAGGCCCACGATTCTCAGCACTAGCACGTCCCCTAGCACGTCCTAGCACGACCACGCCTCTGCGGCGTCCCGTGCGGGCCAGCTCCACCGTCTAGAACGTTGGATTTATCTTTCACTCTCATATCGTGTTACTACTTTTAGACCGCTTTCCTCCGTCTCCGGCCACAGAGATCAGTTGAGATCTCGAAGGCCCTAATTCCGTGGCTTCCAGACCACTGGGACGCGTGAACGTGGCTAAGATGTCCTAGAGATGACCGCGTCATCCAATAGTTCCGAGGCCGGAACATTGTTAGATCTCACGATATTCAATCCGAGAGGAAACCAACAGCTAAACATTTCGGTCGCCAGGAACGAGTCGCATGGTCACATAATCGTCAATGCTCTTTTTCCCTCTTTTTCTTTTCGAATCTCACTTATCGGCCCAATGGTCCACGTTGACCCACAGGCCCCTTAATTTGAAGTTATCCGTTCTAAGATCCCGCAATGAGCTTTTTCAGAGCTTAGCTCCCACATTATCAAAGCCCAATATCGTGAGAGATGCCCAAATAAACATGGTCGCAATCATCCCTCTTGATATTGACGCGTTCCACCGGATCGGCCCCTCCGCGACGAGGGATGGCTCTCCATGCATTTCGTATCACGGCGTTGAGTGCTCCCAGCATCTTTGAGACTTGAATTTGACATTGCCTATGCGGTTTACCGAGTCAGGGCCAAGCTGCTTGTCCATCAAACCCGACGTGGGATGGATATCAATACATGCAGCGAGAGAGTCAGCTTCCGCGACACGACAGTCGCCCCCAACTTCAGGACTCCACCCAAATAGATTCGGACAAAGTTATTAGGGAGACGTATCAACATAGCCGGGGCCTTCGTGACTACTTTATCGTCCGTGATCAGCACTTATAGTAATTGCCTATACGGTTCTAAACGAGACTTCAACGACCCAGAAGGTTGAAGGAGCAACGCTTTCCGTTAATTTTAAACGAGGACACTTTAACGGTTCGGAGATCGACGTTTGTAGTTCTATGGCAACACATAGCTATCTAGATTTTTTGTCAAGTTTAGGAATGGATTCTAGTGACGAAAGGTAGCAATGTAGTTACAATGTAGTTACACGAGGTGTATGACTCAGGTACGGAAAAGCACCCCTCCTCGACGAATGATCTAGGCGAGATGCAAGTCATTCTTGGCTCCTTATGGCAAATGCAATTCCCGGCGAGAAGTTTCCTGCCCGTTAGAGTTCTCGGCTGCCGTACCTGGCGCACATCTTCGAAGCGGATAGTGCCAGCTCAGACATGAAACCTACGCTCAACGTTACTCTACAGGAGTAACATGGAAAGCTGACTAACAAATAAAATCGGAAACTGGGAACGGTAGCTATCACTGTAGTATTTACCTGAAGATCATTATGCAAGATCATCTTGCCACGTATTATATGGTCGTTCGCCACGAAGTACCCTCTCTCAAGGTGCCTAGCTGCAGCGAAGTGAGAGCTGACATTTGTTGAACTGTACCTCAGGCTCCACAAACGATAATCCTCAACTTGCATAGGCGAGAAACCCAAAAAGTACGACTACGGATCGCGATGTATGTCTAAAGACACTTCGGATGCCAAGTAGTTCGGGAGCAATCGGCTGTTGCAGAGAAGCCACCCCAAGGAGTAATTGTCAATACCAGAAACCTTAGGTTTAGCTCGGGGACCGCAAAGAGGATCGAATGAAGTTTATCCGCGGACTATAAAGTTAGAGATAAGGGAGTAAGTTGCACATAATGTAGGATTTGATAGAGATTAATATATTTATGTGATTATAACTTCATTCCCCTTACTTCACAGCACAACCACTATCCTATATGAACGACAAGTCATAGATAAGATTATAAATTATCATAATAACTTGAAATGGGCTAAAATAGTTGAGTGCTACTCTCAACGATTTTGTATGAAAAGAACTCAGTATAGCGGCATTCAATAAGCAACGTAGATAAGCACATGCCAGGAGTTTCAGACATAATAGAGACATTAACCTCAGATCCATACACACGGAAATTCCCTATTGGACGCCAATGACGAAGAATTAGCTATCCCTACCTTACCAGTGTACCGACTCTTACGCCGTTACGGAACTGCAACCCATACCATCCATTAGCGTAAGGTTCCAACGAAACAAAGGATAGCCCGCACATAACGAGACACATATTGGATGTGGTAAAGCCACTGCGGCGATGTGACTTCAAAGTCGTTTCCTGGGTTGCTATGATCATCATAAAATTATTACGTTAGGTAGTGATTGTTAGGCTCTATCGCGGATCCACGATGATCTAGAAAGATGGTACTCTTTCTGCGGGGCACTGCTAAGTGAGTAGGCCCCCTACCCAAGTAACGTAAGGACATCACCCATTGCCATATTGAGCAGCAAAGTGTGTCCAACTTGAGTTGAGTCGGCTAATACAATATCGCGATAGGAAAGAAATAAGCCTTCATCACAAACACACAAGCTTCTGCTCCTCTTTCTCTCCCATGGTTACCTAGGTGTGTACCTTTAATTAAAAATGGCCATAAAGAAATGAAACAAGAGGATGGCTTTGATATAGAATAACGTACGTTAGTTGTGAGATTTGAATCAAAATTTGAGAAACCAAAGGATTTAGCCGTTGTAAAAAATAGGATCTTTTGTCGTTGTGCCAAGGCTAGTGTATTAACTTCTAGAACAGACGGAAAGGGGAAACAAGAGACACAGAGGATAATGCCTTGCTTTTAGAAAGGTCTAGAATCCACGCCATTGGATGTGTGGGAGGCTTGTTCTTTCACAGGTGAAACCTTTCGTCCCTCCAGCACGTTTTGATCGGAACAGTTCTATTGGGGGACATATAGGAGCGCGTTCTTGAGTTGCTCGGCGAATTTATCACATGACTATTAGGAAGACTGGAAAGTAGCTTCTATTCTTAACCTGTATTCCGCGAGAAGCTCAACAAGCATCTTTTGGCTCCTGAAGTATAGATTTCGTAGGAAATCAAGTGAGCCAAGTCAGTGTTAGCAATGAGCGGCTAAGGTCAGGAGTCAGCAATGTGACATCCCCTATCTCGCTACGTACCTACTCTGGAATGAGAGTACGTTATGAACCATTATCTAAATATTCGAGCATCTCTGCGACGACTGAGTATCATGTTAAATAAAGAATATTTTGGAGGGTTAGTTAATGGTTTCACAATTACTATCATATTTCCAGCCCCTATGATAATCGGGGTTCACAGAAATTGGAATTGCCAACATGGCGTTAGTCATGTCAACCCAGTCTTATTTTTAATGCTTAGCTCTGGATCTTGACTAGTTCGCTAATAGAAGACTTCGGAGTATCAACATCTCTATGTTATCACGATAACCCTAGAACATGTGTAAGAATTGTCAGGAGGCGGTGTGCCCGTTTTTGAAGGCTATGTCACAGAGTGAGAGTAGCAGTTAGCTCGCCTTTTGGCTCGCTTGTAGGCAGTAAAAGATCTTGATTAACGCCTGTCCCTCTCCTAAAACCCTTTGGACCTTCGACCCCTTATATATTCGTCTCAGGTATTATACAAGCTGTAGCTAACTAGCTGTTATCCAGCCCCTGTCAAAGATTCATATGCAGACATTGTAGGCGTCATGGACATAGATGGACCTTAGGGCATTCAAATTGATTGAGGTAGTTATTCCTTTTATCTATATCTTTTATTTTGCAAGCCACGAGGAGGTACCTAGGTAGGCACTTAATTACCTAGGTACCAATATTATGAAATGAGCAAATCTTCAAATTTTCCTAAACAAACTCCATGGCCCAAAGAGACCACTCGTATTTATGAGTTAGGGCTTGTAATTATGAAACATGACGAAAGTTGAACATAATTAAATAGGTAGATATATTATGGCAATCTATTGTTCTGAATTAACTTCAGCTGAGAGGAAGCACTCGCCCGGGACACATAGTAAATGCCTGGCAACGAGGGACCTATACAAAAGGAAGCGGTCACCTTCTTCATGGCTTGGATTGGAAAAAAAGATTAGGGATAGTTCCAGAAACTTGTCTGGCCTGAATACGCCGATACCACCATCTCCTTTAAACCCTTATTATTCTCCTTTCATTTCTTTAGCTGCTCGAACCTAACTCTTAATCCATGAGGCCTGAGTGTAAACCCAGGGTTCTCAATAGTAAAACCGTTGTCAACGCTCACATACCGAAAATTGCGAACAATTTCCATGAGGATGTACTTGATTTCAAATAAGGCGAACTGGCGGCCAATGCAAATACGTGGCCCGTTTGAAAAGGGGGAGAAGGCATAAGGAGAAAGCTGTTCGCCGGTCACTAGTTCAAAGATTGTCAGCGGTGTCCAAAACATTTATACCACTTAGCACCCTGTTAGAAGCACTAAGCTAGGTGATCACATACAGCGTTGCCATCGTGTAGGATCGAAATTATCCACATCATCACCCCAAATTGACGGGTTCATAAGAGTCACTGACGGAGCTAGATCTACCAAGACTCCGGCGGGAATGTGAACTCCTTCAACTACGATGTTGGTACTCGTTGCACGGTGATAGGTGGTAGCTAAATATGTGAGAATTGGAGCAACATATAATCGGGTCTTTCGTCTTACATGGTGAATATAGACGCAGGACCTCTTTGGAGAAGGCCTCTAAGTAAGGGAGCCTCTCGAGGTCATTGTACGACGGGTCGGCCGGTAACTCCTTCAGTTCTTCACGGAGTGTCTCTTGAATGTCCGGGTTCAAAGCCAAGATATACAGACTCCATGAAAGCATATTGGCAGATGTATCGTGTCCAGCAGCCATAAACTCAAGCAGCTATTATATGTTAGCCATATAAAACTCTGGCTGCACAAGACGGTAAAGTATATATGGCCCCAGATCGAAGGAAACTACTTACGTGACCTAGGAATTCAGTCTCTCCAATGCCTTCAGCAATTCCGCCGGGCAAGCTTTCTTCAACGACAAAGGTGAGTAGATCTTTAGAGTCCTTGGACTCATACTTGCCTGCAGCAGTTGCAGCCGAAACTTGGCGGTAACGGTCTCGGATGAGACCCCGGAGGACATCGTTCAACCAATCCATTGCGAACAAGAACTTGCGGTTTGCATCGAACGGTAACCATCGCGTAGGTAAAAATCCGTTAGCGAACAGCAAAACCTTGCCAATGCCCTTCGGAGAGAAAAAGATGTCGTAGGCCTCATGGAACGAACAACCTTCCTTGAGATCATTGCTCTTCTCCGCCTTTTCTTCACCGGGTTTCACGTAGTCAAGCCTAACTCCTAGGATAGCAGAGCCCATGATATCCAGAATAGCTTTAGAGAAGGTTGTGGTGCAGTCGATAGTACCGGTCTTGTTGTCGTTTTCACGGATGCATTGGCTGAAGTATCGGCACAGATCCCGGGCTTTTTCTTGGAAAATCGGCTCCAACTTTCGAATGTTCTTCAGGGAGAAAGAGCCGCCAAGCATCTTTCGGTGAGCCTTGTGTTCATCCCTTTCCATAAGAATGAGTCCATGGCCGCCAACCTCTTTGACGATGCGGAGAAACCAATTTGGCTTCTCTAGAGAGTAACACTGGAATTGCAGCACTTCTCGGTGAGCATTGAGGTTGACTGGAACCAGCACCTCGGTGTTACCCCAGGTGAGATATCGAATGAACGGGGCGTCAGGGTGTTCCCTCATCCATTTTATATAGAGCGTCGTAGGAGATTCAGCCTTCAAGAAATTTAGAGCCTGCCCGAAGAGAAAATGATTATCCTAGAAAGGTATTGGATGTGAGTAAGTCAAGCTTGGATGCTCCGAGTTGAAGTATCCCTTACCGTTGGGCCGGGAAGATGCCGAAGGGGCGAGAAGTATCTGTGGTACAAAAATATGCGGTAAAACTTGACCGCAAAGTACTGCGCGCAGAAAAGAGCCAAGGAAATTTTACCTGACACGGCCCGAGACTCCTGGCCTGGGATGTGGTTTACAAGGAGCGACTCAACGGCCGTCAGGCCGGCACACATAATCAAATCCATATCGATACACCAAGTAAGCTGACCCGAGGGAAAAAGAATTTAGCGATATCAATGTGACGAGCGAGTCCGTACGGTAGATATAGTGTGCGTAACTCGACCCGAGCGGAGACGGTTCTTCAAGGTCTACAAGGGACAAGGACGGCCCGCGAAATTGTGCTCCAGAAGAACAGATAGAATAGGGGAATCTCCCCGCAATCGAGAAGACATGATAACAGCAGACTCCCGGACTTTGGTGCTAGGATGTAACCTCGAGCCAACAGTTTCAACCCCTTGGGAAATAATCAGTCACCTCATTGGTAGCTCTCAGGGTTACGAACATGGATTGTATGCATATGCCTCCCACCCAGTGGCAGCGATTTTATAACTTTGGCATCGAGACCCGGGCCTAGTCTCCAGCTAGCTGGGTCCGGAGGTAAAGAGCCAATGAAGATCTAAGTAGACTCGAACAACACGCAACCAACAGTGTCTAACTGTACCTATATCGGCGTATAGGATACTGCATAGTAGGTGCGGAAAAAGCATGCATATATAAGTAGTTGTCTGCACCTGAAAAGAAAAGCACACGTACTTACCTACCTACCTAGTACCCAACTCCGGCAAATACGTAGACTTCGCACCTATATCATAAAAAGCTACCTACCTACCTAGGTATGTTACCGAATAGGTGGGAGTTACTGCGATTGCTATGGTAAAGAATCTGATTATTACGTAGATCTGCGAGATGAATTACGTTTCATTATCAAGGTGAAAATTACCTCAGATCCGGGGTCTGAAAAGAACCTCGTCGCTCACCGGAAGCCACCCCCGGTTCTCCCCGTTTGGGTCCGCCGGGGTTGACAGGTCGCAGATCATCCGCTTTCCATTCCTAATCTAGATTTAGGGCACAGCTGCGAGGCACTGTTACCTGTAAGGCACAGTTTTCGCCAATTCTCGCTACTGCGCTTCTCGCTATGCGATTAGGAATCACTGGGTGGTGAACTCGTAACACAACATTACTGGTCCCATTCATACCAATTATCCCCTGAGCTGCCTGGGGGCAACGACGGTGCACGTCCGCACGCTCGACAAATCTTTTCCCAGTAAACTTATGTGGTAATAATAATCCTAGTACACCTCATACAACCAAGACTAAGCTGAGGACGACGTACCGAGTGTCGCCTTCGCTCTAACTTCTCCATTGGTTCTCATCCTTGTGGTGATCGGTCGCTTATACGCTTCCCACAGCTCTGAAATGTTACTCCTCACTTGCTCATCAACATCAACGGGCACTGTGTGGTCTCAACCCATACCAGATACCCAGCAACGAACTTTTGCGTACCAACAGCAAGGTTCTCGGTGTTTGCAGATTTACAGGGTTGCGAATATATCTCTTCCCCAGAGTCATATTTCTAACCTTGTAATAAATCTATCGGAGCCTCTTTTTCTTGTTTGTATTTGTATTGAACGCCACAACCGTCGATGTGAATCTCTGCGAGCCGGTTCAATTCTTCCTGATAGGTTCACATGGCTCCCCAAAGCCGATTAAACGGACAAGAGCTAATTGACTTGGCCTGGGAGCAACAATCGTTCAAACCGGAAGGATTTGCTGCCACCGTCATAAATGTTCAAATCGCATTTCTAGTCCTCACCACCATACTTATAGGACTCCGAATATGGGCTCGAGGATGGATTTTCCGCGATTTGAAGATCTGGGGATGGGACGACACTCTTGCGCTCCTTAGCTATGTACGTCTATTAGATGGTTATACTAAACGAGAAATCCGACTAACACGAACCACCTTTATAGGGCACTTATATGCCATCTGGTATATTTACCATATTGGCCTGCCAATACGGGCTCGCGACTCCGGATGCCCAGTTGACGGATGGCCTGAAAGCTAGAGCTGCCCTTTACTTGGGCTACTGGCAAATGCACTATGCCTGCTCGTCGAATTTGGTCAAGGCCGGTATTGCGGTTGCTTTGTTGCGTCTGACGACAACCAAAAAGCTATTCCGAATTATAATTTTGGGCATTCTAATCTGCACGCCCATATTTACAGCCACCGTTCTCGTCGTTCTGATCGCCACCTGCCACCCCTTGGGAGCTCAGTGGGACTTGGCTTTGGGTTCTTGCAAAGTTCACACCGTCATGGCTTACCTCAGCTACATCTTCACCGCCTTCACAGTAATCCTAGACTGGGCCTGCGCTGTGATTCCTTATCTTCTCCTGAAGGACCTCGAGATGCGACGGCATATCAAGATATCTCTTATAGTTGTCTTGGCCTTTGGAAGTTTGGCGGGGGTCTGTGCCATCGTTAGACTCCCGTATCTGAAGTATTATCTCATAGAGGAGGATCAACTACGTAAGTCGTCTTCAACCCTCCGGAATCAAGGTTTAATCCTAGATTGTTGGTATTGACATGTTATAGTCTACTTTGCAAACATCGTAATTTGGTCTAACGTCGAGAACGGCATCGGAATCATCGCCGCGGCATTGCCACCCATACGTAAATTGTTCAGGTATTACGGAACTACCAAGGACCGAACGTCTTCCGCCGACAGGGCAGGGGCACTCCAGACCATAGGGGGCACGCCATTGTCTAAGAGTAATGTGTCAACTCAGTTGAGGAACCTGAGTCCAAGGAATACAAGGAGTACTAAGCGGTCGGAATTCGGCATCGAGGGGAGCGGATCTTGGAACAGGCTTGACGGTGATAGCTCGAGCAAGGAAAACATAATAGTGCTTTGATTTTGCATGAGCGGACCAAGAAAAAATTGTAATAAAACATTCCAATGCTGGCGGAGCCTGAGCAGTAGGATTTTAAATTGGTTGTTGTTTTGTTAGTGACTACTGACATGTACGCCTAAGATCACTCGATATTCTAGAAATAGCGATGGCGATCTTTCGTTTCTATGAACAGCGATATCCGTCATCGTGTTTTTTGGTGAGCTTCTTTTTATCACTGTCTTACTGGACCGTAGCCACCAAGATTTTCATACTGTTTTTAGGAGTTATCGGATATTCTGTCATCGTAACTGGTATATCATCATGATAGTATTCTGGGACAGTATCTTCAGCTACCATCTGTCCCTTGCATTACACCTCTTGTGGGCTAGGGAGGGGATGACGCCACAGTATCTAGCCGCCGCCCATATCAAAAGCAAATGGTGCCAACCCCCCAAGACCAAATCCCCGTAAACCCGGGTCTGATTTCCACCAAGGGGTGGCCTATCGATTGTACACACCTAGGTGAATATTCCTGCGAATGCAAGGACCTAGATTTTAATCTGGGTCGGAAACGCAGCCAATTATGATATTCCAACTCCTGGCCTTGAGAGCTTGTCGATTGCCGGATCCCGCTTAGAAGGCCCCAACGCTGCAGTTACCCGCGCCTTAGGGCAGCTACGAAGTGCCTGATTCGCCATCTCACGCCGTGTGACTATGGGGTCGGTCCGGATAACGGCTAGGAGGACTTGCTTATTAGGAGGAACATCTGATCTATCATGGCGCTAACATGTTATCGGGAACACGCTCATAGAAAAAAAAAAAAAAAACGCACGATTAGAGAAGATAGGATGGTATTCGAAACATAGCCGATGGCCTAAGGGCAAAAGGAGTCGTTGATTTCTCAACGACTTTGTAGCTTTCTATATTATACTTCTCGTCACTAGACACTTCACCTACATGGTAGAGGCTTAGAGTTGGCTTTATCCGAGACTAACTCGATCTCCGACGTGGCGTGTAGAAACACCATGTACTTCTGAACGACTTGTAGAGGAGGTGAGTTTAGATACTAGCACTGGCTTGTGACGCCTCACTATGTCTTAATTGCTGCCCGTTTCCCTAATTGAAGCGCGGTGCGAAGGCACGGGAGGCGTTATAAGCCAGTGCTAGTAGTGGCACGTGGTAAGGCCTTCAACAATGTTGAAGTCGAGATGTTTTAGTCTAATTTTCACACCATAAAACAAATCTCAGTGTCTACAAGACGAAGGTCATATACCTGTACTTACCTTGTATTCGGTACGTTGACATTGAAAACAGAGCCCAGTCTAATCGCAACGTCTCTAAGCGCAAAGTTGAAACATTACGTTCTAGTTGTTGCCGAGTATCTCGTTCGAGAAGTATAGGCTGGTTTAAGATTGTCTTCAACTGTGTCTACTAGGCGGTGTGTGATTGGACAAATAGTAACTGTTCAACTTATGAATCGCTTGGAATGGTTGCGGGAACTGAACTCGAACACCGTGCAATCTTCGTAAGATGCTGTAAATCACAACTAAGTGGTTAGAAATATGGTGGACCAATAACTAAACGGCGGGTCCAGCGCAAGGGGAGTAATGATTTTAAATACTATTTTCGAGATTCGATCTAAAACGATAATGCGATGAGATGATAAACGAGGAATAAACCTTAGGCGACTCCTGTGGGGAAAACCGAACATCATCGGGAATGTCGACGTAATGACTATGAGCGAGACTAGGGAGGCATGTAATTAAAAAGGTAATCTCAACACCTTAATGAGTCGCCCTTGTTAACTCAAACACAAGCGTGCCACTCTAGATATCTACTATATTATTAATTATATCGAAACATCGCTGAGGTGTTGAATGTATGTTGAAGCAAGGAAGGTCCTTGATAGCAACACAAGGCAAAATGGTTTATGTGCTGTAAGTTTGCTTGTGATGAAACGATTAGATATCATATTCGTTGACGCCGACAGCTTGGGTGGAATCTAGTTTGGATCGTCGAGCTGAGTAAGGATCACGTGGAGAGAGGAAAGAACGGACACAGCCATAAGCTCGGATCGCACACTAGTCCTAACTAGATCCTAGCGTTAGGCGAGTGTAACCAAACGGCACCTCGAAGGGGCTAGTCCAGGGGTAAACCAAGATCCCAAGCAGGTCAACTCCTAGCTTAGTATGTTAGGCTAGGGCTCCAATATGTACCTACATATACCTACGCAGCATGTGCATACAAGCTGACAAGGTACGTTATCATATATGTACCCAGATATATATGTAGAATCTCAAGGCTATAAAATACTACATGGCGATATTATGTTCAAGGGAGGCTGAAAGAAATAAATGAAGAAAGCTGTGATGATAATTGCCTCGGCCATTCGATTCAATACGTTTGTGTAGTACCAACGGCTTGGGAATCACATATTGCCGTATATTGAAACACGTGGGATCGGCCGTCAATTTTATGCGGTGATCATTTCTGGAACGTTTGGTAAAAGCCTCATTGCTTCAGAAGTTCTCTAGCCAGCTAGCTAAATATTTAGTCCGTTGAGGCGGACGTTAGGATCTATGTATGTATAAGGGAGATACCGTTTAATGAACTGGGCTCTCAAAAACATGGCTGACTTGCCATTGCATAGTGATATTTCGTATTACTGGTTTGTGAAGGAAGTTAAAGATTCACACTGACTTAATAGATGCGATGTAATGTGATAACATGAGTTGACTAATGGCAGGATCTTAAAATCACAACAATGGTGTGATCTAAGTCATCGTACGCAAGGTAGGCAGGGTAGAGTTGCAAAACCGGGGATGGAGTTTTAATAACAGAAGCATTAAGGACTCTACTAATCCCCGCCCCTTGCATTTTCTCGTGCTGGGATCCAGCTACATCGCAGATGAGGGGCGATTAGTCAGATGGCTTCTGCAAGTCGCAACCGAACTGATTGGTAGAACTGTTCTTGTTGTCACGACGCATCGTACCTGGTAGTGGCAGTCTTGGCTTACATAGCGGTTGAGGCCTGATGTGATTCCGAAACATTACGCCCGAAGCCGTCGATTCGGTGGGCGGAAGTACGTTGGTATTGATGCCGGCAGCTGTTTCGTATGGATTACAGACATACATGCGGGCAGCAGTGTTGCTTCCCGCCTTGCATTTGCATCTGCAGCTATCTCAATACTGGAGAGTGCCTAGGATCGAGGACCACACAGCATCGAAGTGCAAACATGTCTAAGTTATGTATGGAAAGGTCTGATATCCAGTGCACAGGGACGGTGCGCGTTGGAGAGAGCAAGCCCGTTGCTTGGTGACGATCTCATTCTCGTCGACGATAAACTAAGTAGGAAATATGCCTCATAGACCATGCTTTGAAGGATTTGTCGTGTTTCTTGCCGAAGTGTTTAAACCGCTTACGTTGAATGGAGGGGCAATGGAGGGATGAACCATCGTCGTGGGTCATAGCGTGCATAAGTTCGTATGTACAACATAGGAGTGGGAAATGAGGAGCATCTCGATATGCGTAGTACTTTATCTCATAAATCTTGTTAGTAAATCATGAAGTTGATCGATGATGACACGACTGATGGTAGGAGATTTCATGATCACTAATATCAAAAAGTGAATGGAAAAGAAAAGTTCAAATGATAATAGCTGGGAGTGTTGAGGTCTTACATACGTTGTCAGGTTGTATGCAAGCCCAAGCCCATACATATTGTCATACCCTCACAAATCCTTATGCACCCCATATTCATTCATGAACTGGTATTTCCCGTACTGTGCCACAATAAGATGCTGACCGTTTCCCCCATCCCCTGTCTTCGATTCTTGACCGAGACTTCTGGGCTGTAGTAGAATACTGTCCATTCAAAGACAAGCACGCTCAAAATTCTCGTATATACCTACATGATGAAAAGATGGATTGCATCAGGCTTCGAGTCGGTGACGAGCTGAATAACCGAGAGTCAGTGGTTCAAGCTACTACACATATGCACAGGTGGTCTTGCGGAGCTTATTTGGATCTGAGACGGTGTTGATCTCAAATTAAGGCGAATTCTTCATGTGTAGTATTACCTTGATTATTCTGTACCGACTCACAAGTTTGAGGCTCAAAGGGATGAGCATATTTATTTCTGTTGTCCTAAATCCGTAGTCACGACTTTGTCCTTGTTTCTTCGACGAATGTGAAATATTAAAATGTCGAGTACCTAAGACCATGGCGCGGCCATTGAGGAATATCTTGAAATACCTCCGCTGCTTTGCTGGCTTTTGTATTCGCACTGTGTTTACCCGAGGCGGGTAGAAAAGAAAAGCCCCATTTTCTTTTTTTTCCAAGCCCGCTAGCTCACCACTATAGGCTATCCACTAGAGTCAACGTTCTATGTACATAGTTATTCGTTAAACCTTTTTCTTTGCTAGGTGTCTATCATTGCATAAACCTAATAGGCGGTCGTATCTCGATGCGCACGAGCTTAACCCGATCGTTGGGAGATTTTATGCCATTGTTGCTTTTGTTACTGACGGTGAACCGTTCGACGATGATTTTCGGGGTGGCCTTCCACGATAACGGACCCCCTTTCTTGTCAGGCCAGTTCGGAGCTTTACAGCTGCTGAAGCTCTTAGTTTCTCCCACGCCGTTCCACTTCAGTCACTCTTCTAGCTGCTTTATTGGTTAAAACTTGAAATGCAGTGGACCCGCCTAAATTTTGAGATTGCTAGGCACCCCGGCTCTAGGTTGCACTAGAAATCGTGCTAATCAGGGGTGTAGCTTGACACCCCTTGTCAAAATGGTCCTGGAAAGTATTAGATACGCAAAGGCTGTTACATCTATAGCCAGGCACGATAGTTTTGCTGAAACAATCGGTAGCATTTCACTAATTGTATCAAGGTGCCTTCCACCTATAGTAGGGTATTCGTTACATGGTCCCCTTTGTCACCTCTTGGAGTGCCGATCCCCTGGCACGCTAAACGACCTGTACCACTTTCGGCCGTCGAAACCCACTTGTTATTTCCCCGTCCCTCGCAAATTGTAACACGGGCAGCCATGGTCTCTGGTTTTTTCTCTTGAAGCTTTCTTCGTTTGGCCGTGTCACAAACTGGTCACCGTCGACCTACCAGCCTACTACATTAGTACATTAATACATTAATACATTTTATTATCCTAGCGCCATCCTAGGCCTTTGTTCATTATTTTATTTCTAATGTCAGGGGGATACAAGCTTGTATTGTTCTATTCCATTCACCAAAGAGGCAATACCAGCGCGCATTGACTCTCATTCTGCTTCGGTCCATCGGCGCAAATCTCCCTTCTCGCCCTTCTACCCTTCTACCCTTCTACCCTCTGCCTAGTACGGTACCCGACACGCACACCCTTTTCTACCACGCCATACCAATACCCATTCTCTTTCACATTTCGTCTCTCCTTTTCTCTCTTCTTGAGCGACATCTCCTCCACCATCCCTCCCGCCTTTCCTCTACTTCCCCCCCACTTGAGAAGTTGCAGCAAGACTGTACACTCTGTCACTCTTAATTCTGACAGCAAGCTGCCGCTCGTCTTGTCAATGTGTAGTAGCTTGATGTTTCGTTTTTGATCGTCCAGGTCGGAAAACAACTCACGGGAGGTTCCTTAATCGGAACAGGTTCAACCTATTATCTTTTTTGGTAATCGATTGGATCCGGTTTGGTCAGTAACTGGGTTTCGTCTGGTTACTGTTGTGAGGGGATTGAAATTCGGAATAGCAACAAACGACACTTTAATAGGATAAGGGAAGTAATCTAATCCGGTTCATCATGGCGCCTTCACTCAACACACATTCTTCCTTTACGCGCCCGCGCACTAGCGAACGTGATGCTCGACCCAGCACACGCGATCAGGGCGACACCAACTTGATAATACCCAGTAGGACGTCCTCTCTTCACTCTCGTATCACGCAACCGATTCCTTCTACTCTCAATGGAAAGCCCCAGCAACGAACCCCGAAGACTTTGACCCATGCCTACATGGTCTGCGGTGTTGGGAGAGAGCCTTCCCAATGGGTGAAGGCTCCCGCACCAGCTCAGGGCAAAATTGGCCACATGAAGGGAGCAGTTGGACAGTTCTGGTTACCAGAAATCTTAGGAAGCAGCCCTCGTCTTGAACAAGACAATGAAGTTGCGCGAGCTTTACATGCCGCCATGAGAGTACGTCATTCAATGAAAGTGGTAATTTTTCTACTCCTGCTTACTAACTGTACTAGGCTTGTTTTCCTCACGATGTCGAGATCTGTACTGGCCGCAGCCAACCACACTGCGTTCATCATGCATTTGTCCTTCAACAAGATTCATCTCACACCCTCTACGGTATCTGCTTACGAGTCTGGTCGAGGGCTGATGAGAAGCGGGCGGACACTATTAGGGACTTGAGGAAGCGTACCGAGACGGATTATTACGACAGCCCCGATGAGACTTACTGGATTCCTTACTGCTTGTCATTCCTTTCACGATACCCCCTATATAACCTTCTAGGTGATTACTTGCGAGGAATGTGGATTCACTGGAATAAGGCTACAAACCTCTTCCATGCTGAGGAGGTCTCGCGCATTCTAAGTTTCCCTGCGCCGAGGCTGAACGATTTGGTCCGGATAGATATGAAGGACTACGCCCTCTGCTACCAGTTCCCTTCCTCACCGACAGGATTCCAGAACTTCGCCATGTGGCCGCTGTGGACTTGCCTTTCGATTCCAAACATCGTGGGTGTCATCGAGGCCGCAATATCACCTACTAGGCGTATAATATTTGTGAGCCACTACCCCGCGATGTTGACTATGGCCGCCGAGACCGTTCGCTTCTGTGTTAGAGTCTACGAATGGAGTGGTCTGTACGTGCCAGTTGTGCACGCTCGTCACGCCAAGGAGCTGGTGGAGGAGCCAGGTCCGTACATACTCGGTATCACGGCGGAGTGTCGATCTTTGTTCACTGCTCCGAATGACGCTTTGGTCGTGGATTTGGATCGCAATTTCGTACTTACCTCCAACCCGCCAACCACTTTGAACGCAAGCCAGCGCAACAAGTTCGTTACTCGACTAACTCAGGCATTAAATGGTGATGTCACGCCATCTGGTGTTCCACAGCATCTGCGCTCTGCCTATGGCGGTGGTAAGCTAGTGCCTGCGGGTCAAATTATCGTCATGCGTGGGGAAGTAGAGTCTATTCAGGACCCTGAATGGTGGAACCAGGACGCTGTCATGGCAGTGATGGACCATGTCTGTGAGAAGCTGGTAGGTGCTTTGGCCCCTTATTAAATCTTACTAGCAATGCTAATATTTTGACGTAGGGTCGTAACACCGGTCTCAAGGCCGTTTTTGGAGGTTCCGTTAAAAAGCCACTGATGACGAAGGTTTCGATGAGACATCTTAACGAGATTGTCCGAGAGCGCAATCAATATTCCCGTGATGCTCTAGAGGCGTGGCAAGATTTCATTAACCTCAAAGGTCGCATGGACACCGAGCTTAACAAAGTTACGAAGCGAAACAACTACCTCGTGGAAGAGCTGGAGAGCTGGAAACAGCAGGTACAGATACTCGTCCCAAAGAAAATACTGGAGGATGCTAACCTAAACTACAGTTCCTCAAATTCCAAGCGTTCGCTGAGCAACTCACGAAGGAGACCCAGGATCTCAAGGTTAAGATCGAGACCCACAAGAGGGAAAATCGACGACTCGCCGGTCTCATTGATCAACAGAAGGATGATAACGCTCGTCTGTCTGTGCGTCTTACTGGTACCGAGAAGCAGAGAGACGATGCTCTTGAAGCTCTTGTCCTGCAACAGGAGATTGCCGAAGAGCTTGAGCGGGAACGTAAGAGAAACAAGAAGGAACTTGCGGCGCTCCAGCACACCAACGTTACCATTGTCCGACAACGTGATGAGGCCCGCCGCGTTGTCCTTCATCTGCGTAGCTTGATTGGTGGTCAGTCGCACCATATGGAACATCTGGTCCAGTCCCTGACTACGCGGGACGACTTGGCCAGTGAGATAGAGGAAGGCTTCGATGAAGAAGATGAAGCGGAGACAAACGATGGTAAGCTGCGATGTCGATTTACTAAACCAATTATGACTGCTAACATTTGATTTTAAAGACCGCCTATTGAAACATGCTAGCCGAGCAAGCAAGCGTGTTTCTACTGCCAGCTTCAGCGATGTGGCCGACCGCCATCTTAAGGATAAGACCGACGCTATCTCCCATATCATTAGGAACATTGCCGAGCAATGCCAAGCTGCTGTTGAAGGCCTGCAGCTCGCTCAAGACGCCGAGATTGAGTCATCCAGATCGCCCCGTCGGGCAAGCAACCTCTCTACGGTCTCCAGCAACGACGGCCACTCGGCCGCCACTTCCGAGGTTGGCGATGACAGTCTTTTGCACCCCTCCGGACGTGCTTCCTCTATCCCTCCCACTCCGGATCTAATTCCCAACCGAAGCAGCACGTCGATGTCAATGGCGTCGACCATGACTACCCCTGAGCGGGCAAGCCAGCAATACAGCATCCACAACGACATTCCTACTAAGATTGTCGAAGACGACGAGGATGACCTAGCCGAGCGTAGCGAGAACGAGGCTATATCCCAAGAGCAGGCTATCGTTGGTAAACATGCCGAGAGCCTGATCCACCGCCCATCCGGTGCTAGAATCAGCGCTCTGGGTGGCACTCGCTAAAATTGGCGTGTTGAATTGATGCATGTATGGAGTCGGTGGCGATACGTTTCGAAATTTTCTACCCATGAGGGACTTTGTTAAGGAGGACAAGTCATCTCTATATTTTCTGCCTCCGGTAACTGTGCATATGGACTCTTTGCTTATACCTCTGGTTTATCTTGTTTTTGTGGACCTAAGGCGTTTTACTCCACGAAGAGTTTTTTCTAGGATTTCCGCTCTTTGCATTTCCTACCTTATTCCTGCGATTTTTTTCGACTCCACCTTAATTTTCCTCGAGATACCAGCTACTTGTGTTGGTAGTCTGTCGGTCAGGCGTGTATACCTAAGCTTGCTAAGTTACGCAGTCGGTGGCGCTAAGAAAAGACACGATGGAGGTGGTCATTTTGTCTCTTTTGTGTATATCGGTTGATGCCCCCCATTCACAGCTAAGGATGGTGGATGTGTTTACCTTTAATAACTGCCGCTCATATCTTTCGTGCAGTGCTGGGCAAATATGAGATACTTTGACTATGCAGCTTATGTCAACTTACACTAGACCTCGTGATTTCGTTCCTCTGTGTAGTCGCGTTCTAATTTTCTGGCTGCTCAGATAGTCCCCCCCCCTTTTTTTTAACGATACCACCAATTACTCACGTACCTAGATTAGCTGCCTTGAAGACAATGAAGTTACTTTCTGTCTTCAATGTGATGTTTGATGCTCTTATGCTTGTGTTAGCCTTCGTGTATGATACGTTTTTCTTGCATTCTTGATAACTTGGTTTCCAGGCAATGACAGTTCCATAAGAAATAACTGCTTATGTACATAGATGAACCCCATCTAGAAATATTGAACGTTGGTCCCTTGTTTATTAAATCTGCTCACGCTGTGAATCTAAAGGAGCTGTTACCATGGATACACCAGGACCCTTAAGGCATACGACGTAAGGCGAACTACTTCCTGCAGATTTAGCGCTACAGCTATACAATAAATGGGCCCATTATAGGGCTGGTCAGCCATGGTTCAGCCAGGAGAGGGACCGAGCCCGAGCACAACGGGCTAACCCGCAGCGCCCCTTCCCCCCTGGACCTGGGAAGGCCGTTCTAGACTTTACGAGGCGGAAACAGGTATTACCCCCTAGGTTCTTAAGGTCTGACGGACCTGACGTGCGAATCGGATCTCAAATTCAAGAGGTCCACTGCGTCTACTATTAGATCGGGGATGCAACGGGATTTCAGCACGGTGACAAGGTACCTATCTGGGTGTATCCGGATGCATCTTTGCAGTGACCGTCCCGTCGTTAGTGAGACCTTGTGAGGTTCAAGTTGATCGGACGATGTTTGAGGTAAACATTCTGGAAAGCTGGACTTACAAACCGGGTATTAAATGACCGAAGTATGAGAGAGCAAGAGTGTTTTCGACCGAAGGACGGCGGACGACAGCGGGGGGTTAGCAAGTGTTGGTTTTTTCCAGGGCGCATCACCCGCAACTTCGTCGTTATCCTCGTTGTTGAGACGACACTACTGACGAACCCAATGTTGGGTACCTGCAGCCTATTATCTTACACGTCTATTTAGCTGAGTCACTTCTGTCACCGTTCAAAATCTGTTCTATCATTATGAGAGACATCGTATATAGTATCGTCCAATAAACTACGAATTAAGTACACAAAAGCTGTCGTATGGCGTTGATTTCTTGATTGAACTCCAGGGCTTCGGTGGCTGGCGAACCCTAGCAGCTGAACATCCACTATAGAATAATAGCTCCCCGGATTTAGGGCTTCGATTTTCCCTGCTCAGACCCGCCTAACGTTTCCCCTCACTTGAATGCCTTCTCATAATCGGGAAACTTCAAATCGGGTGATTCGATTTCTAAGTCTAAATCGTTTTGCGACTTATACACTGTGATGAGAAGAGTTTATGGGTAAAGAATGCCTCGGTAGGCTATTCATTCCCATACGTGGGAAGATGATGGGGTTACTTTAAAAATCAACCGTATGATTCGTACATATGCCTAAGCAGCTTCTACTCTTTGAATCCTCAACCAGATTTTGTCTCTAACAGGTTATTCACGAGGGGCCGGAGAAAGTTATTTCCAATGATGAAGTTATGACTATGTGTATATAGGTAGATAATGTCCCTAACTGCTAAGATTGTTTGCAATACTGCTAGGTACGTTCACGTAGGTCATTGCCTATTACCTAGGTAGGTACCTAGTCTTAAGCGGAACCCTCCAATTTTCTCGCCAAAGATAACCCAAACTCATCATGTTCAGAGCGCAATCAAAAGTCACGGTAAAGTTGTAATAATAAATTGAAATACATAGCCTCATAGATAATTGAATTAAACCAGTTTTTGTTGGGGCGAAATAATATCTAGGATTGCGCGTTTAGCATACATGTTACAAAACCCACACAATGCTTTTCCTTCTAAGAAAAGGGCTTCCACATAAGACTAGTAGGTACCTAGGTAACTCATCCAGTCCTATACGCTCCCCACGTCAGCGCCCAATTTCGTGTATACGCCATCACCTAATCCATGCTGAAGTTCATTCATTAGTTCTCTGACCGGCTTGTCATCCCTCTTCAGCTCGTCCCAAAATATTCGACAGGGTTTCGAAAGCCGAGTTTCGTCAATGAATCCGTCACGGTCGACGTACTCCTCCATGTATGTGACCATGCTAAGGAAGAAGCTGACATAGTGTTTGCGAAACGCACTAGCGAGACGAATATACGCCTCTAGGAGGATATGTGCTCGTGGGATAATTACCGGAGGTCCATCCGGGGAGAATGCGCCGTGTCCACGGCCGTGTCTTGGGCCGGGCAGCGAAGCATCCGATGCTTTCATATAATAGGCTTTAGACATTTCGCTTGCCTTCATCTCGAGGTCTGCACTGCTGGGCGGGGGTATGAACCATAGAGTCTCGGAGTGAGTTCTCAAGGAAATGTCTACCTCGGAGCCTTCGATGTGCATGTGGAAAGCCGGAGCTGGAGTCTGGCTTAATTCCCCAGAAACAATGCATGTCTGAGGGTCTGGACACGATAGTAAACTCGACTTCTTGAACGCCGCGATCGCAGTGGGCAGTTTATCGTCTGGAATGACGAACTCGATTCCCTGTATTTGTTTGCTTATTTAAACATGGGTTAGAGCTTGATACGCTGTGTACTTACGCCAATGATGGAGGGAACTCCGTAGATGGTAAGAAGGTAATCACCCCAAAGGACGGATGGCACTCCAGCATCGGATAACAATGCCGAGATCAACTTAACCACATTCTCGCCATGTGTGTTGATCGGTATGTCCATCGTATTTTTCTAGGAGCGAGACGAAAGTTGGCTTAATGGTTTGATGAATGTGGGTTCTTGAGGCTTACTTAGAGAGGGAAAGCGATGCAGGTATTTTGACCTTTTGATTCGAGTTTGAGCAAACCCATCAGAATCACATAAGAACGAGACTGCAACAACTCAGTGATTTGTGTTCATGTATTTCAATAGATAAAAATGACGTTAGGGGTCATTACCTACTAGGGCACCGAGGCACATAACATAACTTCTAAGGCTGAGATAAGCGCGCGATTATAGACGTTCCCGACAGTCTGGAAAGTTTCGGTTGGCGTTGCCTATAGGCTATTGATAGTTCTGAGGTTATTAATAGGAAGTGCCCCCACTTGGGCCGGTGGGTTTTGCCTAGGTACCTACATATCTCTTAAATGCCCGCTACCACGGTCCACTATTATCTTTACTCTCTTTCATTCACATCACAACTCAGGCACCCGGATCTACCACCAACCTGACCTTCGACATCATTGAACCAAATGAGTCGCATGAATACTTGCGAATTTCGCCCGTTTAAGAGGCTGCCTCCGGAGATCAGATACGAAATTTGGCTCACAGCCTTGACAGCCTGGTCTGTTACGGTATATGCGACCGCACCAAGCGTCGCTGGCAGCGCGTTACGCCCTATCTATTGGAACGCATCTGCTGTTGGTTTAGTCTGTTACGAAGCATGGTCTATCATGAAGAAGGTCTGCACTAAACTATATCAGATATCGAGAGTAGATCGTTACGTCTGGGTGCATTTTGACACCACCGTTTTCTTTCTGGGTGCCGCGGCGGAAGCGCGTAACACTATCGCGACGTTCGATATGCCGCTCTGTCGTGGATTGGCCCACGCGGCTATTGTGTGGACCTCGTGGGCGGATGTCGTAGGATTCTTCAAGCATGTTTCTCAGAACTGTTCTTCATTAGTCTCCATCCTCATATTCGATGCTGGCAAGCCTTACATACCGGAGATACCGCCTTTGAAACGAGATAGTCCGGATCAGATGGTTGCCGCGTGTAAAGGTGTCGGTAGGAACTACGAACCATGGTGGGTAGACGTGCCTGTCCTAACCGAAGACCTGCAATCATGGTTTAAGCCTTGGCCGAGGCAACCATCCATCATATTCTTGCCGCTCTGACGATCATGTTGGCCCGTTCTAAGACCAATACTTGGTCCGCCCCAACACTATGAACTTCTCCGGCGATTATCCATTCTGGTATAGTTCTTGCTGTAGGCCTCACCACATATTCGCGACCAGGCGCTTCCATGAAGCCAATGACATTGCTGCCAGGGGTATATGAGAAATATAAAGGACCTATGTATTCTTCACTTATGTTATGCATAAGATATCAGATTTCCAAGACCTAATTTGAACTTCAATTCACTATATTCATAATCAATACTACCCAAGGGCCTTAGTAGCATCAGCGTTATTTGTTTAGCCATGTCACCATCTTTGTCGGAACTCGAATCGGCGGCCGTCGATGTCATAAATATCCTGAAAAGCATACCCCAGTTTCAAGAACCGAGGGTCGTGGTCATTGGAGGAATGGCTCTTTGGAAATATCTACCAAAAGGCCGCTCGACGGAAGTAAGGTACCCTTCTCATACGAGGCAATGCACATATTGACCTATGTAGGAAGTTGACTTCATCATTACTCTGGACGGCCCTAAAAGCGTGAAACCTGTGCTTCTCGGCTTAAAAATATTTTCCTTCTAAAACGCTTACTTGGGAAAACGGATCTCTCCGTTTTTCTCCGTTTCGCCAAGCATTCGCCATATGGCCTATACAAGCTACATGAAGTTCATTATTGTTACACTATTAACTCAGATACAAGAATATCCCGCTTGGACTTGAAGATAGCCATCGCGCTCCCGATCCCTAGATGTTACTAGCCGCCTTATGCCTCGGAAACGGTGTGAGCAGGTGGTAGAAAATGCCGGGCCTAGTTGTTTGCAAAAACTCGGCGTTTCTCGTGTCGGCCTCATCAACACACAAGGTCAACGCGCGAAGCGTCAGGGTGGTCTGCGTAGGCGCCTTTTCCGGGTCTTTGTACGTGATAACAGGGCCCAGACTGCAAATCGGCAGGACGTTTTTGGCCAACTCCTCTTGGTTTTCCTCGCCGAACTCGATGGTCCTGGAAGCGCGGGTAATGTCCTCGCACACGAGCACCTTGCTTGCCAAACCTGCGAATTGCTGGAGGAATTCCTCTGCGGGGTCGGTGGGAAGGTGGTAGAAGTTGAAGCTGTGCTGCTGTATCGTGAGGGCCGCTTGCTCCTGGAGGCGCATCGCCGGCGTGATGATATTCGTGAGCACGTGCTCGTATTTTAAATCTTGGGGGTCCAAGAAGGTAAAGAGCTGCTGAAGCTCATTTGCTAACTGTTCCGTTCTAATCTCGCGCGCTCGCGGATAATATGGATGGGCTATCATACTAGCATACGTCAGTTGAAACCATCGTCTCTGCTCGAGGATGGATCGCTTTGGGTTACTGGTCCTCTTTAGAAATTCGTCATCGATCAGCGCCTCAAAGTGGGGGAAGGTCCCTGATAGGCCCTTCGAGAAGATTTCGAGGTATAGCCATCGCGCTATTATTGCTCGAATCACCAGGGTGCCCTGCGTGTCGTATCGAGTGAGTTTGGCGATATCCGGGAACTTGAGCAACCATGTGACCACCCCAGAAGCCGTACCATCCTTGAGCGCCGCGTTCGCAACATCTTCTCCATGTTGTGGGTCATTCTTATAGGGGGCTATCCAATCATCGGCCAGTTTGATGATATTCTCCTCGATAAATTTATATGCCTGAGAATAGTCCGTGAGCGAAGTATACCATTGAAGTCGTGAGTTTCAGCTTACCTCTGAAAACTGAGGCCCGTCGACAGTGGGATGTACTCGAACCGCCGCCCTATGTATATAATCTTCTATTTTCATAAACTCTTCGTTTGAGATTGGCTCGACGATACGTGAATCATTGGGAGGTAGATGGTCAAGCAGGTTCTGGAGATGACGAACTCTTTTCCATAGCTCTTGGCTCTCTCTCTCCAGTTGTAATCTTGTTTTATTATCCGTGGTATAGATTGGCTGCCCGTCGGAAAGGTATCTCACACCCAGTGTTTTGAAAAGTTTCGCCCGGTTATCCGCCATTTTGTTGCAATACGTAGGGCTATTGTCGAAAGGGGATGAATGAAATATGTAGCCCCCCTAAATTTTGTAATGACTATCTTCTTGAGTGTGTACGTTAAGAAGAACTGATAGCCTACGTGTGGAGGTTAATGCTTGGTTCAAGATTTATCATGTGCTTCTTGGATTAAAAATAGAGACGACTAGGAATGTTTAGCCCCTTTATTGGAAACCCAGTGTGACATTTCCATTAAGTGTACAGCTACGTGCACCTACAAAGGTTGATATATAAGGCTGCAACAATCAACAATACACTTTATTGTAACAAAGATATATCCATACAGTTTGCGTAAGTGCTGTTTTCATCCTAACATAATATCTCTGCTTTGTTTGATCTCAGACGTTCGCGACCATAGGCGATGGAACAAAAGTAGACATTTTTCCACATGTGACTATGGGACTTCGAATTTATGGCATTTACTTAAGTGTATTATGAGAATAGTTCTCAGAATCTCAATAATTCTCTACTTCATATGATAAATTGTATGATCATCAGCAAACGGTATAGAGGTAGGTACCTATGCACTAATTACCTAGGTAATCAATCGCCTTAATTGAAGTTATAATCCCGAATATCTAATGTTCATCATACCTACCTACCTGTACTCATTCGCCTCACAACACTAATTAAGTCGAACCAAGTTATGAAGTACTAGTATGGATTTAAATAGACTTCCAAATAATTATTTGTATAGTATTACGGCGTCCCTTAGACATTGATACCTAGGTAGATATCTGCTAGGAATATACTACGTAGTAGGAGGTAGGAGTTGAAGAATCGCGACCCAAACAAAGAGTGATAGCACAAGCTTGTTGCTTACCTAACGTATCCCAAGGTAGGTAGGCGATCTTCGGAATTGCTATGATTGAAAAATGCAAATTGGCTTAGTCCCTTAAATTGAGTGCCGTGAAGCTTTTTGGAAGCTCCATGGTCTATATGAATTTATATGAATTATGCTCCAGCTGCTGAGCCGGCTATGCCAGCTCGCCTAGGACAAGCGCGCCCGTGGCTTAATAGCGAAATTCATTTGAGCCGCCCAACCCACATAAAGTCTATCTAATATTTTTAAGGTTGAATTTACCCCGGTTCTTCTGGGTATTGTCCTCATTATTCCCACTAGGGGAAAGCCGGGGAATGTCGTGACGTTACTGGTTGTAGCCCATATCAGGCTATTTTGCCCCCATCCCTTCACCATGCGCCCCGGACTGGTCCCGAGTCGCCTCTCTCGGTATGGTACGAGTAAAAAGATGTTCCTCCTACACGCGCGGCCCAGCCAGCCGCACAAGTCGGCGTACTGCTCTTTCCCCGCTGTAGCTATTTAAAGGGGAAAAATATAGAATGAGGGGATATATAGGTATTGGGGTAGAGGTAGTAATAAGCCAAGTGTCTCTTCTTTCTCGAAGGGTGTCTCGTGCGTGTGCTTGCTACCTGATCTTCTCCCATCACCTGAAGCCGTAACCGTGATAGTTACCTCCTAAGCTCGCTCGACGGGATTCGATTGAAGAGATGTGGTGCTCTATAGCTGCTCTTTCGGTCTTGGCGGCAGCGACCTCTGTTGTTTCCCAAGCTCCAAGTCCAGGGGAAGACGGAAAATACACCATATCCTCGTCGGGGATAACAGCAAAGGTCGGGCGGCGAACCCTCGAAAGAGAAGTGGATGGACATGCTAACGTTCCGGAGCTTTAGTTCATCCCTTACGGAGCTACACTCACCAACCTATTCGTCAAGGATAAGAATGGAGAGGATGTTGACGTGGTACTCGGATACGATGACATAGACTATTATCGTGAATAGACCCCTTTCGTAGATCCCGCGCACTTTTAGTTAACAGAGGAGTAGCTAACTCTGACTCTAGCGGAGGACCCAGGGCATCCCGTGTACAACAGCATCCCCGGCCGTTATGTCAATCGCATCGGGAAAGGCAAGTATACGATCGACAACACGACCTATACGACACAGATCAACGACGGGACCAACACTTTACACAGCGGTACGAACAATTGGTCGTATCGCGTATGGAATGTGAGTGCCGCAACTGAGGACTCTATCACTTTCACCGTACGAGATGCGTCCAACTCGTCCCAAGGCATGCTGGGCCTCGTGAAGGGGCAGGTGACGTATAGCGTCAGTAAAAGCACGTGGAAGATCTTGATGGAAGCGACGTCGCCCGAGGCCAAGACCCGTACGTTGTCCTCGCGAAGTATCTTGGTGCTTACCTCGCTGACTTGAGACTCGGGTGGTAAAGCACTCATGCTGACCCACCATACATACTTCAACCTGGATGCGTACAGAAACCCCGACACGTTGCAGATCTGGAACCATACGCTGTACTTACCCTACTCGAAGAGGTATTTAGTTGCTGATGATGGAGCGCTGCCCACGGGGAAAATCGCCACGGCGGAACCTGATAGCATCAACGATTTTACGAGCCGTCCCGGCCTATTCTTAGGCCATGCGCGAGGCGACCCCACGTTCGCAGGTAATTGCGGCGGCGGCGGTGCCTGCGAGGGTTATAACGGCTACTTCCTGATTGAAGATGCACCTGAGGATGCCGCTGTTGTCCAATTGGCCAGTGAGTTTTCTGGTATCACCGCCGACTTACGTACAGACCAGTCCGGAGTAGTGGTCTACTCGTGCAATTGGATGGACGGGACCGCCGACCTAAAGAGCACGCAGGGCACGGAGGAGAACCGCAAGGTGGTTAGGAGCTCCTGTGTTGCTATCGAGGCACAAGATTATGTGGATGGCATTAATCAGTAAGAGCAACCCCTGTTCTCCTATACTTCATTTTCAGGTGCCTTAGTTCTTCTTCGGATCTGAAGGCGAAAGAATAAGCATCGATCTGCGTATGATGTAAGAGCTAACATGGTATTAACGAAGCCCTGAATGGGGACGTGTCGAGAAGCAGATTACCGGGCCAGGCCAAAAATATTCGTGGGAGAGCTCTTGGACGTTCGGAAATCTTTGAAGGAAAAGGGAAGAGAAATGACATGATTCTCGGCCTTGATTACCAAAAAGCAGGGTAAGGATTGGTTCGCGCGACGAGCCTTGTGGTGGCAACCGTCAAAAAGAAGCCGGCCGCGTCCTGAGTTGTATGTACATAGCGGTAGGGTTTAAAGGAAATGGTAGCCTTGTGAATCGCGTCGTGTGTCTCGACAATGCATGTTTCTTGGCATACCTCGAAGTTCTAGTGACGCAATATCTCGATTCACGCGGCGTATAATCCCTCCTAGAGTCGGGTGTAGTTAAGTCCGGCGTTAAGAACTCTTAAATCGCCTATATACGACCCAAATGCACTTTGACATCAGAATCAGGTCATACTTGAAGCCCAGAATCTCTCGAGGCAGACATTGCGTATGAAAAAGACCATGTATTGGATATGCGCATCGTGTAACGTAACGACGGTGTTGTAAAATTTATTCAACGGATCGGCGCCTTTTGTGGCACCCTCCGCAGCAATGCGAACGGAAGGTGTAAGGTCTGGACCGGTAGATCTGTGTGACGAACGTATATTTCCTGGTTGGGCCATATGCCTCTTAATTCTCTTTCTACTTCCCCCCCTTCCCGTCCGCTCAAAGGCATACGTGGATGGTATGAAATTGGCAATCTGACATTGACGTATTTGGGCAGCTGGAGGTAAATAAATTAGACCTTGATAGGCATCCATTGCGGCGACTAGCCTGCTAGCTAGCGTGTCCGCCTTATGATCTGCCTGAATTACGGCTCTCTTGCCGTTAGCTTACCTATAGATAATGATGGTCTGATTCGCTGCTAAGTATCGGAAACCATGTCCGCCACAATTGATTGGCTGCGGGAAACGCCATCGGAGGAATGGCCGGAGGAGTAGGATCCCATATCGAATGCTTCGCATGCAATGCTTTTGCGATTGCGGAGCATCGAATTTCGCAAGAAATCCATCTACGAAATCCCGCTTAGGCCCCTGTTCCCGATCCCACCACTTTAGGGGTCCTCTTTACCCTGCATACGCTTGTCATCAAGCGTCCAGGGGCTGTGTTTCCGCGCGCGCACATGGCTTGGCGTGCCCATGACGTAGCAGCCAGTTCTAGACTTTTTTCTGAATGTTGTGTCACTCAATTTTATCAAATCGCTTTCTCGCCGATTAGCCATCTTTCGTCTCAGGGCGCCATTCGCACATAGCATTGAGTTCTAGACTCGACAGCTGAAGGCCTTCCGGTAAAGTACAATCCCATATCAGCCAACGTGTGCCTTTAGATCCCAGTCTGATAGTTAACTTCATGGCACTCCTTACACCTACATCATCTCTTTTAAGTAATGAAAATAGTGATCTGTTGTGACGTTTCGAGCGAATCGACGTCATTGTCGTTCGGTGAGCTTCGATTTTTCGAGTTTCTTCGCAGTGGCCCGTCGTCGTTCCGTGGGGGTTTCCTATGGGAAGGCGTTCAAGTGATCCTAGCAAAGCGAAGCCGCTATCGATTCTGACGAAATACCTATAGATCATAGCACTTGCTAGGGACGATTAAATCAATATTCTAGTAAAAATGAGGACATGATCGCCTTGTGGCCATGGTCACGAGGACTAGGCCGCTAGGCACTTGATGGGGAAGAACCCGGATTATGATGTTATTCATGAGAATGAGGATCCTAGTTTGCCCGGTCGGCCTTTCTCATACGTAGCAACTCACTTCCACCAGTACGTTAGAGTTCGAACGAGGGAGAAGAAATCAGCCCATATTGAAAAAGTTGGTCGGGTTGGCTTGCTGACTTACTTCTCTAAACGGGAATGGGATCAGCACGGCCTGTGGGGGCCAAAGTAACTCTGAATCTGGACCTGAGCGGAAGCTTTCAGTAGCCCATCAGCCTCAAACTTCTAGCCATTCACAGTCGCCTGTCACCAATCCTCCCGTGTGGCCCAGTCTGGCGAAGTTAGGTATAGGCGATGGGACTGAGGGAAACCACGATGACATCATATAATTCCCCGAAAATACGTCAATAGATGATGTTTCCTTCTCCTGGAGGACCAGGGTTTTGGAATTGCCGATTCTTGTGTCATGGGGGTCGAGACTAGATGGGAGAATTTAGTTCGCGGATTGTGGAATTATCACAGGGTGTACCACGCGGTCAACCTCGATAGCTCTTCTATCCCATGCCTTGGAGGTTCTTTACATAAATCCCTGGTTGGCCCGTGATTCTGTCTCTTAGGCATTGCTCTTGATCGACAAGCTGAATTACTTCTGTGTTGATCTATACCCTGAACCGCGTTGTCGTCGCTTTTCTTTCGTTCCCATTCCATTCTCATTCTTCTTGTTGCATGTATTTAGTTGAGAAAGGGCAGGAAAAACGTGAGCCTAAAAAAGTCTTCGCGAAACACAAAACCCCTCCAAAAAGTACCTACTTTATCTTATCTAAGGTATCCGACCCCACGATTGCCCACGCAGGGTCCCGTTCATACAACCGTCCCACGCTGCTAGCGGATGCAGCCGAGCGCTAATCGAGGCCAAACCCAAATCGCTGGAAAACTCAATTAGCTTCTCAATTGCTTGATTGGCCTGAACCGTCGAAATGGCAAATAACGACCAAGCCGACGGTTCAGCGCGCGCAGACCACTATCTAAAGTTAGTGATATTATTAGCGGCCATTCCTTGATGAAGTCCCACCCTATTACATCACAAGAACATCGAATCTCTAACAATGCCCTTTGATCGCAGTCAAGAGGATGTCAGCCCTGAAGTGGTTCAGAGACCAAAGATCAATGCTCCTGTTGATATTGGCTACAATATGGACCGGTTTCTGAACCCGCATCTCCACGCTGAGGATCGACATCTGAGACCACTGCAAAGCCCAACCCCACTCACGGAAGACGAGTCTCGCGCACGCATGGCTACAATCTTGAATTCTATGGTGTTGGACCTCACGTCGAAGCAGAATTGATAGAGAGCAAGTTGCTCTCTTGATCGCACCACTTACCTGCTCCTTTCTAATTGTTTATACAAGTGTTGTATTTTGTATCTGGAACTTGCATCTTCTTACTAATGAGCATGAGAGCGTAATCACTTATTATTCGGTTGGGTTTGTTTTCATCGCATTTTCTGTATTATTACTCAGGGGTAGTCCTGTACGATATCACGACTTATGAGCTGGAACTGCATTGCTTAGGGGGTTTTGGTTGCATTTCGTATCTACATTTTGGTTTTACTTGGGCCATTTCTTACCTTTCCGCGGGCTTTAAATGGTTCCTTGCTTTGTATATCTTATGTATATTATTGAAAAATACAATGTATTCGTCATTCCTTTCCTTACCAGACATCCTAACCTTTGAGTGGCGGGTTCAGGTTAGTACTGCGAGTCAATTGCCATTAGGTGATTGGATACGTTGTTCCAGCTTTCAAGCGTACAAAGCTCTCCCATCTACCATATCAAACCAAGTGGCGGCTGCATCGTCATGCCATTTGCGGCCTTCATCTTCATCTTGCACTGAATAATATAAGGAGGTTTTGCTATTCGCGAATTGATGCGTCTATTTCGTATGATGCGGCACATCTGAGCATATGAAATACTCCCTGTCGAAGGGTTGACTTTGGGATTAAAAAGGTATATGTAACTCCACCGTCACGCTAGCTTGGAATTGCAATAATGAATGGCACAATGAAATGCTATGTTCAAATACTTGAATAACATTGTCCTGCCCATTTACAAAGGGAAAACTAGAATTGACTTGCGTGTCCACACCTTGTCTTTCTCCATCCGTGCTAGGTCACTACATGTGTATGTTGTTTCTGGTTCCTATAGTTATTTGTTAAGATCAAAGACAGTGAATCGATACAATACACGGCATAATTACGTGTATATGTGCGCACACTGAGGGCGTTATCGAATCTACATAAGACTACAGTTTTAACTCAAAATTGCCTTACGCACAAACAAGCACTCATCACCAAAACATGGCAAACAGGAGAGAGCAAAGGATTGATTTAGGAGGCTCAGGATGTCATGGTGAGCCTGTCTTCAATATATTCACTGATTATCTCCAACCAGAAAGTTGTACTACCGCCGCGCAGGTAGCCACTAGGATTTCACTCCTTGCGCCTCCCACGAATGACGGCAACAAATTATGGGAATTCTTAGATTACCTCTGGTCGAGCATCTGCAAATTTGCGGAACAGATACCGCACGATAATATAGCTCAGGACAAGTTGGTAGATGCCATCCTGGAACTTATGTTGCTACCTGATACTGGAATTGACATCTGGTGTGTAAGTAAAGCCACCAACCCTACCCCTATCCGTCTTTTTTAGAACTTAAAGCTGACCAAGTAATCAGATGCATATGTGGGAAGATCTTCCCCTCCTATATGCCGCTTTTAGCGAACATATAAACCTTTTTAAATATTCCGACTTTGAGAACATACAGCTGGAATTAGACAAGGAATGGATACGGTTTTATGCCTTCGGTGCCAGACTGACAGCTGCCGATGTGTTTAGTCATACTCTGCCAATAGCGATGGTGAGCAAGGCATTAGAAGGCAGAAAGAAACCGTGCAGCAGTAGAAAGCTAAATAGAGATTTGTCAACAGCGGCCGTGTGTATTGACTACGCCGGCCTGGTTCTAGTGGAAGAATTAGCTTCTAATCCACACCCGGTACCTGACGATGATAATGAAATCGAAGGAGGCCCACTATTTAAGGGTAAGCCCGGGTTGACGCTGGAAAGGTGGCTATTTTGGGAGAAGAGATTCCCTGAGGAGGCAGAAAAAGCGACGACCAGCGAAGCGAAAGAGCTTGCTCTGCGTGCCGCGAGGTCGATGAAAATATGGCGTGAAACAAGGCTGGAGGGAATTTAGAGGTCTGGTAAAGATGCCTGGCAGGCCAGGTAACACTTATACCCAATAGAAGTAGTCACTTTTAAAACAAAGCGACTTATCTGTATGAGTGTCTTACGACACCGGGAACCTACATAGGTACCTAAGTAACATGATTTCTATAATCTAGACTTTCATTCTAATAGCAAAGCCAAAGGACAATGCATATTAAAGGCCGGAGATGGAAAATGAGTATCAAAGTGAAACGCCATATTAGTTTACGGTTTCCTAAACATTTAATCGGATTGACATGGTTTAGATTACTCTCTAGATAGATCTTAGGGTAGCTCTCAAGATCGTGGTTGTAAGCCCTTCACGAAACCAATCGGAGGAGGGCCATGTCTATTATGCTATACGCACTTGCTTTGTTCATGAGGATGGTTTCTGTCATGGGCGCGACCAGATAGGGAGATAAGAGAGCAATGTTGTTGCCTAGGTAAGAAATTCTGAGTCCACAGTTAAGGATCGTAAGATACGTCTATGTAACTTCCTTTTCATTTATGGCTATAGTAATAGGTGTGATATTTATTATAGGTTGAAGAATAACCTGGCCGAGACTCCTAATAATGATAGCCTTGGAATGTATCTAGGTAAGTTATGATGAGTGCCTAGCCAGGATGGATCGTGAGGAACCTCCAAATCAGCCAGAATTCACTGTCTATTTGGCGAGGAATACGACCCACAGGACACGTGTAGTGCTTCACGAACATGAATGTCTACCTCATTCAAGGTGTTCAGGGCCTGTATTACTCGACCAGTAACATCTGATATATATCAAATCCACTACTCTTATTCGTGGGGACGACTAATTCAACTGTAACTTCGTAGTTCCACCGATGTTAAACGCGTGAAAGCTCGTCGCGCTCAAAATACGTTACCCTTGTTCACTTTAGATGGCCTATTATGCATCGACGTATAACAAATTGTTTGGACTGACAATTCTATGGTCATCTGATCCGTCCAAGATCCATCGTGGGAGCACAATAACTAAGGCGGCCTAGGCGGCTTGGCGTTGGACTAGTGTCGATCAACATATGCAGCTGGAAGGCTAAGAATAAATTGGTGGACGTCCATCAATGTTAGCTAATAGTAAATTTTAGTTGCCGGATCAACTATCCTTAAAGGATACGCTACCTAGGTATGATGATGAAGATGGGGTGAAAAAAGACACGCTATGAGGGTCGACAGCAAATGTGCCAACATTGTGGCCCTGTAGAGGCTATTACTGATGTGACGCGCCGGAAGGCTTACGCCGTTGATTACAACTATTTTTTTTTTTCAAAATGGTATAAACGCAAACCATACCATGAACGTACAAAAGCCATACAATAGCTTCTTCTTCAAAGGCAACCCCCCTAGAAAGATACTCCTCGGATCATAGCCGCAGTTGAGCAACGTGTAACCGACCATGTCTAGAAGACGGAATATCCTATCGAGGATAGGTGTTTAGTATCATAGTCACGACAACTGAGGTAGAAGGCCGCACCAGTAGACTTACAAGTTAATTAAAAAGACGCCAAAACCGAACTTGGGCAGCGGACCGCCTTGTGTGGTCTCGGAAATAACGGTCTCGCGCGCGGTATAAGTAACAGGGGGGATGCGGATAAACGTGATGATCAGTTCTGAGGCGAGCGCGCGTGTGTACGTCTGCTCATTCGTCGTCCCAACGCGAATCACAAAAATGCATAGAGCCAATATCGCTAGGCCGAAGTCGATCTAGAAAAAAGCCGCAAATCGTCAGAATGCCGACGTGAGTAGAAGTGAAAGGAAGGTAGGAGCCCGTACGCTTGCAGGTATCAAGACCGTCGACGAGTTCCGGAACATGGTCCAGGCTAGTACGGCGGCCAGCATCCCGAGCCCGAATTGTATGATGGCCATTATCAGCCACGAGACGACGACGACAAGCCGCCTCACCCTACAGGGGGCGTGCAACTGCTTAATCCTGCTATTCGAGGCGCCGCTGTGAACCGGCCAGGTGCAGAAGTGGCATATATAGCCGTAGTCGCCGTTCACCATCTCAACCAGCGGCCAGTGCTTACGCTGGTGCTCACGACTTAAACGATCACGCCAGCAACGAAAGCAGATTGACCGCCACGTGTGGCTGGGCCGCGTCGTATCCACGATGAGACGATCAAGTCCTGGAATGCATAGACACTCAGTGCAGCAACCGTGTAGGACTGGGTCGGGGCGACCATCCCTAGCAGTGAACTGCCTGCGGACGACGTCAGGCGTGATGACATGGCGGTACAAGGGATAAGTGTGTCGTAGGGTGATGAGGCTAGATAAATCTAGATGAGAAAGGATGAGGTACTGAAGCTCAAGTGGCAGGGAGTCCAGCCCTGCCTCTCCTTCAGCCCTCCTCCTTGGCAGCGCATGGCGACGGAAGTCGCTCTGCGTATCATGTGAGTGCCGAGTGGTTGCGATGCTGTTGGTGGTGGTGGTGAGCTCGAAGCCGTTAGAAGAGCTGCTACTGCTCATCATGCGCGCGTTGGACGTGGACAGAGCAGCAGTAGCAGTAGCAGGAGCAGTAGCAGTAGCTGGAGCTGAGGCTTGAGTGAGGAAGAGAGTTGTTCAATCATGGAATGAACGAAGGGCTCGTCATCTTCCGCCCGACTTCTCCTTTGAAAGACAATATGTAAAAGTGGTTGAAGGCCGATCATCCAATGCGACCGTTTCTTGAATGCCAAGTATGACGGTTGAAGAATTTCCCTGGACTTTGATCGGTTTTCCGGCACACAAGACAACGCGCTAACCCGGCTGTCCGGCACAGGCCGAGACCGTGCACTGATCCGTATAAATAAACAGTATCAGACAGTCATACACACGGTATTGAATATGTATATAATTGGAGAGTTGGAGGAGAAGAAGAGCAATTGAAACGATTCAAAAAAAAGTTAAAGATTAAGTAAGGAAATCTCTCAATTACGTTTGAACAAACGTACACGGAAAATATGATAGTCCATATAAATTGAACTATTTTATAAGGTACATTAGAAAAGTCTTGGAAAAGACAACGATCCGGCCAGTTATATGCAATCTTAATCTTTCCTCATATCCATACTAATCTTGGAACAACAGGTACCCAAGTACTTCCTAACGGAAAACGGGAAACCCCAGCGTCTAAACCGACGCACAGACCAAAGTGGGAAAGCCTGGGAAGCCTCGCAGGGCTGTCCATCACATGTAAGGTCTAACTTTAAAACTATGGTGATCTCGCATGACAGTTCGACGCGATGACTATTTAGGAAAAGACCGGTTGGTGTTGTTGACGTGACTAAGAACATTGGATGAAGTGTAGAAAAATACAACTTGTAAATGTTCCAATGGAACCTTAGAGCTTGTTAGGCCTTGGAAACTCCAATGTTACTATATGGATACCTGGTACATAATTAGCAATATTGAATAGAAAAGGTGGGCAACAACATGAACACATTTCCAAGTCTGATCACGTTCTCATGCAGGTCAACTCAGAGCCTGCCTAAAGTACCATTGCCTTACCATTTCTAATACCCTGCACCACCCTTTTCCCAAATCCTCATTGGGCTATCTTACATAATCTTGTCGCGATCTCTGGGTTTACCACTAGCGTGGCCTATCGGATCGGATGGATAGAGCTACGGTTGCCCGACGCTTCGAATATCTCGCATTTCACAATCAGCCTATCCACTATCCATCTCGACAACTATTACCGGACAACCCTGTAACGTCCGGTTGTAATGTTGGATTACATTACCTAGTTGGCTTACTACAATCCACGCCCTGTGTTACGAAAACCGACCTGCCCATTCAGTTGTCGTAACCCCTGTCTTCCACTGCACTCGTCCCATGCCGAGTTGCGGCAGTCTGCAGCTAGCCGAGACATGTCGGATATGGATTCCACTATTTTTCTTCCCGAGCACGTCGAGTTAAGCTTCTGCTCTGCCGATAATAGAGCGGGCATCATGTTATCTAACTCCGGGGAAATGCTCGTATTAGTTGTTTTATTGCTAAGAAGGCACCTGAATAGTGCATTGATATGTGGACCTTGGTACAACATAAACAGGCCATGAGATTTTGTCGTCACAATAATCGCCCCTCACTCCCCACCTGCACTGTTGGTCATTTTATTAAGGATCAAAAAGCTACTAGTATAAACATCTTATGAAGATGAAGAAGAAAAAAAGATTTCCACAACATCTCACCGTACATTGCAATGAAGGGAGCTGAAAGGATGGATGGGCTTACGAGTACCAAATCTTAGGAATGACCCCTTTTTTGAGCTGACAGGGGAAACCGATCTGACATGGCGCAGAGTCGGGTGGATATCTAAGGACCCCTCGGTCTAGTTGCTACCGGAACTCTCCTTGGTCGGGAGAAGAGCCTCAAATGTCTTGTTCGCACCTCGATCTTTTTAATTTCGCGATCAAATCCCGTTCGTGGACCCACCAGCAGAATAGGAAGAAGCCCACACGCCGCGCTGCATAGGAAACCTATCTAGTACTTCATTTAGTATTTTGAGCGACGATAATTGTCGTAGTTAGAAGGCAACACAAGGATGCCTGTAGCTAAACTGCAAATTTCATTCCCATCTGGATAGGTTAAATGAACAACCTCAACGCCAATGAAGCTGAACGATATCGCGACAATAAGAATAATACATCCTATGAATTGATAAGTTCTGGTTGGCAACTGATTATATAATTTTAGGCGGCATTGATTAAGTGCCTAGATGTCTAAGTAAGTAGGTACCAACTATGGTAGGGCAGGTATTGCATGAACGTTGTAACAGTTGGGAGGCGCCACCGCCCCGGCTCAATGAAGTCATCGTGACGATAGAAACAACTTCAGTCGATTTGATCCCCACACTACCTATATAATTGGTGAGGTTGTATGCATATTCAATGATAGTCTAGTCTGACGTCAATTCCAAGAGTCTTTCACGAATAGCGTAATATGCCACGCGACCTTTTTCTATCATAACGCATCAGCAGTGCATATTCTGTTCGAGCGGAATCCTGTAATTCGGTCAATGAATGCTGTGAGAAGTCCTTTATATTCAAATAGGTATGAATATGATTCCGATGTAGCGAGAAGGAGAAAGGTTAGTCACCGTTTTTTATTGTCGAAACCATGTGGTCTTATATTCAATATAGTCAGATAGGGAGAGATGTCGAGCAACTGATGGAAAAAGAGGGTAGGACAACGAGGGTTCAGGAGGACGTCGAATCAGCGAGAGAGCATTGCTTCCCCCTTGTCACGCAGATGAGTCGAGAGAATGGCCACTCTGCCGAAAAGGGTCATGCGACTGAGAAGGTCGTAATTCGTGTTGAAAACGACAATGATCCGCTCGATTCAAAGAATTGGCCTCTGGCATCCCGCTGCGAGAATATCGCCATTATTTCCTTCCTAATATTCAGTCAGGGGTGGGCGGGAGCAGCAGAGTCGATGGCGAACAAGATCGCAAGCGCAGAGTTTGGCGTTAGCCAAGTCGCCGAAAACTTATCAACCTCCATGTACCTCTTCGGCATCGGATCCGGTGCGCTCTTCGCCGGGCCGCTGTCCGAGACGCTGGGCTGAAATCCCACGTACCTCGCTTCGACATTTTGTTATTTACTTTTCGTCCTAGGATCCGCGTTGACGCCGACGTCCGGGGGCCAAGTCGCGTGTCGCTTTTTCGTCGGCCTCTTTTCTAGCGCCACGCTGAGCGTCAACGGTTCCAGTGTACGAGACCAATTCCGCCCTGTCAAGAGGCGAATGTTGCGGGTGAGCGTCCCTCGGTAACTCTGTCTAGTTAGGGAATGTGTGTTGACGAGTTATCTTTCGTTGGTTAGCTTCTGCGATGGCACCGAGCTGGCGGATGGATTGTCTCGAGCCCGAATCTTTCGTGGCGTTGGACAGGCTGGGTGATACTGATGATATCTAGCATTGTCTTTTTCGTCTCGTTACTCTTCTTGCCGGAGACTTACCTACCTCTGTTTCTCAATTGGAAGGCGAAATAGCTGCGACGCGTCACTGGCGATAACCGCTACGTCTCCGAACACGCCGATTCGGCGTCGTTCACTCGTAGGCTAAGACAAGTCGGCCCTCTGCCTGCAAAATTGCTTACGCAGGAGCCCGTCATTGCCGTGTTTTCCGGGTATCTAACCTTGCTCTACGTGCTGCTGTTTATATTCTTGTCCGGGTTTGATTACATATACAAAGTCACTTACCAACTCTCCACTGCCATGACAAGATCCCGCTTTGCCTCGATTGCGGCTGGGGCAACGTTCTTTACGTTTCTTGCCCCCGGCCCCTCTATAGCTGGGCGCGATGGAAAACCGAGTTCGTGCGCGGCTCTTCTATCGAACCGGCATTCAGGCTCTGGTCCGCGATCGTGGCAGCATCGTTACTGTCAATTAGCCTATTCTGGCTGGGCTAGGGCGATCAGAAGAGTGTATCGATCTGGAGCAACCTGGGTGCTTGTTTTGTTTTTGGAATGGTAATAATCGCGATATACGTCTCGAGTTACGAATACATCATTGGATAGCTATGGAGACCACGCCGCCGTAGGTCTAGCTGGCATCACAATAGCTCGTTACTTGGTTGCCGGAGGCATGGTTATGGCCGCACGCCCGATGTATGAAGGCATAGGTACGCATTGGACGATGACTCTCCTGGGATGTATTGCTGTGATACTGCTTCCAGCGCCTCTTGCCTTCTGGTGGTATGGTCGAAAGTTGAGGTCTAGAAGCCCGTATGCGAAGAGCCCAAGTGCTTGAATTTGCAATAGGTATCCAAATAGTAACTTCAGAATTACTAATAGCTAATGCAAGGAGGTGGCACAATAGCCCCCCTGCTTGAGTGGTCAGCCACAGCAGCCACAGTGTTACATACGAATCCCAATCACCACTATATCCACTACTATTTCCGACCCCTCGTCATCAGTCAACTACTCAACAACCTTCTCGCACAATTACCGTAGTCGATTCAATCCTTAGCCGCGATTGGAGCCAGTGGCTAAATCAACGGCGGCCGGGGAATCAATCCCATAACTAACATTCAGCGGTTTCGTCTCTACATCGGCTGCCAATCCCAGCACGCGGACGACCTAACTGTTGACAATCTTGATCGCTTTCGAGGTTGGACTGCCTAATAGGTACCTAGCGATACTTTGAGCGTAGCGTGGAACGTGTATAGGCCATTATCTTCATCTTGGGACCTCTTCATCATGCACTCGGAATACGCGTGAGGCACGACAAGGGAGTCGCAAATCTATAGGTAATAGGGAGCCTTCTGGTGATGGTGATGGGTATGGTAGGCCTGTTTTTATTTGATTCCTTCTCGCTGCCTACCTAGGTATTGATGCCGCGCCCTCCACTTTTCACTTACTGCAGAACTGAGGATTTGACCCTATATCTGACGTTCTATACAAACATTCCAAATGTAACTGCTCCTCAAGATGCGTCATCGTGCACTTTTGTCGCAATTCTCGCCCCCATGCAATAAGTGGGTCACTCGCTGAATCTGGCCTAGGATATGAGCTTTGACGCATTTTCATACGGCGCTGGCGGCACAGCATATATCCTCACAAGATCGAAAGAGCATGCCAAAGATGCAATTTCTCACATAATAGCCCGCTATGATAGCAATCGGACAGCTGACACAGGAGCTGGGAAGCCCGTCTGCTGAAGCTTTAATCCCGTTAGAGAGGCGGCTCAGCAGTTTATCGAACGTGAAGGATCAAATGGAACACCAGATTCCATTTAACAATGCCGGCGCAAGTGCTCGCACGAATGCCCCACAATCAGTTCAGAGGCACGTATATCACTTTTGGACCAACTCGAATATTTAGCGCCACACTCCTACATGGCATCACGACTGTGTACGGCCAATATTGAAAAGTCCCGCGCGTGATGCCGAATCCTATCTCTGGATGACCTTTCGGCGTCCATAATTGTGGATACTGCTAGGGCCGGGCGGTACACGATTTACTTCGAGAGATGGCATCCCAGACAGAGTGGTGGCTTGCTATTGACACTGAGAGAGCCTGCTAACAGTATCACAGGAGAATTGATTGAATATTTAACGTGGTGTGAGGAGAGAGTAAAGGGATTCATGAACTATCGCGGGGTATGCCTACTTTCATCCGACTAGTGAAAAGTACTAGGCATCTCTTCTATATTGAGTCGTCTTCTACTTAGTCCCCTGAACCTTGGCGAAAACTCCCCTCTGGAATTCCTCGTGCAATTGGGTTATTACAGGATGTAGAGGGGGCAAGATCTGGCAGAAGGCAGTCCCGCAGATCCCCGTATCATGGTCGATAAACCATACAGTGCTTGGAACACCCGCCCAAAACGTAGTACCTTTTCCGCAACGACCGCTCTGGGATTGCTTTGATATCAAACCCGCGAAAGACCATGTCTTCCTAATTGATTCTGGGATACGCATCCCGAGGAAGGCCGTATGCGCTGGAGAAGAAGCGATGTATTCGTTGAAGCTCTGTTCGAGCTTCTCATCAAGCTGGGGACGAAATAGCTCCTCGTAAGACCCTGGCTTGAGGAGTTTGGCATCCCGCCGGAGAAGTGCGGAGATGAATGCGTAATATGCCTTCGCAGAGGAAAAGAGGCCTGCGCCGCCTAAGCAGTCTGTTCCTCCGAATACGATGTCGAAAGTGGGCAGGTCAACAGCTGGCGGCTCGCCCTTCTCGTTCAGTGTGCTGATGGTAGCCATCCTATCCTTCATACTCTCTTTTGTTTTGGGGTAGAAGCTGATGTCATCTTGGATACCTAATGGTTCCCAAATATGAACACGCATAAAGTCTTCGAGGGTGGAGCCCGAGGCTATCTGGACCAACTTGCCGGCCCAATCGTGCCCTGCCCCGTACGTAAAGCGTGTGCCTGGTTTACAAACGAGAGGCAGAGCAGACTTGTCTTCGATAGTTGGCCCCGAAAACGGCTGTTCATTACGTGAGGCACGCCATTTACCTAGCGACGGATTGAGCCAATCGTACTCATGACCTGATATATGCGACAGGAGCATCCTCAGTGTGACAGGAGTTGAGTCAGGTTCGAAGGTAGCTTCGTTTCTCTCATCGACGAAAGCAGTCATGACACCATACTTCCCCATTTCAGGAAGCAGAGGTCTGACGTCTTCATCGAGCTTCAGGGAGCCATCTTCAACGCACTGGAGCACAGCTACCGAGGTCATAAGCTTGGACATAGAGGCAATAGCGCAGATCGTATCCTCCGTGAAAGGGCGATCGTCGCTCTCTTTCAAGGAAGCCTTTCCGAGAGAATTGGAGTAGATGATGTTGCCTTAAACCCGTGTCAGTCGGATGCATAACAGAGCACCACTAGCTCATACTGATCTCAAATATGAAGTGTCTCACCGTCTTTATCTCCTGCTAATAGCGATATACCGGGGAGAAGTCCCGATTGAACTGCATCTTGATAAACTTTGTCCACGCTTTCCGTCATGGCTAGGCCTTAACTTCTGATATGGAAGTAATCGGTTCGTGAATGGTATAGATTGTACTTCAAAACTCCTGAGCAGTATATGATACTAGCTTCCAAACAATGATCAGACGTCGATCTCGCGGTTGCAATAGCGTCACTTATTATTCAAAACATAAATAGAATTTCTAACATGAGGTATGGGGGTTTCCTAACGTGAAAGCGCGGAGAGTGAGGGGCTCTTCTCATACTAGGTACCCATTTATCGCAATACTGTGCCGCTTGGCTGCGGTATCCGTATGAGCTACTGGCTACCTCTTGGCTAGCACTTAAGGTGGGTGCCCTATTGTTTGACACCTATTAACGGTATCCCCGCGCACATTTTGATCGCTACCGAATATATCCTAGTGACGGTTACGAATTCAAGTTGTTGCTACAAGTAAGAAGAAGAGAAAATACGCTGTTGAACCTTTCGGGTTTAACGTCAACCATTTCGCCTCTCTCGTACATTTGGGCTTTGACCTCTCTTCCACCACAGGATTCGCATTGGCCATGATCTCAAAAGAGAAGGTTGGAGGGCTAAGAGACCTTGGACGTACCTAAGTAACTTGAATATTACTTTAGGTCCACTTCACTTGGCCACTTTCGTAAACTTCCCACGTAGTGACTGAAAAAGGAGCCAAACAAAAACTAGTAAAGCTTCTTCACCTACATGCGTAGTTGGAGAATCTACCAAGCGTGCTCCAGTACAACATTTTTACAAGGTTCCATGATATATACATATGAAGGCAAGAGCTATCCATGCTTGTTCGTTTTCAATAATAATCCCAATAGACTTGAGTCATCGTGAAACTGGTTTATTTCGTAAGCTGTAGAGAATGTGTGTTGGATTTATGCAAGCTATGTAAGTCAACTAGTAATATATAAGGCACCATAATTTTGCCGAGTTGAAGAGTGTTTTACCCGAACAATTTGTGATGCGTATTCTAGATCTTCCTCATGAAACTACGGCAAGACTTCATCAAGGGAGAAAGACAATGAATCCCGCCTGGAGCATGTGTTGATGGACGAGGCGAGTGACGGGCGCTGGTTAGAGGTCTGACGGCTGGATTGCCTGCTAAACTCGGGCTACCTTGTAACGTTATTCGGGGAGTATCCTGCTTATATAGTCACTGGGAACTTTCAACTTTCTTGATAAGGTCTTCCAGCTGTCCAGCGACGAAGGGCGGGTTGTCCTTTTGGATAAAGTGTCCGGATTTGGGTGAAATAAGGGGACCCTTCGCTCTGTCTGGGTCGGTGAGCCCGCAAAGCCCCTCATTGTACTTCTGCCACATACTGCTTCTCCTTAGTTAACTACTAAAACGAGGAGGAGGCGCTTACTTACGGTTGAGTATACATCGCGGCCATGCCTATTGGAACCTTCAACATGGCCCACTCCTCCTTGGAGAATTGCTCGGGCTCGTGGCCCACGACAGTTATCCAAGGACCTTTATCCGAAGTCTTCGACCCCTTAAGCTTTGGCTTTGACGGGTCGGGTAGGATGTTCTTGATCTCCCGTCGGTCAAACCCTTCGTTATTTTTTGCGTCTGCTGCAAATATCGTTGTCATCTTGGTGTAAGCGGCTTCGTACACCTCAAGCGAGGTGCCGGGGGGAGCCATCTTCTCTGGATCGAAGGACGGATCCCTCGGGTTAGGCCAGATACTCTCATAATCGGTGTTTCCAGGGTTGGAATCGAGGAACAGGATCCCTTCGACGATGGTAGGGTATCTATCCCAGACGCATGTTCTTAGCAACAACGCTGGACAAAAATATAGGCTTATCGTCTATTACCTGTCAGCGTATCTTCGGGCGACGTGGGCGCCTATGCTATTATTTACGAAGACGATGCGCGAGGAACGATTAGGAGCTAGAGTTTGTATTAACTCATGGAGATCGTCGGTGACATCATCTAGTGTATGGGCGTAGCCGGGCTCCTTAGTAGACCAACTTTCTCGCGGATCTCTCGGAGAAGCGCCCTGGCCGTAGCGGTCGTAGGTAAGTATCCACGGCTTCGGAGAGATAGTGGTCTTCTGGAAGAGTTCAATAGTCGGCTTCCAAACGCCTTGCGCGAGTCCAAGGCCATTAAGGCAAACAACGAGGAGAGCACTTGCAGCATCTCCTTCGAAGAGCTCATATGCGATAGGGGCATCTGGCTTGGAAGGGAGAGCGACAGTAGGCATGTTGAATGTTTAATTAGTCAAATAAACTTAGCAGATTACAGATAAAGAAGAGGCTGGAGTTTCTGGTTATGTTTTTGACTGTGCTTTCACTGTTGGTGAGATAAAGATCTATTTTAGGGTCAAATCTGAGAGCCAAGAAAGAGGTCTATATGTTAGACCACTAGGGGCTAGTACCTATCATATCCATATTGTTGGTAATACAAAACAAACACACTTACGCACTTTGGTATTAACCTGTCCTGCTTGCCTAGGCAGATTCCTAGGCGGCCAGGGAGGCCCAGGGGTCAGGGGTCTGCTAGGGCTGTAGGAGGCCGGGCAATATGCAGTTGGGTAGTACGAGATAAATGAGTAACGTGGTAGTAGTAGTATAATAGATTGGTACCTATTCTAGCACGACGGAACCGACGAGTGGCTTGACAGGGACCGTATGATTGGTAGACCCAATTATCAAAGACGCCCGACCCTGGAATCGGCCCAACTGTTTTGTCAGATCCCCGCCCCCACAAAGAGCCTCACGTTTAAGTCTTTCCTAGGCCTTTATAAGGTGGGGTGCTTTCAATAAGCGGACCCGACGAGAGAAACGGTCGAGGCGGGGAATCAACACAGTACCTGTACAGGAAAAACAAGCTTACTATGTACCAACGAGGTACCCAAGTTACAACTTCGGCCCATCAGTGCATCGCCGACGTCCTTTCATTGCCTTGTTATCCGGACATGACTACGTGAGGGCCTTCTTCAATTCCCATCGGGATAGCGTAGAGGGTCATATATCGTTGGTCAAACGGATTAGTCGTTCTACCTTATTCCTCTCAAAAGAGCCTCCCCCTATCTCCCGCCACATTTTGGAAGGCTGGCCCATGGAAAATGTGATGACTTCGGACTTGTATTGTACTCTGGACGAACAGCCGGTAGACGTCATCCCATTTTAAGAGAGCTTCGAATAAGTCCAAGATGAGCCATTCTGCTATCTCCATACGTCCGGATCCGCCCGAAATCCGAAGCCTATACTAATCACATATGGCTCGTACGGCAGCATAGATTCACAGCTTCTGATTCCGCCTCGCGGCCATAAACCAACGTCTTTGAGCTCCATTCACGGGTTTCCCGTCTCTCACTCTGCTGCGCACGAACCGAAGGTTCCCACGACTACGAAAGGAGTAGCTTCTCCGGAGGGATCGTCAATAGTGCCGCCAATGGTGCCGTTACTGCTCCGAATGGAACGAGCGCTCAGGTCGCACAACCCAACGGCGTCGTAAATGGAGCGAACGGCCACGCGAAGAAAACAGCCGTTGGGCAGCTGTGCCAAATAATATACGAGACGCTTGCCGAGAACCACTGAGTTGACGACCTCACGGATAATACTGATCTCTTTAAATTTGGACTGAATACTCTTCAGGCGCTTTCCCTTCTCAACGCGATCAACGCGTTCATCATTCAGTCCGAGCACCCAATGGACCTGATTCGTGCCGAAGCCATCTACTCGGACCCGACTGTTCCGAAGTTACCTAGTACCAGCAGTTGTCAAACAATTGATGTTGTAGGGTGTGGAACACAATAATTTTGCTAGACTTTGTATTTATTTATGAAGATGACGTAGCTTGACAATTACCGCCGGACTAAACCCACTCGGTCCAACTGAAGATGATCCGACGGCGGATAATTTTAAAATTAGCTATGACGTTACACGACTTCCCACCCATCGTCTGTCGTGACGCGACTAGCTGATTTGCGTTTGCGGGGATGCTGGTGTCGGCAAGCTTGGGAATGGCTTCATCCTCATCCCCTTGGACCCACTTTCGACCGCTTAAAGACGATACACACGTGTTGGGTGCGACTGGTCTGTGCATTCCTCGGATGACTCACCATAGTGCTACCTGAATCTCTAGATACCTTATATATCCTAATTACAGTCCAAATTTTCAAGGTCACTCGAAGGTGCAGTGTAGTGCAATGGTCTGATGTGTGGGGTGGGTTCTGGGGGCTCTCTCAAAGTCGGGGTTCGAGTGGCACCTAGAGCAATAAAGTCAGGCCGTTGCACTACAATTCCCACAACCACAATTCCGTGGGATTCTGACCATAGTCAGGCGGTTCTTGCGCGAGGCAAGGCAGACCCCATACGCGTAGTATGGGAACCCACACATTGCTCAATCTTTTTTTTTCTTCACTTCGTTATCAAGTAATCCCATTTATTAATACTTACTTCAGCGTTCTTCAGCATCCATTGAACTTACTAATTTGAGTATCACTCAACCTCACGGTCAAAAACACGGAACCATTACCTCCTACCTAGTCTCTCCTACGCGACGTACTCGTCTTCCAGATCACCACCTTCAATTCCGTCTCATCCAAATGCTTCCGCGGCACCTCCAGCTAGGACATTAGCACCTCGTCCTCCGGCACGAACCCAGAGTTGCTGGTCTAGAATCATCTTCGCAGCATTCCCTTCGCGTCACAGAGATACCGGAACTTTTGCCGGTTCCCCATAGACTCTAGTTGTACCTCGAGCGTCATAATCCTGAGAAGGAGAATATCAATGACCCCGCCCGCCATGGCGGGATAGGTATCGGCGCTGGAGAGCAGGATTTGGGACGGGGGCCGCCCTCTGTCTGTCTGGAATGCTCGGATCGGGATAGAACAGCGGTTCGCCTGACAACGTGACGGGCGCATAGTAGGTAATGGAAATTCTCCAGTCTCACCCAATGCGCTGGCAACGCTATCTTAGGGACTATGTTATATTCTGTACTAAAGGAATAGTTCGTTGGTGACGATTACCTCGTAGAGATCGAGGTTCCGCACGCGCACTCACTAGGGGGACTACACTGAGGGACTAAGAAAAAATCACCTGGTCATCAAAGGAAGACAATAGAGAGCAGCTTGCCTTATTGTCCATTGTTGAGCCAAAGGACAAGGATATAAAGTAAGAGACTGGGAACAATAGCCTTGTTTCTCTTTGAACGACACTGTAACAACCAAAAGATTCATTAAGGCACAAGATTAGTTATCAGATATTCAAGTATATATATATCTGGTGATACTATGGAGAATTTCGTTCGGTATAAGCAAAAACCTCTATCCACCATGGCGACGATTCACGTTTTTAGAACTGCTGAGACTCAATTTGACGCAGAGCCAAAATTCAGGAACGCGAGAGACTCGAGCTTGTCAGAGAAGGGTCTCGAACAATGTATGAAATTCTCCTGTCACTCTGGGTTCCTCCCACTTATGCAACATGTTACCCACGTAGTATCTTCGCCCTTGTGCAGCTCTCTCTACTCCTGCCGCATCGCATTCGACCGTATTGTTTCGAGCAAGACTATCATCGTTCGCCCAGAGCTTATGGATGTAGGATGTCCCACCCCGAGTTTTGGATCAGACAAGATGAAGCTTTTTTTGATGTTCGGCGAGCAGGTGAATCTAGATGCGCTTCCGAACGGATGGGAAGATATCGACCCGAGCAGCGAGTATGCCCACTACGATTTACAGAAGATCAAGGCACGGACAAGTGCTGGAAGACGATGGCTGATGGACCTCGCACGTACCGCTGGCGAGAAAGCTCACATCGTGGTCATGACCCACGGCCAGACTGCTCACTTGCTTACTGACGATTTCCAGGGCGTCGAGCCCCCTTACTCAGCTAACTGGGATGGGGACCTGAGCTGGCGCTCTTACAAGTTCGATTTTGCTGCCGAGAAGATGGTCGAAACACCGTCCAGCCGAGTGAGAAGAGGAGTATCGGCAGATATCAATACGTTTACTGAGGATGAGAACGATCGTATTAGGGCGATGATAGAAGACCGGATTGAGAAGCGTGCGCCGCTAGTTCAGGCTTACCAAGCTGAACATTGTCAAATTGAGGCTACTAGGTATCAAGTGGTCACGTAAGTAATAGGTCCCTAAGTCAAGCGTAAAGTGAGTGTAGAGGAGCGGCGTAGCCGCTGCTAGTATATAGCAAGTATGAGATGAACTAATAACGCTACTTCTTTTAAGGTTGAAGGGGGCGAAGCCCCCTTCTTATACCTTGCTAACTCGCGTTTGCCTAGCAGGAGGTCCTGCGGACCTCCTTCTAGGCCTACTCCACTTATGCCCCTGACAGGCCATAACAATCTAATCGGCTGTACATAGGCCTCAGTATTCAGTCAGTACATATTATAGTCAATTGATTTGATCCATATTCCCAATTCACCGTATATTCAATGCTGCTTCGTGTAGGTACCTGTAGGTAGGTATTTTGTGACGGATGCCTGTTTGTGGTCTGTTGAGATACACTAAAGGCTAACCGTTCCGTTACATGCAAGAAATTACCTATGGAGCTGCTATGATCGTGATCTCTAGCCGCAATGATCGACCTCTAATCGTCTAAATATATGGGGAAATAACCTCTTTAGGTATGAATTGAAGTGAGCACATGTAGGTACCTATTGGCCTGAATAACCTCATTATTTTGGTATCCACTGCCGAAAATGCCGCTAATTACGTCGGCGCCACCTTTAACAATCTGGTCAGCTTATATCAGAACTGGTGTATTTTCTTTGAATTAATCTTGTAGGAACAATCGTAGCCCATTGCTTGAACGAATTACATGAAAACATAGCTAATCATGGATAAGAGAAATAAAGGGGGTATCATCATTTATCCAGATTCCGAACAGCGCCCAATAGTATGAACTCCTTTTTCGTATCACGTCCCTATGCGTACCCTATATCCCATCTTTTCGTCGACGCCTAACCCTTAGCCAACTAATGCTACCAAATCATATGATGCCGACCCTGACTCCTAGTATATAAGTGTAAGACATTTATTAGAGTTTATAATTTCACACTTCGCCTCCATGAGGTGGTGTAATTGGCAGAGACGAATATGACCCATTCTCATTGGCAGCTGTCGCTGCTGCTGCTCCATTCATGTTCTTCATCCGCGTGTCGGAAGAACCTTCGTTTGATGTATCCTGGAATTCTTGGATATAATCAGTTCCGTCGAGAATGTCCCGATCGGGGACGGGGGCTACTGGAGTCTCTACGTCTGCTGGTTGCTTGCGAAATCTCCTCGGTATGAAAGTCTTGTACATCGTTTGCCGGAAGGTGCGCGTAGTTCCGAAAACGACGAAAACCTACGATATTGTTTGTTAGTGATACATCGAGTCATTAGTAAGCCATATTAAAGTATGACAAGCTTATGCGAAGGATGGTTGAGCTACGGTGGCTAGGCTTTCTTCAGGTAAATGAGAGATGACTTACAAGTAAACTGGTTGAAACCCCTGCCAAGAAATGTAGGAAGTCGGTCCTGGCTTTGCCTGCGGACAAGTCCGCATATTCGCCCAATTCCCCTCTTGTATGCGTTCTTAGCTGGGCCACCTCTGATAAGATGGTTATTAATTGGAAAGTCGCTAACACGACGAAGCCGATAGAAAAACGCAAAACGAGCCAGCGATCGTATATGCTTTGCCGGCCGTCGCCCTGTTCTAACACATTGATATCTCCACCCGACTCCCGCGACCTCCGCGAGAATAAGTAGCGGGCGTTCCATGAGACAAGTCGGTGTCGAGTATAGATATATTTGATGAGAATAGCTATTAGTAGGATACTGCCAATCGTAAGGCTAACCATTACTATTATTGCATTAGCACGACTAGGTAGCCACTTAACGAGTATCATGGAGGGAGGTGACACTTACTATTAAAATTGGCGAGTATTAAGAAAGCTATATGTGAGTTTTGGACCGTTTGTACACGAAGAAGAGCCATGAGAATAGCAGGCAGGATAATAGCCACAAGTTTCGCGAACTGGTTGGCTCTTTGCCTGACGCGTTTGGAAGTTGTAAAGTGTGCGAATTTAAACACGGTGTAGGTGAGCGCGATAGCCCAGAAAAGAGTAAGCATGGCTTCGGCATTGTACGTGTAGTATTCTACCATGATGCGATGAGTCAACAGCGGATTTAAAGAAGGATGAAGGTCTTCTAAACTTACGTATATAGAAGAGAACAAGATCGAGACCGAATGACGCTCCCGCGATGGCTATTTCCGGGCTGCCAAGATGTCTAAGGGTGTATTCATATTGCTCTGTTTTAACATCTCTCCACCAAATGAATGTATGAAATTGCTGGATAATACTCCCAATGGTTCCAAGCAGCGTGGAGTAGGAAAGTAGCGCGACATCTGTATATTGTCATCAGCGATTGGTATCGAAAGGGCAGAGGTGGCGATCCTCGATGATTTGAAACATACAGCTGTCTCTTTCATGGTGCGTCCAAACCAACCATATCATAACACAACTGGCTCCAAGGCACAAGAACGAATAGACAAGAACGATAATAGCCACGCCAACTACCTCAGGGAGTAATTGAACTCCCATATCGAGCTGGCGAGAGGTGATTGAGACATCGGAAGCCGACAAAATAGACTCGACGTTGGAAAATGAATAAAATTAAAGCACCGGAAGATCGGGAGAATAAGCTTTGGCTATCCAGGGGCTTTCTGAGCCAGCCAAGCAAGCCCATCCCATTGTCCTAACTGACGAGTAAGTACCGCCGCCGATTCTAGATGCCAAGAGCCCGGTGCTGTCACGGTTACAACCTTGTTCGGGCGTGTTACCGAGATAATCCATGTGAGATTTCCACTTAGATCGGCGTGGGGGTGCAGAAGCAGCTAGCTTAGGTCCACGGAGCAAGCAGGAGCGCAATACGAATGGGAGATCTCGAGCGGGAAGGCTTTGCGCGGCCAATGGCATGAATGGGTCAAATTTCGGCAGTGTGGGAGCCATCTACCGAAGAACTCGACGCCAATGAAACTCAACCCCACGTTATGGAGAAGCGAGCTCTAGCACATCATCTCGAGAGGAAAACCACGATGTGCTAGCACAAGCTACTTATTCCTGAGGTCATGATGTAAAAGAGGAGAGTCGAGACCGTCGAGGCTGAAATTGGCTCCGAACTAACTTGAGGCGAATTTGTGTAGCGTGCAGTGACGATGCTTACTATGGCTAGAATTGGGTCAGGGAGGGTCATCCGATGAACTTACTGGACGTGAGCGAGGAACAAGGATAAAAGAAGAGCTAACTACTGGGGTCAGGGAGCCCGGTTTTCACGATCAACGACAGCGATCATCGAGAATTTTAGTCTAAATCAAACTTAATTCATCCATGGCGCAAGATCTAATAATATGGAGAATCGCTGCCATGCAGATCACGCTTCCACGAGGTCCTCAAAACTCGTTTTTCGGAGCCCTAACTTAAGACAACGTGAAAATGCTTATTTATGCAAAGATGATAACATGGGAAGATAGGCACACCATACAGAAGGAGTTCCCTTTTACACTGGACAGATTAGCCATGAGTTTCGCATGCTGCTGTTAGCTGCTTCGGATCCAAAGTATTACGTCAAATAGGAACACTAGAATCTAGTCTAGATATGTAACATCCAGTCTGGAAATATAGATAAAATCTTCGGATTGGAGATCCCGAGTCGTCGCAGTCACGAAGACTTACGTACACTGTATATTCTCCTGATTCTGATTAGCAAGTCTTTAAGCATGGACGCGTTGTGGGGCTTTAGCATAAACACCTACATATAGGTAACATGCCGTTAGGTTATACGCGGTAAGCTCCTAGGTATGGTATAACAGTTTTAGCGAATAGGGGGCCGGGCTAACCTATACCTCCAGTATATAAGCCTACAGCACCGCAAGCTTTTGCTGCAAAATAACGTCTCATCAAGTGACGGGACTAGGGTACCGGGTAGCATGCGCTTTAATGGAACTGCATATATGTTTCAATGATCTGCAAGGATCAGATAAGAACTACATAACTGGGTAACGGCATTACCATCTCGGGTAACAAGGAATGGGTATCTCGGAGATAGCCTGAGAAGCTATAATTGGAAAGGGAACGATCAGATTTCCCAGCATGTCTAGTTCAAAGCAGCTGTAGTGTGCTTTTGAAAACCTCGTGAGGGTTTTTGACGACGTGGGATTTGTTACGCAGTGTGACATCGCAGGACTGAGTCGCGTTTAAGGTGGGCCTTTCTTCTTGTACCTGTCTGGGCAGCCCCATTGATTTGCAGAGAATGCGAATCCTGTAACAATCTGGATCACGTTTATCTCGAACGTACTCGCGTCCTTTTTGTCTGCCAAGCAGGAATTAGCTGACTAATATATCATGCATCGCACGATAGAATTCATGTGAGCGTCAAATGACTACCTATAATTTCTCCGCTTCTCCCCTCTGTAAATAAAAGGCGCACTTGAGTATGTGTACGTAAACTACTAGTTCGTATATTAGTATTTCATGATATTGTAGTAGGATCCTTATAAACGCCGGTACGTCTAACACTCGTCTGGTAGTACTCCGCGTACCTACCTGGTATTCTGGGGTACAGAGGCGAAAGAAGAGTTGCGTAACACCTTCCTCTTGCGGATATTTGCGATAATTCTATATCTCCAGCACAACATCGCAGTTTGACCATGATTGAAGGGGTCACAAGCCGCGAGTCCAGCTACACAAGTAGGTATGTATACCGTAAAACGCCTGATGTGGAGAATGGCAACGACTCGTTCTGGTGTCAGTCATGTCACGTAGGAGGTTGTCAAGTCGCCGATGTCAAGATGCACGTATTGGGTACCTACCTAGTTAATAGTCCCCAGTCGATCGATGGCAAGGTTCGTAGGATACGGGAGCCAGCATGGAGAAACGTTCTCCCCCTATATAAGTTATTCCCTAGGTACTCATCGTATTCTCCCTATACTGGCCAAGGAATACACTTGCGTTTCCTTCCAAGTGTTGGATGTTCAACTCTGTAGCAACTTTCTATGGGAATTAAAGGCTAGTTACTTTGAAGGGGAGGTTTGGAGTATCGTACCGTCGTTACGAGCCTTCCGACCTGTCGGAGAAGTGTGACCGGGCCGATAGCAAGCACTGTATCCTTCAGAGTTGCGTATGTATGCATAACGAACATATAATGGGGGGTTTTGGAAGGCAATCGCGCTTTAACTCATCTTGTTGCCTTCGTGGTTAAGGCCGGCTGGGACGAGTCGCTTGGCTTGCGCTCAAGGAAACGATCAAAGTTCAAGCATTAAGATTTTCGGGCGTACGACTTTCAAAATACGGCTTATCTAAACATATAACAATAATATTAGATCGGGAGTAGGATATGGGGGAAACACAACAGGTATAGAGTAAGGCGATATCGGGCCCTAACCCCTAACCCCTGAAAGTGTACCAAAGGGTCACTCGTGGCATGGGCACACACTAGAATTTGAAAATCTTTTAGTAAGTTGAGGTTACTTACCGTATTTGATATTTCAGCAAGTAGACGTATTGAAGGCTGATCGCGGAAAGACTTTTGATATAGATAGCCGTCGTTAACAGTCGGAACTGGAGAACCTCGTCACACTAACCGCGAAAAGTCAACAACGGAATCGAACCTAAACACGACGATGCTAGATTCGATATGGGTCGTAAGTATATTGCCTCTGCCCCCCTTTTCGTTGTCATTTTCATCGTAACATGAATTAACCTAAATAATAGGGGTTCGGGTTTCCTTAATAGGTACCTCCGGAAGAATAAAATCTAAAAACGTAGTAAGTAGGCAGATCAGCAATTTGCTGTTACGTGATAATCTCAGTGGTAGCTTTACCAAGACCGAATGTTAAGGAGATCCGCGCTCATCGAGTTCCTCTAGTTCAATGGAAGCCCCGCCCCTTATTCAGTAGTCTTGGCAATCTCGACGACATCAGCCCACTCCCGCGGTCTATACCTGCCGCCCTCACTCACTCCATTCAGATATCCCTCTGCTTCCTTCGCCCAAGCCAGAAGCTGCTCCTCGGCACCCCACTCCCCCATCGCCATTAAGCCCACCGGCAGCTTGCCTTCGCCCACCTCAGCATCGACGTATCCGACAGGCGCGGTAACCGCCGGGCAGCCCGTCGAGTTCGCCAGCCATATATACATCATGTTCCGGATGGTCACGTTGCCGTCGCTGAAGCCATACGCCTGGTCGCCGGGCTCAATCTTCCAGCCGGCCTCGGGGACTGTCGGCGTCACGATTAACAGATCCGGATACAGCTTGAACAAGAACGCTAGGTGTTCCATGATCAAACCCCTGAGCTGCCCGAATTTAATCATGTCGACGGCAGGCGTGCACCCGCCGACCGCCAGCAGCAGCTGGTTGCAGTGGTTGACATTCGCGAGGGGGTTGGCTGGGTCCACGGCGTGAGACCGGCGATGGTCTAACCCTTCTGTGAGCGCCCAGACGCTGTGTCCGTACTGACCTTCTACGAGGTATGGGATGGTGATGTCGACGACTTCGTAGCCTAGCTTATCCTTGAAGTAAGATATTGCTTTCCTAGTAACCTCGAGGACATCCGCGGAGGCTCGGTCGAACCAATCACGGTAGATGCCAATCGTCTTCTTGGTTGCGGGGCTAGGAGGAATAGACAACGCGAATGCGCCTTGTGTCGGATCTTCGGGGTTAGGCGCCGACACTGCAATATTATCAATTAGTACGTGTTATCTGTGGAAATCGTATTGCCTGACGGAATATATACTTACTAATACGATACGCGACAGCTAAGTCATTAGCCGTCGCGGCCATAGGACCAATGACACAGATCGACGACTTCATCGTGTATGTACGATGTAAAGTAGGCTTCAACCCATAACCCCCACAGAACGACGACGGAATGCGAATGCTTCCTCCAGCATCGGTACCAATAGCGATGGGTACCAATCCCGCAGAAAGGGCTGAGCCTCCACCGGAGGATGAGCCGCCTGGGTAATAAGATGGGTTGTTCCAGTTCACCGGCGTTCCCCAATGGGGGTTGCACCCACTAATATCCGAGCCCAGTTCGTGCATTGCCAGCTTCCCGACAACGATAGCACCAGCTGCCTCAAGTTGCGCAATTGGCCAAATTGTGCTAGTAGCAGGTTTGAAGAAGGGATCAGATGGGTTGAATTTGAGTCCCATATGAGAAATATACCCTTCAACATCCGTATCATCCTTGACGCCTATTGGTACGCCATCAAGGATACCCAGAGGTTGCCCAGCAGCATAACGTTCTGTCGATTTTTTGGCGGCAGCGAGTACTAGCTCCTCTTTCGTGATAGCGAAGGCTGATTCATACTTCGCCGGCGGGTTCTTCCCCCTAGTTATCAGTGGGAGTAACCCTTTAGCCACTTGAAGTGGGGTTAGTTTTCCAGATTTGAAAAGTTCATGGTAATCCGCAGCGGAATGAAAGCGGCCAGCTAGATCATCTGGTTGACGTTCATGTAGCTCGGGAGTGATCTCGGCCTTGCTCTGAACGACACCGTCAGGCAGAAGGGGTGTGACAATAGGCTGTTTAGTTTGTCAATTATTCAACGTGGATAGGGACACTTGAAAAAGTGAGGATGGATGTTGGACGGCATACTTGGAGACGCCAGTCATATTCATGTAGCCCAGGAACGTCTTTGACGCAGCCAAATTTAGCATTCGACCACGTAGCCTGGGCAATAGCCTGAGAGTAGGTGACCCTAATTCATATGAGCGAAGATACGGCAGTAGATGGGGCAAAGAAGGTTACTTGCAGTTTCGCCGCAATTACCAAAGACCATCCCTTAAGCGCAGGATTCCTGTCAGCAACAGGTGCATATGCTGTTTCGGGGCCCTTCTTAGCGCGAGGGTATCCTGAGTATCTTCGAGAGGGCTCCATTGCAGCTAAATGTGTAAAGAAGGAAATATTTCCCGTGGGACACGTTTACCTTGACGAAGGAGTCGAAAGTGAACGCGTCAAAGTGAGGAATGTTGAATAAATGAAACCTCGGCAACGGGATAAATTCCACTAAAATGTATTAAGGTTACACCGACCATCACCTAAATTGGAGAAAAAATGTCCGATTTTGGTCGGAAATTTCGGGCGTTTTCCGATTGGGTCAGGGAGGGACGATGCCACGAGTTCGGCAGCCACAAGTAAAGCCACCGACTTTTGGTCAGTGTGGGGGTTCTGCCAAGATACGTTACCTAAGCATCGATATCCATAAAGCTTCTTTCAATCTAACGATATCTAAGGATTGTAGAGGTTTGTATAGAAGCCTAGGTAAGTATGTACTTCTGCCTAGTATAGGCACTACTATATAAATGATAGGTACGGATAACGCATTCTAGTCGTGAATTGGCAATCACATCAGACGATGCATATGGATGCATCCCTTGGTCTATTGGATGCGTCTGGAGTCGGGACTCAGGAGGTAGGCACCTAGATAGGCATATTTCATTCATATCCATATTATTCACATTCATCCCAGTTACCGCCATCCAAGAATCAATAACGCCGGTCGAAATTCGGGCAATCGTTTTCGTTGCTGAATAATCCAAGGATCATCAGGAGGTATAGGTGTAGATGTCGGAAGCGATACTCTGCCATCCCCCTCAGTGTATCCGGCCTGTAACAATCGCTCGTGGTAAAGACGTATCTCATGCAATATCACTACTTCCAAACTTGAACTGAGGGCAAGTGCCACATCTTCGTGTCGAGGAAACACCGGTGACATTTCCTGAAAACGCGCCCACGTCTTGTAATCCTCTATCTTTCTTTGGTCTTCCTCACTAGACAGGTCAAGTATGGTTCCTTTGCCTTTATCTTGCTCGGTTATGTCTGGCCGGAACCTTGGCCAATATGCAGTCTCGATCTGTTCAACTATGAGATAGACCACCTTCACACTGTGAAAACGATGACCTTCGATAAGATCCCTTATGACGACTTCGATATCACCCTCGAAGTCATTCGCGTTGATTGCCATTCTCTCAACCGCAGCGAAGAATGGTTCCGGATTCGATAATGGATAGGGATAACCGCTGTGAAGCTCCAGGATATCGCGAGACCCGATGAACCAGGTGGTAGTCTGAGTATCCTCGGCAGTTGGGAATCCTCGTACGACCGCATGGTTCATAGCAACTTCTCGCGACTCTTGACAGACATGAGCAATTACAGGTGGTAGAAGACGCCAGTTCTCCCACGGCACATTCTTGGCGAAGAGTTGGATACGGCCTCTAGGGAGGGCGTGAATCCAAATCAACCGCCTAATCTCCGTGGGTAATCGAGTAAATTGTGGAAAAGTTTGGTGGTTTGACATTTGGTTGACTCGCCTTAGGGTGTTGCTAATTTAATCGAAGGAGCTAGTCGTCGGACTAAGGGTTAGGCGCGTCAAGTAGAATGTTTCGACGTGGATAGAGTGCCTATGGCCACTCCGTCGTACGATTTTATATAGTTGCGATCAATTTGATATCCAACCATGACTGATGGGATGCGCGACTACTGCAGATCAGGCCTGTAGAGATTTTGCATCTAAAGCGTGAGGATAAGTAGTAGGGATGGTTGAGATAGTAGATAATGACGACGATGATGAATGGACAGGAACTCGGACAGTTTGAAGGGCATCTGTGGGCAAGTTGCTCTTGATATATATACATATACAAAGATATACAGATATAACATGCAAGAGTTGGAGAGCATTCGAGTGTTGTGATTGTCCGACGATGATTTCCATTGCGTAAGGCTGTATGGTAGATACGGCCAAACTAGAACGGATTGGAATTTGTGGATCCAGTAAAGAGCTCTGGAATTGACGTGATTAGTTGGTCTAATCGCATCATCTGCCCGTTGGCGGTGATTCTCCAATGTTTTGATGCCGTAATTCCACAAAACTTGATGGTATATTCATATGTCTTGGCATTTAGTGTAATTCGTGAGTGTTCAATAATGATAGTTACCTCCTCTATAACGAGTATCATTATAATAATAGATTGTTCAGAAACGTTTTTCTGTTCCTCACCTCCAATGTCGATTCATCCGCTGATACGTTATTCGCTTCGAGCAGTATGGCGTGAATTTATTCATACAAGGTGAGATCATACATGTAATACTGGTACCTTCATCTTGTTGCTTTAGTCCCGAAAGCGCTGGGAGCATCATCGTCAGGCAACCCTCTCGGTTGATCAAGACTTTCGATCCTTCACACTGGTGTGGAAGTGTATTTGAGAAATAACTGGTTCGGGCGCAGGATAAAATGGAAGGGATTCCGCTACCATAATACCTTCTATTGTGCGAAAATGTTTCGAGAGACCGATGCAAAGTAGCCCTGGAGGTATAATGTCTAGCTGGGGAGCATGCTAAGATGCACTGTCGTTTTCGCGTCGTTCTTCGCTGGACTTCCGGACTCTCTACTCTGCCCATATCAAAGCTGATTTAGTTACGACATATAGTCCCGGCCAGAAAATTGCAGCTTTCCGTATAGATTTACGCACAACAGTAGCCGGCACCTTCAATTCTTGTCTCGACAACGTCGAACCAAAGCATTTCCAGGATCCATACACCGCCACAGATATAGGCGAGTTAATCCTTGCCAGTGGTGTTGTGTATGCGCTCAGCCAGCCGTGGCGAAGATGGTTGGGATGATGATGCCATCGTGACTGTGGATTTCGATTGCTTTTTCAATCTAATCCGTTGTCCGTCGGTGGGGATTTTAATCGGATTTTGGATATTCCTGGACCATTACGTGATCTGTCTCAATAGGTAAAGTGTGGTAAAATTAGTAAGCACTGTAAATATTAGGTAATTGTATTTCTTAGGTAATCTTCAAGTCGCCCCTATTATGGATTGTTTAGCTAACCGTAAACTAACATTATTAAATCATAAACAAGGAATCGTTTACCGAGATATGTACCTATAATACTCATGAAAATAACTTCTCCACAGCATTGGTTATCCCTTTGAATCCATTGGATATCTACCTACGGTTGTCGGCCCGCCTTTCCCTTATTCTACCCCATGATCAAGTAGGTAGGTACTTACGTATAAGAATGCTGAGCATAGGTAGCGTTTCATTTCTGTCTAAGAATTCTAATCAACTACCTAGCTTTCAACATAGGGAGAATATACTTCTCATGAAATAATTAAGCTTCCTATCCAGCTCAGTTCATATGCATACCTTTATGTGTAGGTACCTACCCATCCATTGACGTTTTGAATGAGGCGGGACAGTATTGTAGAATCATTAATCTAAAACTAACAGATATTGTAGTTTTAAGGAAGTACAACATACGACTAAGTAATGCAATGGATGGATTGTGATTTGATAAATCATACATCCTCCATATGCGCTACTGCAGCTCGTGTGGTCTTAGTATTACTATAGAAAAACAATGCAATGATCTAAATGGTGGATTAAAACTGAAAGTAATCGGCCAAGCTACCTATAGGATCTTGTGATGGACATGGATATAATACCTAGGAAGAGGACATGGCTCCCCGAATCTCATTATTACCCCAGATTTCCCCAAATCCCACATTGTACCCCGAGCCGTCCATTCTATCGGTCACCACCGATACGGGGGTAAAAAGGAGAATACCTAATAATCGACACACGGATCTATATAAGCGGCACCCTCCTCTACGTCCTATGTATCTAAAGTAAGCTTTCTAAGTGAGCTTCTTATGTTCACCACAATACCCAATATTCTCTTTCTTGGGAAATTTTCCACCATCTCGACTAACTATGGCAGCTCATTCACACATTCATAGTGTCCAGAAGGTGGCCGACCAGGAGTTAGAGGAGAAGCTAGGCCATACTGCTGTCCTCGATGCCAAGAAAGCCACGGATGACGAGCATTCCCAGACGCTATGGCAAGGCCTACGAGAAAATCGCAAAGCCGTTCTCTGGTCTATCTTGCTTTCTATGACCATTATAATGGAAGGGTAAGCCCACAAGCTCTATAACTTAGATACTAAACTCCTGTGTTAACATAAGAAGTTATGACGGCATTCTTATCGGTAATTTCTTTGCCTACCCCGAGTTCCAGAAGAAGTTCGGACAGTATTTTGGAGACAAAATCGGCTGGCAGGTCACAGGAGAGTGGCAGACGGCTCTAAATATGGGTAGCACGGCCGGTGCTGTCGTTGGTAAGTTAGTCTCATACGTCTACATTAGCTAAGACATGTAGCGAACCCTTAATTGAAGTTCTGTTAGCTAACCTCCAACTACCTACACACATACTAGGCGGGCTAATAAATGGTTACATGGCCTCTAAGTTTGGATATCGATGGACTTTGATTGTATCTCTTGGGGCGCTTAATGCTTTTATCTTTGTCGTCTTCTTTGCTCCCGGTAAGGAGGTGCTACTCGTCGGTCAAATCCTCTGCGGTTTGTCTTGGGGAGTATTTGCGACGCTAGCCCCCGCGTACGCATCCGAAGTCTGTCCTACCAACTTACGCGGATACCTCACTACATACGTCAATCTTTGCTGGGCTATTGGACAACTACTCGCTACAGGAGTATTGCGCGGATGCCTCAACATACAAGGTGAAATGGGTTATCGTATTCCGTTCGCCATTCAATGGGTCAGGTTCCACCTTTCCCTATACCCCTTTTCAAAACTGAAATATCAAAATACCAGGTATCTACGAGTACTGAATCTGACGTATTCTAGTTATGGCCGATTCCTCTCATGGTGGTGTGCTTCTTTGCGCCAGAGAGTCCGTGGTGGCTTGTTCGTGCAGAGCGTCTCGAACAAGCTAAGCATTCCATTGTAAGGCTCAGTGGCGAGAAAACGGACGAACAAATAAATAACCAACTCGCCATGATGGTTCATACAATCAGAATCGAAGCTGATGCGACAAAAGGCGCCACGTACCTGAACTGCTTCAGGGGCCCAAACTTGAGACGTACGGAGATCGTTTGTGTTGCATTCATGGGGCAGATCCTTTCTGGTAGTAGTTTCGCGTATACGCCGACTTACTTCTTCACCACTGCCGGCATGGATACTGCCCAAGCTTTCAATCTTAGTTTAGGGGCAAAGGGCATAGCTTTCATAGGGACGGTATCGTGAGTATAAATCTAGGAACTTTTCTTATGGCTGATGATTGTCTAACTACCTATGTATATTAGATCGTGGTGGCTTATCTCATATTGGGGTCGACGACCTTTATACGTCGGTGGTATAGGTTTGCTATCCCTAATCCTCCTCCTCATTGGAATACTTGATGTCTCTGCTGGAAAAAGGGGTCTCTGGCCATCAGGTGGACTCTGCGTTCTCTGGCTGTTTGTGTATTCCCTTACAATAGGACCTTTAGCAGTAAGTCGACTTGATATAATTGATTATCATCACTTCCCTACCTAACCATTCATATAGTTCAGTATCATCGCAGAAACCTCTTCTGTCCGACTAAGGCCTCTTTCGGTCGTACTATCTCGCACGTCTTACCAACTCGTCAACATCATCTCACAGTTTTTGCAGGCGTATATGATGAATCCTGTCGAGTGGAACTTACTTGGTAAAACAGGCTTCTTCTGGGGTGGGACTGCTTTTTGCGTCTTCGTCTGGTCGTATTTTCGCCTGCCTGAGGTGAAAGGCCGGACATACGAAGAGCTTGACATCCTGTTTATGAATGGAGTTCCAGCGCGCAAATTTGCAACCACACACGTCGACCCGTATGCTGCCCCTGCTATAGTTGGTACAGGGGATACAGCGGAAGTTAAGCAGAAGGTTCAATCCACGCAAGACTAAGTACAGTATTTAAGACGACTTGCAGATAGTAGCTGCTTCTATCCTAGTACGATTACAAGGTTGAGGTCTTCGGATTAATCTAGAACACCGACAAGAATTATTTGGTGTAATAAAATCTACCGACCCATTTCCGACGGAGTCTAAGACTTTCCATCTGCTTTAAGTTAGGAACTTGGAAGTATCGAAGAACTTATCTGCTCTGGGGTTATGTGAACTTGTGATCCCTTAGCGTCCCGAGTCGATTCACATCATTACGGGAAAGAATAGGTGTAACGTACATGTAGGTAGCGAAAAGGGGTAGCTATTTTGGAGCCCCTATGAAGTACCCTCAGTAGTGATATCTAATAGAACAGCAAATATCTTAGGTATAGCTAAGGAATCATGCATATAGAACACGTATTTAAACCAAGTAGAAACAGTTTCAATACCTGCCTGTTTGGATTAAAGCCCGTGTAGGTAGGTACGTATAGTCATCAACGTTACACTTCCTCATCTCTCACCAATCCCCTTCTTCTCCCTCCTGTGGGACGATGCCATCCTTGTGGTAGTTCCTCCATCACCGGACATGGATCAGTATATAATAAGCCTCCTTTTCTAATCTCAGCATGCAGCACCTTCTTTCCCACAAGCGCTTCGTTATTCCACAGTTCACAGTTTATATCCGTGTTCTCAGCTCTCCAATTGTCCTCCGCGACTATTGGTACCTCCAGAATCTCCTGAGTTTCGCTATCAGCTATGGTGGATGGCAGCCTAGCACCGCCCACGAGCGTCTTCCATAGCTGACCCTCGGCAACGTCTATAAGACCCCGAGTAGTAGTTATGATACCTTTGGAGTCGTCGAACCGTACGAGCCACCCACCCTGTCTTGTCGACCTAACTTTGACGATTGGAATAGCATGAGTGGTATGTGAATTAATGTCGCAAACCACCATCGTGTGATATATACCTAGATCTTCCAATTCCCTGCTACAGGCGGTATGCATGCGTACCATGGTAGATGTGGGACAACAGTCTGGAGTATCTGCAAATCTCTGTAGGGCTGCCGTCATTGTGGGCCATGGATGAGGATTGTATGCAGTAATACTTGGCAGATTTTCTCTGGTGCTTGCCGGCTGGCAAATACCCGCAGAGTAATCTTCCTCAGAGCAATAAATGAGCAATGACCGTAGATGTGGCAATTTGATTGGCGTAAAGGAGTCCTTGGAAGATTGATAAGGCGTTTCCATGATCCCAATGAGGGTGGGGCACATAAGAGAGAGATGAATGCGGACGTGGTTCATACGCGGCAATAGCAGACGAAGGCTTTCACAAATGTGTGCTTCCTCTCCCCCTGCAATGATATTCCGATCATAGCCACCAGAATCAATTTCTATATTAGCACAGCTCTGGGGTATAGAATCGAGCAGTCCTATGATAGACCTCGCAGAAACCTTGAAGCGACATTTTTCTGGTACGATGGCTGGCACGTAGAGAGAAAAAGACAATAACTTGTCTAGGCTTCCAAGTAGAGGCTCGAGAAGTCGTAAACGTCGTGCCAGTTCTGCGTTGGCAGCGATGATTGAGCCAAGATCGTATGTCGAGAGTGGCGGCTGGATGAGTCGTAAGGTAAGGGAGCGAACATGACCAGCATATTGTAGATTAAAACTCGCTGCGAAACGCCTGATATTGCCAGTGCCCAGGACAATGTGTCGGTAGAGAACTGTGATCGCTAATTCGTACCATCGTCTACAGACCTCCAGGCATGGTAATAAGTCAGCGGTACCCCAGAACGACGACTTAACTAAAGAAAATATTTCAATGAGTAATTCCGACGAAAGCGAATTCATCGGACCGTTCATATGAAAGAATCTTCCAATGGTTATAGTTAGGTATTGTTTTTAATTCAAGTGTCACTTTTGAATTGATGAAAATAATAGATACGTGGAGGGGTAAGAAAGTAAGAGGGGTGCGGCGCGCAGGGAAGATAGATCTCACACCGCCAAGGGATTGCTTACATAACCAAAGCCAGTGCGCTGTCAGGGGTGACTCCGTTTCTGGATTGATCATCAAGTCAAGGCTTTATTGAAATAACACTAACATCCGGTTTACAGCATTAACTATAGGATAGACTCTTCCAGTATAATTTCCTACCTGACTGTCAACAACCATCTGATTTCTTAAGCACCATTTGGCTATGTACCAGTCCGGGTGATGTGAGCTTCTTTAAGATGTAGATCCATCATACCAATATATCGTTCGGGGGTTTGGAATTTGGTGGGATGACAACTCTATACTTCAGCATCAAGTCTTAGGAGGGCCGCCCAATTGTAGCAGGTTCACGTCCTCTCTCCCACAATACGGAGTTATCGAATCAAACGTATTCATGAGCTATTTACATAAATTATCACGAATAGATGAAGGATCTAGGGATGAGATACTGGGTGGAGGGATAAAAGGTAGTTTAGGTTCAACTCCTATTAGGCCTGTTGGTGCCTCCCTTTTATCCCTTTTATTTGGAGATATTCATGAATGAGAAATGCAGTTAGTTAATCAGTGTACCTGCCTAGATCACAAAGCCACAGCTAGGAAGACCCATGGAGGGTCTCCCCGTCATGGCCAATGATGAGCCGGGGATTAGGTCTTCGATTTCCTAAAAAGGCAATTATAAGGGAACGTACCCGCTTAAGGTTCGTAGGTACTTAGGTGCTCTTGTTTGTTTACGGTCAACTATTAGTAACTGTTGTCATAACACTTTCTCTAAGCAGCTACATCTTGGAGAGTAATTCTCAATATATTTTGTCTATCACTCTCAATGTTGCGTACCTCTATAGTATTCAAGTCCTCATGCCCACCTACTAACAAATGCGGTGCAAGGGTAGGTAGGTAGGTACCTAAATAAGTGAGTTTTACCCCGCCATCCCACCTGGTGGTGTCTGAGCACACTGTGCCCTCGCCTTGATAGCTCTATTCATCAACCAATTTTTGAGGGAAGACGAACTTTCGGCTGATCAACAATTCTTCATTTAGTTTCCAACACCTACCTGGATGCTGTCATGGCTATACTAATCGTATGCTACTATAAAATAATACGACGACGGTGAATGCTTCGATATTGCTCGACTTGGAACGAGATGATTGTGACTAACCCACTAAAGCACGCCTGGTCTATCCATTGTATAAGTAATATACAGTACCCCAAACGCCCTGGATAAATAATACAAGGGTATCAAACTACAGAAACCATACCTAGGGATATACCTAGGCATAAACCAAGACCAATGCCTGCCCAGATAATCATACATCATCTCTCGTGGCGAAGTAGGGATCACCAACTACCGTGACGGTCCAGCTGATGGTTGCCTTAACCCCCATTCCTGTAACACGGTGGGCTCCTGGGCCGGGGCGGGCACGACGCTAGTGAAGACGCCCCGACAAGCTTCTAAGCGCGCAATTTGCACGCCATCTTCGGCGTTGGCCCAGCGGTCGTCAATCGCTGCGAGTACGCTTAAGCCGCAGGCGTCGCGAACGTATGGGTTAGCGCCCAGCTGAAGAAGTTCCTTCAATGCGACTTTCTTCCCGAAGCGAGCGGCGACGTGAAGTGCTGTTTCTCCTTCACGATTCCGTGCCTCTATGTTGGCGCCGGCACTGTAAAGCATTTTAATTATCCTCTCCATGGTTTCCTTCTCCGACCTAGAATCTTCCGGCCGATACTTGACGAATGCCATCAAGGGGGTTTGTCCTTCGCAGTCGTAGTGGTTGACATCGACTTTCGCAGACAGAATTCCTTCGAGATATTCCAATCTCTTACTGCTGCCACTGCTCTGAGGCCTCGATTCTCCGTCTTCTTCATTGTGTTTACGTTTCTTTTGTCGTTGATTTTCCTGGGCAGAACCTTGGACGCTCTCCACATCTAACATGACTTCCGCAAGACAGTGCAATGCGTTGCGTCCGCGAGAATCTTCCGACCGAGGATTTGGATTTGTCGAATTGACACCGTCGACTTTAACAGCGTCAACGACTATCCGCAAAAGCTCGGCTTGGGGTCGAATTCGAGATTCGTCTCCACGACCGGAAGGTATTTCGATTATCGGGCTTCTCGCATTCATTGGGCTGGCACTACGCTGCATCTGTGACGTACCGAGCTCCATGTGCCTTGATCGAGATTCCATGGGCTCGACTCCGAAGGCATCACGCCGCTTGAGTAGGTTCCAGTTAATTAAGTGTGCCGGAATACGAGCGGAATCTAATCTTTTGTTCTGTAGCAGGTGGAAAAAGCTACGCCCGTATACATCTATTGCCGAGATGTTAAAGTCCGGATGGGCCTTAACAATGTCAAGAAGCTGTATCAGGCATGAAACTTCATCAAACCAAGACTGGTGGAGAACGTGCAGAAATGTCTGGCCGGCGGTATTTGTGGCACGAACTAATGAGTGTGGGGTTGCAAGCGCTTGAGATATGAGACTGAGGAAATACATTCGGTTTGCGTCCATAGCAGCAAGACGATGGAATGCCGTGTTGCCAAAAGCGTCCGTTACCTGATAGACGTCGTCGGAAGAATTGTTACGAGCAGAAAGCTGAAATCCATCAGTCGACCATAAAGGCTGGATTGACGTTAAGTCGTCAGCGATCCGGCACCAGCAGATACCCATCTCGTGGGATGCAGGTCCAGACTCGCATGAGTTTCTCCTAGTAACCAAATCCACATCTAGGAAATCACCGGGCACAGCGTACCTCGCGCTAAATGGAGCATAGACGGCCGACCCACCAAGGTTATGGGAGCCTCGCTGAGTAGGTTGAGATTGCGATCCGGGGGAGACAATTGGAGAGAAGGACAATTCTCGTTGTAGATCTGCATCCTTGGGGAAGGTGAACTGTTTCAATACGCGCCAGGCCCCTTTCGCTTGGTCTCGAGACACGGTAGAAAGTTTCTCACAAAAACTGCTACTCATGCTGGTTTCGGTAGAATGAGTTAGGCCAGTATCTTGACGAGAGCCACCCATGCCACTTGTAATCCAAGGAGGGTATATTTGGGCGTCATGTTCATCGTAACCAAAATGTGGAATGTTGGCTCCAATTTGGCCAGTAGGGGAGTTCGTCTCATATTTGAGTGGAGTGGGGGTGTTGGACTTCTCGAAAGAATGGTAACTCGATTGAGCAGGAGTCAGACTATCCTCATCGTAGCACCCAGGAATACATGCATTGAATTGGCTTCTGGCAGGATGTGAAGTAGACGTTCTGTGATGAAGTTTCACTCCTCGCCGGCTATTCTTAAGGGCCGCGATGCGTCTTCTCTCGTCGTCGTCATCTTTAGGTCTTATCCATCGAGGATCATTACCGAGAAGTTGGTTTTTGACTTTGTTGGCAGCATCCTAATTCATTCTGTTAGCGCCTCAGATGAATAGAGGGGGCATTACGTCTTGACACTGAACAGCTTTTGAGACGTACTTTACTATAGCACAAGTAAGCAATGCAATCTTATGTACCTAGCAATGAGGGGTCGAACATACCCAGGCTTCCAAACACCGTCTTCCAAGAGTTTTAATATCAGATCAAAAGGTAATCTTGTATAAATGTAGAGTCGTACCAGTCTTCGAGCGCGGGGTTCAGTCCAATCCTTAGGGCGGCCCCCTCTATTCGTAGAGGCGCTAGTGGTGGGCGAGGCCGAATTCATTTTGACGACCGGGGCGATAGTCGATCAAAAAGAATTCAGGAAAATAAAGAAACTTTTAGAATGACTCGAGAGCTATATGAAATATAGCTCCTTCCCGGCAGGGGAAAACGTACTAGCAAGAGAGAAAACCTTATCCATCATGAACAAGGCAGGCGGCTCATGGAATCGGTGGGGTTTTTGTAGAGAGGGCCAACTCGGCGCATGAGATCTGTTCAGGGGTGTTAGTGGCCGAGGTGGATCCCTGCATAGTCCCGTTGGCGAGAAACTACTGGGGATTCTAGAATCTGAACCAATTGACGGGTGGTGACCCTACAAGGCAGTCAGTAAGGCAGTTCCGGGAGGGAGCGAAATATGTAGGTAGGCTCTCTTGCGGTTGTGATCAATGTTAGTAATCTAACGATCTCCCTATAGACAAAAGATCTAGGTGATTACCTAGTAGCATGTGAGGTATCCCCTTGTGCTTACCACTTCCACTCATCGCGATGAGTTGAGGCTAAGTCGCGTCCGATACTATGTACTTTGGCACGCGACTATTCATACGAGTTGGTGAAATATACATATGTAATCATTAATTTCTTTAATAACATACTAGGTAGTTACGTTGACTTCGCATATGAGAAATTGAGAACTGAAGCTCCATTACAATAATAGCACGCCATTTCGAAGCATTACTTTCCTTGTATAACCAATAATATTTGAGGCTTAACTCAAAAAAGAGCATGGACTCCAGTGTACGAATCGGTGTACTGACGTCGAAAAATCAATGATGAAATTGAAAGATGTAAAGAAAGAAAAGATGATAGGTTTGCAGGGGGGAACTCGCCTAATTGACGGCCGCCAAATGATCACCTTAATGGTTAGCTCGTGGCTGTGAGCATTGGTTATATTGTGGCTGGTTTTAGGGAATGTTAGGAGAACCCAATCATGGCTATGCTCCGTCGGTTCGTAGCAGTGGCTGAGCCGGATGGTGGAAGTGTAGAAACATTAAACATCATGAAAAAATTGCCTATATTAACTGTTCCTGGCCGCGACCTACTTGCGAAAGAAGGCAGCCTTACTTGGGTTTCCCCGGCCTCTGTTAACAAGCTACATCCATATGGCTACACGGCTACACTACTGTGTATAAGACTGGAACTCACCACCCTAGATCATACAGGGTGGTATCTACGTACCTACCTAGAATAGGCATGGACTCGCCTATATCGCAGCCTAGGTAGCCTAGGTAGGTCTCCAGGGCTCCCCTTAAGTCTCGCAGACAAATAGATACGATCCAAGATCCGCGCACCATTAAGACTAAGTCAACTCGAATTTAAGCTTAGAATTGACTTTGATGCACAACATAGGAATGCGGCAGACACCGTGCCAACTGGCACGGGTCGAATCAAGCTTCCTGTCCTGCCTCATAGCCTCACTTGGCAAGCCTTCCATAATCCCGCCTCGGAGAAGACTGGGATAATTAGTGGTACAACATGTTGAAATCACAACTTTCAATAGCTATTTCCCCGTATATTCTTCTTTCATAAGCGCTTTTTTCTACTCCCTTAGACACCTAGGTAAATATTTCATTCTTCTTTTGCCACCCGCATGATCGATACCCAGATTCGAGTCTCGGAGGCCCCTTGCAAATTTGTTTCATCGGTGAGATTGTTGTAAAGGGTGGAGCCACAAGTGCCTAATTAAACGGTCGTCGAGTTCTAGGTAATGTTCCTATTTCGCATTTTTTTAGGCCTTTAACAGTCGGTCATCCATAAGCATCACATCTTTTGCCTCTCAATTACGTATCCTCACGATTACACAGCTTACCTATCAGGTACTATGTGGTATGATGACTTAGGCACAACCCCGCGTTCTACTACCTGTTGAGGTCCGTGTCATTCGTCACCGGGCACTCAATTGGTCAATATCATTAATTTATTATCCTTTTTTTCAACTTCTAGCGCCTCCCCCGGCATCCCGACTTCCCGTCGCCACTCCTCCACACCCGAGCAAGTCCGGGTCGTAAACCGATTATTACTCCACACATTCGTGTTTTCTAGACAATAGGCCCAATTTCGATCATGGATTCCTTCGGTGGACAGACGTCTGACTCTGATACTTTTTCTACTTCCATCCGTCTGTTGACGTGGCATACACCCTTTTCCCCCTTGTATTTGGCTTATGTTTGATCATAGTTGTGATTATGGTGACTTTCAAGAGTATAAACAGTGACAATTCTCCTCCTTTCGAGAAGGTAAATATCTTCGAAGACTTCATCAACATATTTACTATTCTCTTCCCAACGACTCATCAATCTTGATATCTCCACCATACCTTCACACACAAGTATACACGTACTACACACACATACACACAACAGACGAGCACACACAAAAACACATCTACATTAAACAAATCAATTGATATTCCCTATCTCTTGCCGCCCAATTCATATCAGATAGTTCTGCAGACTTGTCCAGGTTTCTTACTGTCTGATCCCGCCGCAATGCCTAATCATACTTCACACAAATCAAGGTGATATTTACCTATAGTCTACTATTATTACAAATGATTCACTACCTAACACTATTAGCTCCTCCCACAAATCCTCTGAGCGATCCTCACGCAGGCGGGACGAAGTCAACGCTTACTCCGGGGGAGTGGACGAACTGGAGAGATTCTTTGTCACTGGGGAGCCAAGCAGGAAGTCGAAGTCGAAGTCGTCCATGAAACAGCACTTGGCCGAATGGGACGTTCGTTACGATAACGCTTCCCGGCGTTCGTAGCTGAGCATTTGCTCACCAATGGTGTTAAGGAAAAGGGAAAATCATGTATGATACCCATGTATTAGTAGGAAAGCTAGCGATTCGAGAATCTGATTGGAAGCCCATTTTCCCCCAAACTTTCCGGGGAAGTCTTCCCCGGGGCCTCTTCCGGAACCGTGCTTTAGGTAGTGGTTGCATCGTGGTGATCTCAAGATTAAGTACGTGCATCTTCGAACTGAACTCCAATCACAAATCCTCAGATTGGTGTCCATGGACACCACTTATACGATTGAAAGTGAATAGCGCTTATAAAGCTAGCTGTTCATTACAAATGTTCCATGGTCTCCGAGGATACCTACCAGTCCCTGAGTGCCCATCACACCTCGGCGGGGCGCACCTGCAGTATGCCACGCAATGCGCTTGCCAACCATGTAAGATGCACCGTCCCACTCCCGAGCCGGGCAACCGTACTCCTTGAAACGAGGCCGTTAACACCCCACTAAACGGGTCGCATCGCTCCGAATGAGGCCATATTTGTATCCACTCGCGCCACCCTTCCGTCCGCGCCTCCGTGTGCCTCCCATCATGCCTCCCATCATGCCCCTCCGGCACTTCCTCACGCTCAGAGGCCATTTTAGACACATTAAACATAATTGAGTGAAATTGAGCGTCATTGCATTTATGTAGATACATGAGCCGAGATCCACCATCATCTGCACCTCGAGCATTCTAAAGGAGCAGGTTAGGCACCGAATATCTCCTTAATGCCATATCGCTGCACCTCGTACTAGCGCTGGAGCGAGGCCCTATTGTATGAATTAGACGCACCTTGTAGGATTGTAGGCCCATGCTAGCTAAGTAATAGGTCTCAGAACGCGTCCTGAACAGCGGCTGCTCCGATGAGGATCTAAACAGAAATGACGTGAAGTGGGATGGTCGGAATGAGGCTACCTACTGTCAATTAGATCAATTGAAAGTGACAACTTGCCAAAAGTTTGCTGGTGGCATTTTTATTTCAAAATCACTCTATGTAACACAAGTCTTCAACGGTCTTATATTCATAACAGGTTAGGTATCTGTGCAGGCTAACATTTCTGCTAAGCTAACTTCACCTCTATCCGCTCTCTCATAGTGGACCCTACTTCGGTGGTAGATTAGCAGGCTTGACGTCGAAGTTGCCAGTACCCATAGCATCAATAGTCTTCCCAATGACTATGATCTCGTCCACGACAGCTTGAGGTAGAGGTCCCTTTTCAATGTCTTCAAGGTTCTGCTTGAGCTGCTCAATCTTCGTAGCCCCTAGTATAATCCCGTCTTTCTCCCCGAGGGCAGAATGGTAAGCCGCCCATCGTAAAGCCGCCTCGGAAGGTTTGATACCGAGCGGCTCGATGACTTCGAGCAGCTTCTTTACCGCATCGTGGAACTCGGGTCGATCATACCATGCAGCGAAATGCGCACCGTAAGCACTGCGGAGACGCGTACCCTCGGCCGTTCCCAGCGTCAGCTTGCCGGTGAGGAAGCCTCCGCCGAGTGGCGAATATCCGTTAAATGTCATATTGTGCTTTCGGAGAAAAGGCAGCAGCTCCTTCTCCGGTTCCCGGCAGATCAGGTTATACTGCCCTTGATAAACTGACGGCTTGACGTAACCTTCCTTTTCGCATATTTCTATAAAAGATTTAAGCATGTCAAGGGGGAAGTTAGAAATGCCAATCTGCACTTCTAATTAGTATACTGATTAAAACTTGATTTAATCTCATGATGTTTCTTACTTTTTCGCAGAACCCTTTCTGGTACTGCTCGTTGAGTGCTTCGGCTTGCTCCGCTAAAGGGGTGGCTAGGTCGGGAGCGTGAGCGTAAAGGATACCCAACTTTTCAACTCCCAAGACTTTCAAACTATTCGCGACGCTTTTCCGTACAGCTTCTTTACTCAGAGTTCCATCGCTGTTCTGACCGGCGAAGAGCACCTTGGTGTTGATAATAAAGCCCCTGGCAGGTGCTTTCACCCTGCCGATCATTCGTTCCGAGGCACCGTGGTTATCTGGCGGATACCGAGCCGCAGTGTCTATTTGTGAAATGCCACTACTGTTTAAAACATCGAAGAATTGTGAAACGACTTTCTCGTCTTGCAGCGCTGGTACGTGAGATGATCCAAGCGTTGTGGTTCCGAAGTAAATAACGGGATGCTTTTCTGCCATGGTAAATGACGAATGAATAGGTAAAAAAGGGGTTCAGTTCAGACTTAAGTTCTAGAAAGACTGTAACAGTTCAATGATAATGTTTCTTCTAAATGAGAGAAATTTCACGGTATATAAAGTGTTATTCGATTGATTACATCGTTGCTCTACTGATACTAGAGCTCCGAGTCGCCGGCCTCGCCATTTCCAATCCGCCGAGTTAGCCCGAAAACATATAAATTGAATGCCGACAACGCGAAGCAATCCATGGACGCTGCATTACCTTCTTTGCCATATGTAAGTCTCAAGCATGGATGTAGGCTTCTATGTTTATCTAACATTATACATTGGCGTAGTCACAACTCTGTAGATTATCATTGGGTTGCTATGGGTTACATTTGACGGGGCTATAAGATTTTTGATGACACATGCAGGATCATGATTAATAAGGTTATTTCTAAGGAGTTTTAAACCTTGTTTTCCAGATCATTTAAATTATACTAGCACTGGCTTGTGACGCCTCCTCGTGCCTTCGGCATTGCGTTGTAACTGGGAGAACGGGCAGTAAATAAGACATACCGGAGGTTAGTCGATAATAATGATTTTAGTGTAGTCCTTATCTTACGAAGATGCTTACTTTTCTCGGTTTTGGTATTCTTATTAGGTAGGGAGATATATGATGATATAAGAGACGTCCTCCCTACCTATATAAGAGAAGTATCGTCTTAATCGCTGCCCGTTTTCCTAGTTAAAGCGGGGTGCCGAAGGCACGAGGAAGCGCCACAAGCCAGTGCTAGTACTTCAAGTTTGGATGCAGTGGTGGTCTTAAATAAAGGCTGCGTTAGAGTTTACCACAATACGGGATGGGCGACTGAGTTCTTTCAGTATCTCTATGCAAATGGGTTATGTGGGCGTCAAGCTCACAATTACTGGCGCCGCCTCTGGCAACACCTTGCGGATATTAACATCCACATATTTCCATGTGGCCATTTCGTTTACTCGTTGCTCATGGAGTCTAAATACCTATGTAATCTACCTAAGTCATACAGAGTTCTAAGTTTAAACTCATCATTCGGAGGTGGCTTGTAGATGTGGAAGGCTTCGGAGAAACGTCTGGTAATATAAATATACCTAGCAGTCTTTGATGGATGTGAAATAGTCCTCTCATTCATTCTCATACGAGCACACGCACATCTACACTTACATATCTCAAAACACTACCTACACAACATACGTTCTTATTCAAGAAACACCGATTACGTACCTCTATCAATACCAACTTCAGAGAAAACCACCATGAAGCTCTCTACTAAGGGCTTTCTCATCATAGCCCTCAGGGCCACCCATGTACTTGCCAAAAAGGTACCTCGGAGCTCCGACTTCGAAGTACGCCGGCGCGATCCCTCGCCAGACGCGGCCGTAGCGCAGAACTGGAGCGCCGACGTCCACGAGCCGCCACCGCTGACGGACCTGACGGACATCTTCATGGAGCCGCCGACGAACACGAGCGGGACCGTGCTGCTCTGGCCGCCACTCGCGAACCAGACCGAGAGCGTGGGCGAGGGCGAGGGCGAGGGCGAGGACGAGGACGGGTTCGAGTGGTTCAACCTGGACAACTCCATCGAGGTCTCGGAGATGCCGAACCGGTCGGACTGGGTCATCCCCGTCTCGCACTCCTGGTGCTCGTCGTGGGACATCAAGGACGTCAACGCCCGCGGCTCGATCCAGGAGATCATCATGTGGAACAACCGCGGCAACAAGGTGAAGAGCAAGTCGGTGCACTGGGAGCTGGACGGCATGGTCGGCGCCTACGTCTGCGACTGCAAGTGGGGCTATTTCGACAAGGCCACGGCCTGGGAGATGTGGGAATTCTACGAGAGGATGATCGAGTGGTGCGGTGAGGGCCACGCCGGCTGGATATTCAGCAAGAAGTGGGAAAAGGGCTATGCTATCTCCACCAGGGATAAAATCCTATACACGAAGCCCAAGAAGACTCTCTGCCCCAAATTTTGTTGCTTCGACCCTAAAAGTCAGAAGATGGAGGGTTAAGATTGCGAATCGGTTTGGACCATGATACGATCACACAATGTTGCAGTCAGAGTAATATTTGAAAAATGGTGGTTAGCAGTGGTGGGGGAGTCAGCTTTTATTTGTTTAGTCGAGGAAATGCAATAGCAATTGTCCTTCCATAGGAGGTACCACTTGCCGTCCTATCATGGGGTAGTGGTGTTGAGCGGAGTGGTTCACTTCATACACCTACCCACACTGTAACTCACAGCAGTTCGTCCAAAATGGGCCTAGATTGCAAGACAGGTCAATGACAGGGTAATTTTAGTACTTAGGTTTGCATGGGTGACATACCTGGGAGATTTAAGATGCCATCGTGTGCCATGTTCACTGTAGCATGGAGGAAATTTAGTGGAGAATAACTCCAACCCTTCTGCCCAAATCATTTACGCCTCCATCGCGACACCGGTCTCCTGTAAGAGAAGATCGCTTAACTTCTCTCCCGTTCGTATATAAATCCACTCTCCTTTACCAGTGTCCTGCTTCTGGTCTTGACCTTCGCTAACGATCACATAGTCGAATCGCTTCGGGCCGGATACTGGCGAAGACAGCCAGATTTGCTTGTTGGGCGGCTGTTTGTTGATTATGTAGACACCGCTGCCGGGAATCTTGACGGTCATAACGCCGGACTAATCAGATAAGTCAGTCAGTATTGGTATTGATGATATATAATTGAAATACAGCATCCATATGAAATACCTACACTGAATTCGACATCAATGTCTCCAACCTCATCTTGCTTTTCCTCGTATTGGTTAAGTACTGCATCGAGGTACGTGTCTGCCAGGTGGTGATATTCTTCAGTCGTGATAGACGCCGGTTTGATCTCAGGGGGTGATGAAGACATTGCGCGATGCTGGCTTGTCGAGAACGGGTGCGCCAGAATGGTTCGATGGTAGCGGACACGAAATGGTGTTCGCATGGTGAATTGGCTAATCGTGGCACCACGTGTTGCTGTTGCGATGCCAAAGCTGGTCACGCGACCAAGCTTCACAATGCTTGAACGATACATGGCGAGAATTCGGATCACGATATGCTCGTTAGAGATCGGCGAATGCGGCGACAATGGCCATGTATTGGCAAATGTCTAATATTCGGTAGTCGGCGACTGAAATATGGTTACGAATTGAGGAGAAGATATCGCCAGGGAAAGTTGGATCAAGTACGTAATCGATTCCTGGAGATATCGCCAATTCTAGATGTGGTCGTGAGTTCTCGAGGGAGTTAATGATAGTCAGGAAAGTTCACGATGGTGAGAAAATTTATTGTAAAAATCGGTAACAATGCTTGAAGAAATCGACGGTAAACGCCCTGATTCCCAGAGCTTTGAATGCCCCTGGTGAAATATCAATACATTTTCATTGAGAGTGAAGAAGTGAACGTAGTCGTAATTATGATGATGGTTGTTATGTCGAAAATCGAACGGTAAGAAAGGAATTAATACAGAAACCAACGCAAAAAGAGAAGGATCTCCCAGGATTAGAATGAGGCTCCAGTGACTCGGTAACTTTTGGTGGGCCAGATTGGCAGGTGGGATTCACCACAATCCCACATTTAGCTCCCCCTGTACCTAATCCCTGGCGCCTACGTTTAGCGACTTACAGTCCGAGCTTTCCATGAGCTCGTCACCCCTGTTCGTTCCTCCCTCTTGGAGCTTTCTATACATAATGGCATTGATTCGCTCTATCCGTGAGACTTGAAATTAGCGTTGCTTCCCTATAGCAGTACTTTGGTAATCCACAAGAACAGTTAGAACAAAACTGTACCCCTCCGCAGGGATGGTAATTGTTATTTGATGGAGAATTGCTCCATAAGTAGATATGTACTAAGCCACGGAAAATATATAAAAGGCTACAAGATATATATGCTTTATACATATCTATGAATAACCTCTATATAAAGAAGTATCTTCCCTTACAAATATTAATGGCAAGATACAATTCTATGACAGTGGAGTAAAGGTCCACCAAATAACAATTACCATCCTTGCAGAGGTGTATGTATGTCACTAACCAATCAAACACTGATCAGGACATTCATCTATCTATGGAGGTCCAAAGGTCTATCATTTTGCCCAGGCGGGAGACGAGAATGAGATCATATTATAGAGAAAAATATAATTCAACACTCCTGGGTAGTTCTTAACACACATAGCATTCACAATTATCCCTTTCTGTGACAATTTTATAGGACCCCAATATATCTAACTACAGGCACAACTTACATACCTCTTTAAAGAGCCCTACAAGTGTACCAACAGAGTACATGGGGTTGCTACTACTATAACTCTGGTTGATGTAAGTACCTACAAAGGTGGATACATGACCGAAAGCTTCTGAAGTGAAATATTTGAGCATGGTGTGGAGAGCTTAACTAAAAGATCAGGGCCGATTGGTGCATTCGGGAATAGCTTTCCATTGCCATGTTATTAAGCACCCTACCCCGAACATCTTGATAAGATGCGTACGGGTACCTCAACCAATAAGAAAAGTCCGGCTGAGCCGGAGCTCGTAGAAAGTTCATCTACTTCATCTATGCTATGTAGGTGAACTGCCGCATTCGATGCTTCTATCTATACCGATTTCATCACCGTTGAGAAATTGTAGCACTGGTGTTGATCGACCAGCCCTATCGTGATATATATACCAATCGCCAAGTCGCACAAACCCACGGGGCTCCACCACGGTAGCAATCGCAATATCGTGTGCGCAACAGACCGGCGAGAATCGGCGATGAGATGTATCGTGAGAGGTTAAATGTCTCTTCGGCTATCGTTAGACCCAAGAGTTAAAGAGGTCCTCGGGTGGATGTATGCGGTTAGTATGACGACACTACCCGACGCTACCCCGCTTCACGATGTCTATAAAGGAGTTGAGTTAGGACCTTCGGAAGGCCACTTTCTTCTTCTTCTTCTCTTCATACGTACTCGACTATAGCCAGTTCGAACGACAATTATTCGCATAAACCAATCGTACGCATTGCAGTAAAGACTAGATCGTTGTTGTTGTTCTCCAGCTAAAGGACTGATACTGATTCTTGCCTTGACTAGGACCGATAACCGGTACGCGTCAAGATGGCAACCCCGCCGAAGGAGGCCATGACCTCAGATGGGTTATCCAGCAAGAATCTAAAAGACTGCACTTGATCAAAACCTCTCATCATTAGGTAACATAATCTGAGATGAGCCATGAGCCGGTGTTCGAGCTTCCGCGCCCCGTCTGAAGTGTATCCAACCATGCCCATTTGATTGGAAATTATCAATCTGGGTGACGGGTATGGAGATACATAGACGACGGGGACAAACGTGGAGCTTGTTCTGAGATTATACGGCCGAAAACTTGATCTGGATAATACCAGCGAAAGGATCATGCTCTCGATGTTTCCCCTTCCCCCCGTGAGCAGCAACTAACACCTACCAGAATACTCAATCAATTTTCACAATGGCCCCATCCGCAACCGTAGAAGTCGTTGAGCCTACTACCCTTCCCCACAAGGGTGGCATCCCCGTTGGCAACGGCAAGATCCATGCCAGCGGAGATGTTCAGGTCGCTGATGGGAAGTGGAAGGACTTTTCTTTCCACTCCATCAGGGAGTCGCAGGTTGCTCGTGCCATGGCCCGTCGATACTTCAATGACCTCGACACCTACGCCGAGTCAGACATCGTCATCGTTGGTGCGGGCTCATGCGGTCTGAGCACTGCTTACACCCTCGCCAAAGTTCGTCCTGACTTGAAGATTGCCATCATCGAGGCCAGCGTCTCTCCTGGTGCGTCTGACTAATATGGCTTAGTCAAATTCCTATACTAATCTGCGTAGGTGGCGGAGCCTGGCTCGGAGGCCAGCTATTCAGCGCTATGGTAATGCGCAAGCCGGCCGACAAGTTCTTGACCGATCTCGGCGTGCCCTTCGAGGACGAGGGTCCCTACGTCGTCGTCAAGCACGCCGCGCTCTTCACATCGACTCTGTTGTCGAAGGTTTTAGCTTTCCCCAACGTCAAGCTCTTCAACGCCACCTCCGTCGAGGATCTCATCACTCGCCGCGACGAGGCTGGCGCCATCCGAATTGCTGGCGTTGTGACCAACTGGACCCTCGTCGCCATGCACCACGACGACCAGTCTTGCATGGACCCCAGCACCATCAATGCGCCCGTCATCATCAGCACTACTGGTCACGACGGGCCCTTCGGTGCCTTCAGCGTCAAGCGACTGGTGAGCATGCAGGCGCTCGAGAAGCTCGGCGGCATGCGTGGGCTGGACATGAACACCGCCGAAGACGCCATCGTCAAGGGCACCCGAGAGATCGTGCCCGGCTTGATCGTCGGCGGCATGGAGCTCAGCGAGGTCGACGGAGCTAACCGCATGGGTCCAACTTTCGGGTAAGCACTACACAAGCACTCATTCCATGATAGGGAGGCAGAAGCTAATGGATATTGAAGTGCGATGGCGCTCTCCGGCGTGAAGGCTGCGGAAGAAGCCTTGAAGGTTTTTGAGCAGCGCCAGAAGGAAAACGCCGCCTAAATTCGAGCCCTGAATATTCCATGAGGACAGATAAGGGAAGGTTTACATGCGCTATTGGTTAATTGAGGTTATCAAGGTCCACTTGCCGCTCTAGGTACCACCTTCATTACTAGAATGAATAAAATTGAATGACTTAGTAGAACCACTTTGGAATTTGCAGTGTGACTTGATGGATGTGATTGACGAACTATCCAGACCCAGTGATGACATTCTAAAACCCAGATTCAGGAGCTCAAGGGTGGGTTGGCGGGGTAGAAGCGGAACATTTTAACAAATGAATAATCCCCTCCTCTTAATTGGAGAATCCCGGAATGGACCGGAGAAACTGCGGGATAACATATGCTGGCCCACCTATCGTCCCACTATGAACTTGTACAAAAAGGTCTTGGACTTGCAAATTCTTTGAAGCTTTAATTTCTCAACTTGAATAAGTCTAAGCACATCCCGCATCTTCCTCTTTCATTCTTAAGAAAATGATGTGCAGCAATGCGAATTCTGCTCGTCAGACATGGCGAGTCTGTTGACAATGTAGCCGGTCTTTAGTAAGCTATTCTTCCATGGGCATCTCATACCTAACAATCACTAACTTTTGCCAAGCGCAGGTTCCCGAGATTCCCCTCTCACGAACCATGGTGTTCTTCAAATTAAGAGATTAGGTGCGCACCTCGCGAAACGCCAGGAGACTATAGGTCCAATCAAGCACATCTTCACCTCCAACCTCCAAAGGGCCTATCAGACGGCCGAAGCCGTTGCCGAAGCCCTGCTTGAAGCCCAAAGTCCCTTTAGTAACGATACGCCGACGTCCCTAGCAACTGTGAAGGTCACCCGACTGGCTGAGTTACGAGAGAAAGACTATGGATCATCTGAGGGCAAGAAATATGGCGTAAAGACGGGAGGAAGTAACAATGACCAAGTCCAGTCGGACTCAGAATCGCACGAGTCGATGAGAATAAGAGTTAATCGTTTCGTGGACTCCCATCTGATACCAATTGCCGATACAGATGCGTCCGAAAATACCACTATCTTAATCGTGGCACATGGTATTATCCTGGGTGTTCTCCTAAAGGTGTTGCTGGAACGGTTTCCTCCGAAGCCAGCTCTCTCTAACCCGCAGGGTAGAGTTGAAGATGGTCCATCGGAGCCCGTGGCATGGAGTAACACCGGTGTGCTTCAGGCCAATCTACTATTGAGAAAGGACCTGTTGCCACCGAATAGCCCGAGCAAAGCTGTACTTATTGCAAACTCAGCAGCATCCGACGACGCCATCGCTCCCTCTATAGATTCAAATGCGAAGGTATTGCAGCTAACTATTGAGTTGACCAACAACCTTGAGCACCTTGATGGTCTGAAAAAGACAAGAGGTGGCATTGGAAGCGCCAAGTTTGATTCGCGACAACGGACAATGGACTCGTTCTTCACTCCTGCTTCCAAAAAGCGAAAGCTTTGAAAGGAGATAGGGTCTGCTGAAGAGCCCTTGACTATGGTACGTCTATGGCCGTCTTATTCCTTCTATCCTTCTTATGATGAAAGCACATAATTCACAGACCTGTTCTGAATTTCATGTGGAATCATTTATGTCCAACCGCTATCTGATATTTATTTCTACTCTCAATTCCTGCCAACTTTTTGAGGGTATCTGCTAACCTTGGCACCTTAATGTTAGGTATATTTGTCAAGGGCACGGCAAAGTAATTATGGTCCCTCCACACGGGTATTTTATGTTGTAATTAGATATCAACTACATATTAATATTTTGATGATGTATCGGACATGAAATTTATGCTGGAGCATAAAACGCGTGCCTCGACAATTGAAGGATCTATCTCAATCTCATACTTTCTTAATCAACGATTCATGCGCGTAGCTACTCGCCCTCCTCCACCTCAAAAGGGTAACTCACTTGGGAACCACCCACATTCGTCGAAATTCACCATGAATCCTTGTACGCTTTCACTTACTGCTACGCCTTCGGCTTGCAATGCGGCTGCTTGATTTCGAACGCCAGAAGGTTGTGATCTATATTTGTTGATTAGCATTATGGTCTGACTATCCTTGAAAAGACATACCTAGGTGATATTATTCCCTTGGTATTGACAACCCTCTGCCAAGGAACGTTGTCATGATTGAAGTGCGCCTTAGGGTTTTGTGGAAGGCGTTTAAGGCACATCCCGACTTGGCGTGGCCGCTCAGCTAAAGGCTTGACGATTAGGTTCGCTTTCAGTAAAACATGATTCGGCGATAAACTTACGGTGTCCAATCAAACGTGCTATATGCCCGTAAGATGTAACCTTGCCATAAGGAATCTGCTGTACAGCTTCGCACACATCAACGAAGAATTCGTTTGCGTCATCCGACCACGGCATTTCATGAAATGTACAGCGAATGCTTGCTAATACTGAATTACAGACTACCTAGGTACCTGGGTAGTATGTAGGTAAGGACAGTAAGGTAAATACTGGTTGGTGCCACAGGTGGATATGGAGGATGATGCTCTACGCACCAAGCTAGTTAGCTGGAGATCAGATCTCATCAAGCACGTGTCAGATATGGAGCATATCTCGCTTAATTAGACGATAGTTACAGTGTAATACAGTGCAGGTAAGTATCCCCCATTTTACACACTTCTGCCTCCCGCCTTCCATCATCAGTTCCTAACCTCAATTAAACAAAACATACTCCAAAGCGCATAGATGCTACATCCATATCTTCTATGACAAGCATCAAAGTTTCGTGGGCACTATAGCTCCATAGCACTCCACGAATCCGAGGCATCTGGTTTGGCATCCGCCGCATAGTATATCTCATGCATTCGATGCCTCCGCCAATCTTAGGTATGGACGTCTTAAAAACCATTCATCTTTCCCGAAGTGGAACAGCCCTCAAATACCCTCTCTGTTCAATCCACTCACTTAGATCGTGAATCTCGAAGTATCGAGCCTGGCTCAAAAGGGACATGTACTTGACGTAGTCGAACTTTCCAGTGTCGACGTTGAAGAATATGGGGTAATCGCCGCTACGCAAATAGTTGAGGATGTGCTCAAAGACAACCGGGTCAGCGTCGATGAAGTATGAGCCATCTGCGTTGACGTCCACCTCGTCACGGTCATCTTTCCACTTCTCCAGACCAATGCGGGCTGCGAAGTATGCGCTTTTGTCGATGAGAGTGCGGCGATATGTCGTGAATCGACGCTCGCCGACTTGTAGAGTGATCCGACTGTGAGGAAACGTCGGCATGTTGTAAGATGTCGATAAATGGGATAGATAGTGGTTGAATAATAGTCTTCCGAAGATTATTGAATAGGTATTTTATGTTATCTAGTCTACGCCACAACCGGAGGAGTTGTTTGCATAAAATCCGGAGCGGGTAGGTGCTTATATGATACTTGATACCTACCACTTCAAATGCTGTATCATAGGTAGCTATTCGACGTTACGAATTCCTGTATCCCTAGGTATACTTGACACATGGGTTACTCTTACGGTCGTTCTCAGAGAGAATTCTGCTTGTAAACTAACTCTCCGCGTCATCTTAGACAGCCACAAGGTCAACAACGTATATGCGACAAACGTTCCTACACCATCGAGGCCGTTACGTAGCCATGATGGCCCAAAAAACGTTCCATGATGATATGAATTCGGGGAGTGTACCTTTTAAGTATTGTCACGGGATGTGACAGAACTGCATGGGATAATCATCGAAGCAAACGCTTCACACCAGTTCGACCCCGTTCAAACGCGCATCGGTAGTTGCTCTAGCCCATATAAAGTCGGGTTCTAGCATAAGAGGTACTCAGCTAAGTACCGAAATACTTACCTACATAACCAGTGTTTTCTAGAATGACAATGGTAGACGACCTGGATTTCGGCTGTTGGAATGACGCAAACGCTTGACACTATCTTGACATGTAATACCTATAGTCGCACCTTGACTAAGTAAATCATTATATCTAACGTTGTCTCTGAATCATATATGAATACAGGCAGATAGATGATGTATGGATTTGATGCTTCGTCTATGTTGTCAAATGATGTGAGGGTACATTTTTGGTGACATATAGGAATACGCTACGTTGAAGTCGTAGATGCGTGTCAACTCCATGCGATGTATGCCTCTTAGGGAAGAAAGGTATACATGCAATCATAAGGAAGCTATCTTATAACCAAAACCCTCCCTACTTCACTTTGTCTTTAGCTTCAGCAATTTACTTAGTTCACTATTATCTCACAGGATATGTGCATGTCAAAGTAGAGGTACCTATCTAACTTCGTTACCATACCTCCATTAAACTTCCACCTACACTTCCGCACTATGCTTCTCGCAGATGAACCCTCTCCAACGACTCCCTCGGTAGTCATTCTTCCTCCAGCAGACCCGGTACCGCTCACGACTGGTCAGGTTATCCCGGGCGATTATGCGAGCGGCTCAGACACCGTCAGCAAAACCGCCACCACATTCGCAACTGGATGGATCATTGGGATCGTGTTGATGGTTCTGGTAGTCATTCTGGCTATAATTGTAGCTCTTACAATATATAGGCGACGCAGTAGGAGACATGGAGACAGACTGGTTCAATCTAGTGCAGAGCTGTCAAATCGAGACGCTCCACCAAGATATGAGACACTGCACACATGAGCATTACGCTAGGAGGTGCTGGTCAAGATGATGTCTTGGCTAGAGTGTGAAGCGGGTTTGGACGTGCGGGCTGTAAACCCGCCTAAGGCACTTTCATTCAAGATAGAATCGTAGAAGATAGGATAACGTAACATGTACTCCTAGATCATGGATCCATGCGCATAACAACATTGCTCATGAAGTCAAGATTAACTACACGCCCTAACCTTAGTTCAGACTAAGGCTAAAAGCAATAGGCAGTTTATCTACGGTACCTAGGCTCTTGAGATACTATCGTTACTCCACATTTGATGTTACATTCCTCTTTAGAATTAAGTACCTATTAGACATCGATATCGTATCTTGATTTAGATAGATCGTAAGTATGCTCATTTATGACTTCCAGCTTCCACTAAGTTTGTGTGTGTGTGTGGTGTTGAGTGCTAAGTAAAGGGGTAAAACCAGCATGTGCGCCCTTCTCGTAGCTCTGATCCTGGCATGCTGCGGCCTTTCGCAAGGCATGCTTGAAGTCTTCCAAGCCGCACCGCCTCCTCGAGCGACTTTTGATGAGCCAGCATGTCGTCAAGTGCTCTTTGAGCACGATTTCGGCAACAGTTACGGCGCCCCATATGTCGGGCCCTATTCACTACCTGAGGGATGCAAATTCACCACCGCCATTTTCAACCTAAATGTTGTCTCAAGCGGACGACAGTTTGACAGGCTTGCGACGCTATGGCTGGGCGATATCGAAGTGTGGAGAACGTCCACCGCGATGCCGATTCAGTCAGGCATCCATTGGTCTTTCCAGAAGGACATGACTGTATGGCATACGCTATTAACACAGAGCCAAAAGATCATCTTTGACCTTGGCAACCTAATCGACGGAGACCGGTACACTGGCTATTTCAACGTCACTATGGAGGCGCTGTACTATAACGACCGATATTTCTCAGGCTTCCACCCCGCAGAACACATCTACCCTATCTCAACGTCCTCGTCTTCGAACAACACTACGTCGCTGTTCTCACTTCCCGACGACAGCGGTTCGGTCAACCTTACCCTCCCAAGGAATGTCAAGAACGCGGTCGTTTCGGTCACGGCCTCCGGCAACGGCGAGGAGGAATTCTGGTTCACGAACGTGCCGACGGAGTACGTCCACACGTTCCCGAGCAACGATGGCTGGCTGTACGGGTACAGCCCGTTCCGCGAGGTGCAGGTGCTCGTCGACGGCCGGCTTGCGGGCGTGTCTTGGCCCTTCCCTATCCTCTTCACCGGCGGCGTGGACCCGGGCGCGTGGCGACCCATCGTCGGCATCGATGCTTTCGAGCTGCCGTCGTTTGAGATTGACGTCACCCCTTGGCTTGGGTTACTGACGGACGGACAGTCGCACGCTTTCCAATTGCGTGTTGTGGGGTTTGACACATCTGTGGGGGACGGCATAGGTCCCGTAGGCGAGAACTGGTGGGTCTCTGGGTCCGTCTTTGTCTGGCTTGACGACACGACGGAGCAGACGACAAGAAGCAACTTCCACAACGAGGTGACGGCGCCGTCTTTCGACTTTCTTCCGGTCGTTGGTACAGCAGTTGCCGACGATGGTACGATCACCAATACTTCGCTTTACTTCGCATTGACAGCAAGCCGGAATATAACGATCTCTTCGACAGTCAAAAAGGGGGTCAGTACGCGCGACGTGGCATGGACACAGAGTCTCTCGTTTTCCAACATACAGAACATGACCGACTTAGCTTTCAACCAGTCACTTGCCATGGTTACGTCGGGTAGTTACTCAGACTCGACTTCGGATGTCATCTCTCGTTACACTTATCCCCTGAACCTCTTCAGCGCATACGACGTAGCCTCCTCTGGAGCAACCACGAATCCCGGCTCGGTATTCTGCATGATCGACCGTAGCAAGCTGGCGGACAGTGTTTCTGTACTATCGCTTTTGACCGGGACATCTATCGGTTCGGAGAGCCTTCATACTAGACAGAATGTCACGTCGAATTATCATTGGAATAGGACAATCGTAGAGGGTACGGAAGGTCTAGATACGATGGATGGTGAAGTGTGGCTTTCGTATTCTGGCATTGCGGCGGGCGAGGACGGCGTCGTGGCATATCACCGATACGCCAAGGAGAAAAATGATAGCTTATTGGTAGACGAGCAGGGCTGGGGGCCAATACAGGTACCTAGCACAATGCCTCTTCCGTTTGTAAATCAGGGGGCCGATAGTATACCAGTGACGCTTTGAAACAGACTGTTCCTCAACGTTATTGCTGCCTAACGGATTGCAGGCTGCGGGAGTTTAGATGGTGGCTGGGTTTTCGGGCTACACAGGAACGCCAGCATGATATGCGACGTCACTCCTATTCGCCGATTATGCTTATAGGATATGCACCTCAACTTTGCCACACGCACAATAGGTACCCTAGACCACCCCCGAACTTCAAATGCTGATCTAAATCACCTATGTACCTCTTCTCACCAACTATCTACTCACCAATATTGTCAATATGACATCCACAAAGTTGTTCGAACTTCCGACTCCTGGTAAATTCCTATTGATTCTCGTCGTGATTCTGTGTATCGGAGCGTTCGCGTATCTATCTGAATACCTTACTCAACGTCGCGAGAGCCCAGAACACCTCGATAGGATTACCCAATTTGATAATTGCGAAGACGTATATCTAGAGTAAGTTCCCAAATAAGTTACTATTAACGAATTCTTGTCTAACAGTGTTTTCGAGCATTGTTTTCGTTCACGGCCTTGGAGCACACCCGTATTATACCTGGACAGCCAATGGGCCACGTCCAGGCCTTGTGCCCAAATCTGCGCCAAATGGGCCATCTACGAAAAGCGAAATGAAAATCAATTGGCTTGAACATGACGATTTCCTGAAAAGGGACTTCAAGAATGCAAGGATCTTGTCATTTGGTTATAATGCCAATTGGTTCATGGACGCCTCGTTGTCAACGGCACCACAAAAAGCCCTCACGTTTCTAAGGGCACTCTCTAAGTTTAGGCAAGAAACTAAGGTATACTTGCCTCCCTAGGTACTTAACGTGAAAGGCCCCGTATTAATCATTCACTAGAGAACACCCCCTATTATCTTCATCGGTCATAGCTTTGGTGGGATTCTTATCAAATACGTATGTGTTAGATCTTATCCTCGCCTATCTATGCAATTCTCATCTGTTAAAGGCAATTCACGAAGCATACTTGAATACAGAGTTCAGGGATGTCACTGTCAACACTGCGAGTATATTATTTCTAGGTACTCCTCATCAAGGCTCGCCCGTATCTAGAATTGGCGAGATCTTTGCCCGATTAACTTCCTTCTCGGGATCCGATGCTACTCTCTTAAAGCTTCTGAGACACCATAGCCCAGCCTTATTGGATTTGAAGCGTGACTTCTCTAAGGCCTGGGAGCACATGAGGGGCAGCCAGAGACCATTGAAGATATACTCATTCTATGAAACAAAACCCACGTTTAAGTTTGGGGTTTCATTAGGCATAGTAAGTATTCGCAACGCTCTTGGACTCTTAATCTAATACTAATCACTCTAGATCGTGGACGCCCATTCGGCTACTCTCGATATTGGAGAGTTTATCAGTGTAAACACGGACCATTCTGGCCTAAACAAATGCAAGACAGAGAAAGACGAACTTTACAAGAAGATCTGCGATGCTATAAAGAGTGTCCAAGCCAATTTACAAAAAGCAATAGGTAAGTTAACAAATATAAATCATCCGTTCTCCTTTTGCATGAATTCAATACTAACGCAAGAGCACTCACGCAGAAGCAACCGCTAAGTGGGTTATAGGATCTGAAGATGCTTATAAACACCATAAAGACCATAAATTAGCAAGGGAAAAACTAGGCCGTTATGATAACATAGGTGAATGGCTCATCGACTCGCCTCCTTTTCAAAATTGGAGTAGCTTTTCAGATAGTTCCAAGCGAACACTCTGGCTACGCGGTGGAGGTGAGTTTTTATAGTAACAAGCTTTACAAAAGTATAGGCCTTAATAGATATAACATGAAGCTAACTGTGAGATATACAGTTGGCACTGGAAAAACGTCGGTGACGTAAGTGATTCCATTTCTCATTTTCATTCCTTACGAACTACGTTTTACGGACCTAGGTAGAAGCTAATATTATCATAGCTCCGAAGTCATCGAGTGGTTCGGTAAAGACAGTCATTTGAAAGGATCGCAAAAGTTGATCTATATTTACTGCTCCGAGAATCATCCCGTTGATTCAATTCTTCGCTCAATCATCCTTCAACTTGCCATTTCAGCAGACAGCGGCCCGATCCATCCATGGATTGTGAATAAATACTACTCCCGAGATCAGCTACCTCAAGACTCCAGAGACCGACTACCTCTAGACAAGGGAGATCATAAGTTGATACCTCAACTTTGCGATGCATATACGGAAACCGTGATCGTTGTCGATGCGTTGGACGAGTGTCCTGATCCACTAGGTCTCATCAGAATTCTCCAAAACGCACAAATAATAACTTCAGGTAGCATCAGACTATTCCTGTCGAGCCGACTGCATGTAGCAGTTGGTAAAATATTTTCAAGCTACGATAGCGTAGATATCGACGAATACTTGGTATCTGCAGACATGAAACGTTATGTCGAAACGGAAGTCGATTCCCATTACGTCGGAAAATGGAAATCTGACCAAGGCTTTGAAAATCTAAGAGGGAGATTGAAAGATTCACTGTTCAAACATGCAGGTGGAATGTGAGTACTTGACTATTCTATTCTAGGATCATGGTGAGAACTCTACTAACCTTACATACCTAGGTTTCGATGGATTGAATTGCAAATTGACATAGTATTCTTTGACCAGTCCAGTCTCAATAGTCTCAAGATGAACATCAAGAGACACCTCGAAAGCCTAGAATCTGGAACTTCGGCGACCAAGAACAACAAAACACGGCTAGACGAAGCATACAGTAGTATGCTTCAGATGCGCCACGAATTTTGTGGCAACGCTCTCATATATGCCATCAGATGGGTCTTGTACTCGACGACGCCTATATCAACGGATACATTTATCAAAGAGGTAAAGATCTCGCACGAGTGTCATTTAACGCAAACAAAACCCCAGCAAAGGGCGCAACCGATCAATACAATTCAAATCATTTGGCTTTGCAGTAATTTAATAATAATGGTGAAAGAGTCTGATGAAGTCAGATTTTCCCATCATTCCGTCAAAGAGTACCTACGGGGTTCCATGTATTACTAGTATGATTTCTCCTCCGAAACATGCCATACCCTTATAACGAGAAAACAATTTCAGCAATCCTGGAAAGTGGTGCTGATATTCCCATCACCGAACACCTGCTCATCGAGGCAGCTTCAAACTGGTCATACGGTGACTGGGGGTTGAAGGCTCTTGTGGAGCATGCCAAAACGAAGACTGGAAAGAACATACAATTAACCGACAATGTTCTTCGTACTGTTATATTGAACTATGGGTCCGGAGGGATAATTCTGGAGTATCTTTTCAAAGAATTCGGGCACGACATCAAAATCTTCGAGGACATGTTATATACAGAAGCAGAAATATTTACCTACCTATGAATGCTTCAAAGTTCTCTTCGAATACCGACCTGAAATCGCGATCACGGAATCTTTGATTTTAGCTTTCTCGGGTAATGTGAGGATTGACCAAATCATTGAATTACTACTCAACCATAACCCCACCATTCTCCTTACTGAGGATATTCTTGTCGCCATAGCTCGTAATCCATCGAGCGCTGGAAGGCAGGCGATGAAATACCTAAATTGAGAAAGCATCGTCAATTAGGGTCACTTCGCACGTTGTATCAGCCGCAGCAGCCGCATCTATCCCAGGTAATACAGATACTGAAGAGATCTTTCTATCATATCTTCTGGATAAATTCTCTGGCATCCGCATCGATGAAAGTATACTGGAAGCGGCAGCCAGTAATAAATTTGAAGGGAACACACTGATTCGGATGTTACTAGACCGTGATCCCAGTGTGCAAATTGGGGATCGCGTTATCGAAGCTGCGGCCGGCAACACTGACCAAGGAAACGAGCTAATCCAGACGTTACTGAATCACAACAATGGCCTAAGCATCGGGGACAATATCGTCCAAGCTGCAGCAGGGAATGCAACAACGGGTCAGAAAGTCCTAAAAATAATATTCCAACATGCACCGAATACCAAGGTATCCAAGGCTGCACTTGAAGAAGCAGCCCGCAATGGCAACGGAAGAGGGCTGGCTGTGTTGCTGGGTCGCATGAACGAGTCCGAGATAACAGACAGCTTACTCGAACATCTGCTAGAAATTGCAATATACCCCGTCAAAAATTATGAATCTCCTATACAAACGGTGAGTCTAATACTTGACCGTAGCAACACTGACCACCCTATATCGGATGCTGTAATGAAAGCAGCTGTGCGTGGGCGTTGGGCAGTTGATACGTCAACGAAATTGCTCCTTAAATCAGGCAGGCCTTTCACGATTACCGAGGAACTTCTCGAAGTTGCAGCCCTGGAAGCGACCGACGACCGTGTACTTGGGTGGCTGCTGGAGTATGAAGAGAATTTGCCTGTCACAGAGAATATCGTTATTGCGGCGATCGAGAATAAGTATACCGGTGAACTAGCAATGAAATGTTTGCTGGATAGAGCAAATATAAACATTACTAAGGACATGCTTAAGAGGGCGGCGGAACTTGATGGGAGCTATCCCTACGGGTGGTTTCGCGGTGAGGGTAAGGCACCCCGACAGCTCACTAGATTTCTACTTGAGTATCAAGACAACCTCGACGTCAATGAAGTTTTCGAGACTGCTGCGCGAAACGAAATATTTGAGAAGTTCATGTTCGTTGATCTGCTCGAGTGGAGAGAAAACCCGGAAATCACAGAAGTTGTTCTTGTTGCAGCCGCCCAATCTACCGGGGAAGCCATGGAAGCCATTCTTGAACACAAACCAGACATTCAGATTACTCAAGAAGTTCTGAAGCTAGTGGCAAGCAACGAGAGATGGAAAATGTTCTCTATCATGCAAATAATCTTCCATTACCAGCGCAACATTGAGATCACGGAGGGTGTGATGGAAGCTGCAAGGAACAATAAGACTATGGGGCGAAACTTGACTGCGCTGTTACGAAAGCACCAGGAATCGTGCACCTCGTCTTCTTCGACACGACGGCGAATAAGATAACATACTAATTATACAGTCTTTTTTCACGGCTGAGGATTGTCTAGTTGGTTATTTGTGGAGTGATTATTAGGAAGACACGAACAAGCCACGCATCTGTGGAATGAGGTTATGAAGATATTAGGAAACTAGAGGGACTATCACACAGGTTGGTTTGTATTCGGGAAAGCTCATAGACTTTTATCAATTCAGGGCATTGGCGCTCCAGGAGTGAGCGGATGGGAAATGTCCCAGTCCATATCTTGTTTATTTCCAGTATACTCGAACGATGGCTCTTCATCGTAATTAATTGCTAGCCCCTGAATCTAGGTGACTAAGCTTAAGCGAACACAGGTTCTGTAAGGACCCATTTAGCTTAGGAATACACCCAATTAAAAGCTACGAGTTATGATGCTGAACTCAATTTAGATTAGCGCAGGGCTAAGGCGATTCTAGCGCGCTTGAGGTGGCCTGTGCAAGTAACCTCGTATTTCATGAAACAATCCAATAACCGTTTCCCTGAGGTTCACCATGTCGAATTCGTAATGGCTATCACCTTAATGAACCTATTAGAAGACAGCGCTTATATCTTCTACCCCTTGTATCCCATTGTCTACCATGCGTCTTCTTCTAACATTGAGAGCCAGCAACGCAACTTGCGACAATCTTTGCACCCTGGCGTAATCTCCTGCACATCCCCCACGATCACTCCACCGACGCGTAACTTGTCATGGGGAAAATCACATCTATGAATTCTGTCAATAAGGGCGAGAAGGAAATACAATTGCACCGCGGACAAATTCGGACGATAAGTCTGCGAGGACTTTTGACCCCCGGTTCATCTGAAACCCTCATGATCAGGTAGGATTATGGGCCGATCACTTCAACAGATTGCTGCCGGGAGATGTCCCCGTCACCCTATAATATTACGACTTCATGCACCCAGGGTGCTGGCGATGATATAAAAGCAGGGGAAATGGGACGGGGAAGGCTCTACCAGATTGACAAGTTCTCAAGCGATCGTCTGTTCTTCACTTGAGATCTGATCGTTGGATTTTCTCTCCGTCCCTCTTTTCATCATGAATTGGTTCGCCTTTGCCAATTTAGCCTTGGGCCTGCTCTCCTGCAGTAGCCCAGTTGCTGCATGTCCTGGAACATCAAAGCTTCAAGCACGGGATACAGTACTCACCCACCGCCCCGAGACGACGACTGTCAATGCTACTGGCGGGACCTACGAAGCTTTCGAACCCGGCTACCTCGCCGGCACCTGGGAGGTGTTCAAGCGCGGGGAGTACGTGTCGCTCAACGGAACGGGATACATCCGCGTCCGCTGGGAGGTTGAGTACTGGAAAGGAGTCGGCCCTATCTACGAGCCTACTTTCGATGTCACCTCCGGCACGTTCCTCTTCGTGGCGGGAGGTGGCGGATACCAGATGACCGACAAGCCACAGGGCTGCCCTCAGGGAACTGGGTGCCTGAACTTTACCGGCGCAACCGAGTTCGGGTACAGCTACCCTTCGGACGATTATAACCCTTGGCACAACATGTACTACTACCTTGACGGGTCGGTAAACATCACGAACCACGAGGCTGGTGGGCTTTATAACGTTGGTGTCATGGCGTACAGTAAGTTGCCTATTATCACCAGTTTCGTCTCGTTATTAACCTTGCATAGGCTACGAGAATATCTTGTCAGACATCAACACGGCCCCGGCCACCTCGGGAAATTTGATAAAATACGGATATTCGTATGACCCGGCCGCAGGTTCATGTCCCTGTTCGGCATCGTGAAAGGCTAGTCTGCCGATCGAGTGAGAGGAACAATAAGACGTAGATATGTAGATGTCTTGCTCCTCTATTTTTACTTCTTTGATGTATATATCGATATAAATATTTCTACGATGCCCAATATATCTACCCAGGTATGATATCATTTGCTAGTAACGAATAGCCTTGCGACTTGGTTGCGGATCGCACACGAACGTAGAACTCCGGTTCTTGGCAATGACGTATGGTAGAATCACCCTAGTCTACGGGGTTGTCCCAAAATTAGCAACTTCAGACGATCGGTGGTAACTAAAAAGATATCCCTAACGAGAATAAACTATGCAAGCCTCAACTCTCAGGTTTACGTGACATGAAGAACAGCGAGAATTCGTCGCATTAGAGAACGGCTATGTCTACCTGCACAGCCGAGTTAGGCTGCGCCGCAGTGACATTCAGTGCCGATCCGGACATCGTGAGTGGCTTCACTGCTCCTACTACTCTTCCTGAACGTTGACTAAGCTAACTAACCCATAGGCTGGAATTGGGGTAAGAACGTCTGACTACAGCCATGGGTTAAGCCCTATTACTTACTTATTCTGTCATAGGTTATTCTTGCTTTCTTGGTATCTGCTTGGTCAAGTTTATTAATTATCACCATCGAATATTTCTCTCTGCATGGGGACGACGTCAACTTCAATTCGAACGCACTCGACGGACTATTGAAGGAGTATATCTGGAAGTTGACGAAACGCCTCAACAAACCCTGGACCCTTGGAGATGTTCAGCCAGCTATTTTGTTGGTTAGCGACCAACAACTAATCACCGGCATCGCGATCCTCAGTGTAGGCTATATCCAACACTGCACTATTACCCAGTACCACTTCTATATAATCTACTTGCTTGGATTTATCTCCTCTCAAGTTTTTGACGCCTCCCTTCACGCTCTCAATCTGTACGTCGATAGGCGTCCATCCATGAAACTATGGAGAGCAACCCTGATGAGCATCCTTTTCGGTATGCTTATCCTCAACTCATTCGTTGTAGATCATGACGAGTTCCTTGTATATGACGACGACGATGATATTTGGTATCTTGGGTCGTCTACTCAATGTGTATGGAACAAATTCATCGGCTCGAGCCATTACCGATACTCACTCTTAGACCTATTCATATCCTTGATTGTATTGATATGGGCTTACTTCGGGGACATGCAACTGTTCTACCCTCGTATTTTCAAGCCGCTCGGATGGATTCTCAAAGTCTTCCAAGCACCATTACTGGGTCTCCTTAGACTTCACGACCAAATAGACAAGAAGATGTCGGGAGCGGAGCCTACTTCCACCAGAGTAGGCTGTATTAATGCGGAGACCGACTCTAGAGAGACCTGTTCTGTGGATTCATTCCATTGGATGTTCTATCATCTTCCCTTGCTCATAATCCAATTTCTAATCTGGTTGTTATTGCTCCCAAGCTTTACGTTGATGGAGATTCTCACATCACGTATTGTCGACCTTTGGAGAATTTACTCAGCACTATTATGGGCGACGATCTCACTTACGCAGCTCAAGAAATATGCCAGCTCTCATCAATCTATTCAAGGAAGCGAGGCTGGATGGGGCTTTGGCCAGATCCTCCCATTACTTCTATTACTATTACCGGCGACGTCAGTATTGGAGATATACCAAGGCAAGTAAAGCGGTCCGAGGAAAGCGTTGTGGGCTATACTAACAATTACTACCTAGAGGCCCAAGAGAAAAGGAAAAATGATAAGGCTAAAAGAGCTGAATTCGAGTTTCAACACTTGGCTTTGCGAGACTCAGACGAACGTCTCGTTTATGAGGAACCGGCATCGTTATATCCCGCTTCTACATCTAAAGGTAGCAAAGGCGATTCCACATTGACGGGGAACAGAAGCCAGCAACGACAAGACGCAGCGACAAAGGATACCCTTCAAGATAGAATGTACAGACATAGGCTATTCTGCGTGTGGATTACTTTCTGCACACTCGCCGCCTTCGTAGGGACGACATACGGAGCAATCAAGGGATATTCGATTTAATAGGAAAAGGAATCGAAGTACCTAGTCATGGAGACGTAAAGAAATAGTTCGTACCTCGGTGGCCTCTTTTCATGATAGGCCATCTATCGTAGGTCGCTTGCGCTGGGAAACCGAAAGGGTGAAGAACAAGACGAAGATCCTACCTAATTGATTTCATCTCCAAAAAAAAAAAAAAGTACGTGGCTGAACTCCGCCAAGAAACATCAAAATGTTCGCGTCAATTTCGGATCCATGGACCAGTGATTGGTTGCGCATGGCGGGCCGCCCGACTACGACAATCCTCTAGTCCTACCTACATCAGGGAAGGCGATCAGCTCGCGACCCGGTTGGGCGAACCGCGAGGCTGAATCTGCGACCGACGTAATTCGCCGTCCACGCCCCTCTTCTGTCAGACAGCTCATCCGATCTTTATCTACATATCTAACCCACCGCACCATTGACTTTCTACCACACAGTCACTAATATACCAAACCTCCAACTTCCAACCTCTCAATCCAAACTCCAAACCGAACACCGACACACCGGACATGATCCTCCCCCGCGCCGTAAAGAACCGAAGGCGCAAAGGCTCCGGCTTCAAGTCCGGCACCAACCACTACTACGGCAGCAGCGGCGGCGGCGGCGGCGGATCCCACCTCCCCGTCTGGGCCTACATCGTCATCGCAGTTAGCGTGGTATGGGCATGCCTCTACCTAGGGCTGTTCTGCCATTTCTTTCGAAAAGGTATTGTTACCTACCCCCCTCCCCCCCTCTTCCTCACCACAATCCAAATCCAAATCCAAAAAGCCCGAAACCTGCCTAACACAAAACTCCCCCCTCTCCCCAGAATACCTCCAACCCGACCCCCTCAAGCGGCGGCGGCGCCTAGCCCCGGCCCTCGGCCACGCCGCCTGGAAGGCGTTCCGGTACGCGACGCCCATCCAGCCCATCCTCTGGGCGAGCCGGAAGCTGGCGGCGCGGCTCCGCGCCGGCCGGGGCGCGAAGAACGTCGGCGGGACCTTCTACCGGAAGATCGAGGAGGGGGAGAAGGGACATGGACATGGACAGGGACGGGAGCAGGAGCAGGAACAGGAACAGGGGATGCGGGATGTAGTAGGTAGTAGTAGTGGCGGGAAAAATGGCGGCGAGCTCGTAGGAGCGGAGCCGCCTTCCAAGGTGCGCGGCGAGTCGCTTATGTCCCCCCGTGGTGATTTCTGAGGGTCTGGGTGACGGATTAAAAAAAGAAGGCGGGTGGGAGGGTTGATGATTTACGTGAATAAGTACCTATATGGTTTCCAGGAAAGCATGATTATAGACTAAAGGGGCTATGTAGGTATTTAGAGCGATTGAGTATGGGTACAAAGTAAATAAGAGGAATTTTTCTCGCAGAGCAGACATTTAAACAAATAAGATACCCGATTCGGAGGCAGTAAAAGGCAGCGCAGTAGGTATTCACGACAGAATTACATACAGAACTATACATTAATCATCAGCCCTTCCAACCTGCTAGGCCTCGACCACGCTCCCTCATCGAATCTCGCAACTCGGCTTCATTTTGGCAAACTTCCAAACATCCCCTCCTCCCTCCAATTCGGCGCCTATACAAGTGAGGTATCTTCCGTATCAAAACAAAGAATCATTCATTTTGTCTGTCGATGTGTTTCGCGGTATGCTAGACCTGAATTTTAGGACTGGTTAGCTAGGTAGTTTGCGGCCTAGATGGTGGATTAGTGCTCAAGCTCTACACTCTAGAAAATACTCGACTTACCCGCTCGAGATTGTAATCGTACTTCTCAAGCGCGTTCACCGCATCTGTTCTCGAGTAACCCATGCCCGTCAGGTTCTTGACGATTGGGTCATCGTGCTTCCCTTCGTCGCTCAATGCTCTCCCCACGGTGCTTGGCCTACCAGAGCTATGACTTTGGACGGGGCTCTTGTTCTCATCGCTACTCTGTTTCGCAGGGGCTTCGCTGGGGGAATCTAGGCTGGCGAAAATGGCTTCCCAATCTTGGTTGTTTGGTGCGGCAGGACCTTGGGTAGAGAAGGAACCAGTGTTGGCATTGTTAGTGGCCGGAGCTGCACTAGCCATCGCGCCCGAGTTAGACGAGACCGTGCCAAAATCATAGCTGCTATCGATTCCGAACGTGTTCGACACGTTCGTCGATTCGCTCTTAGGTTGACTTGGTGGTGGGCTACTATCAAATACAGGATTAAAATCGTCAAGATTGGATCGCGACAAGTTGGCAAACTCATCGTCCGCCGAACCTTCTTTAGCATCTTCTAGGTCTGCGAACTCGTCATCTAAGTCGTCAAAAGCGGCCTTAGATCCGCTAGGAGCTGTGTTCGTCACCGTCGTTGGCGTCGGAGCAAACGAATCTCCACCCTTAGATGCAGAAGAGAAGGACGGAGAAGCCTTTGGTGGCTCAGGGAATACTGATAAATCACTTGTATAGATATTAGCACTATTGCGAATCATATTGTTATATTACACCAAAGCCTAAGAATGTTCATACTTAGATGGATGGGACGTATGAGATCCCGCAGCAGCGCTGTCTGGGCCGTCCGTCGCGGCAGCGCTAGCCTTTGATGCAGCGGGAGAAGCTGGGGCCTGCTGAGATTCCTTGGGTTCAGTCTTCCTATCGGCCGGGGACGCCGGGGCAAAGTCATCGTCGAACCGGTTTCCCTCGCTGGCGGAGTCCGATTCATCATCTCGTTCTAGCTCAGAGATAGGAGGGAACTCCGAGTTGAAGGTCGAGAATGCGTTGGAAGTATCTTTCGTCGACTTGTCTTGGGCCTTGCTTGAAGAGCTGGCCATGCTTGCAAAGGCAGAGTCAAAATCTACCTTTGCGTTGCCATTGTCTTTCAAGTTGCCGAACAGATCGCTGTCCCTGTTACCGGCGTACGGGGTGGTTGGTGCAGGTGCTGTTGGGGTCTCATCTGGGAATGATCCAGGAATGGATCCGTCATGGGGGGATTTTGGTCTCTCTTCACTCTGCGGGGTCCACTTCTGGTTGGAATCAGAGTTTGATGTCAGACTCTGACCGGTAGACATTGCCTCCATTGGAGCAGGAGTGGAAGCGGAAGGAGTTGGGGCATTTTCACCAGACCTGCTGACGGGAGGCGAAACTTGGCGTGAGGGTGTAAGCGTCTCGGATGCCTCGCCGAACTGGGCGAAGCTCGGACTGGGCTGTCGTGGTTCAGTTGGCACAGGAGGTTCGGCAGTCAACGTGGCCTGACGACTCACAGTTGGGGTAGAGCTAGTTGGGGTGGCAAAGGACCCAATACTAGCAGTAGACGTGCCGGTGTTTTGATGTTTGAACGATGTCACAGGTGCCGGTGATGTGCTGTCACCCCCAAAGTCGCCGAATATGTCATTAAACGACTTTTCACCATAGGGTTTGACAGGAGGTGAGCTAAACGCACCCATTATATCCGTGCTCCCCGTTCGCCTAAAAAAGGGATTGTTTGCACTAGCAGTCGACGGTGCCGGACTCGCTAGCTGAGCGGAGGTTGCAACCGGCGAGCCAGTGTTGACCTGACGAGAGAGTTCTTCATTGCTCTTCGTGAGATCTTCAACCTCGGTCTTTAGCTTGTCTCGTTCGCCTTCGGTCGTGGAAAGTTGCTTCTTGTTGATGGCTACCATCCCTTTTTGCTGTCGAGCCTCTGATTTCAGCTTTTCGATCTGCGGCTTTAATTGAGCAATCTCGGTGTTGACGAAACTGATGCGCTGCTTAAGACTTGCGTTCTCTTGCTGGTCGGCCTGAAGAGCTTGGGATATTTGGTGGTGTTGACCCTGCAGGTCTTTGTATGTGCCATCAATTGTGAGCAACTCGTTCGTAAGCTTCTTCGTTTCGTCGCGTATGTTCCTAAGCTGTTCTTCTAGAGCTCGAACATCTTGGGCTTCCTTCTCATATAAGGCGCGCAGTTGAGATAATCGCTGCTCGAAGTTTTTCTTCTGCTCGCTAGCTTGATTGATCTCATTTTGCGTGGAACCACGCTGTCCCTGAACTTGTTGCATCTGCTTTGATAAAGATCCGACTTGATTAGACAAGTTCGCTAATTCGGCCGTCTCGTTAGTTAGCTTTTTACTGATTTCCGGGTCATTGTCGCCGAGCAGGTCTTCCATAGTAGACGCCGAAGCGGGCACGGGGCTCCGTTGAGCTTGGCCCGAGCCGGCAGAACCCCCGGTATCATGAGAAGTTAAAGTTTTCCCAAACGAGGAGGATGGAATGAATGGCTTGAATGTATTAACCGTAGGAGATGTTCGAATTGGTGAACCTGGTGGGCCACTGGCGAAGGGGTCTCTCGTTGTTGAGCCTCCAGTGGACACCGGGACCTGAGCCGGAGCGGGGCTAGGCGAGGCGTCAAGTCCGAAGAGGTCATCAATGGCGGACTTTGGCTGAGGTTGAGGTTGAGGCGGCTGTGGCGGAGGCGAAGAGGCCGGAACATCAAATGGCGACGGGCCGATAGGAGCACGGGCTTGGGTTCGCAAAGACGGAGGGATGAGGTTCGGCGGAAGCACTGTGGGCAGTGGAATGTCTCGTCTAGTTCGCTGTTGGCGAATAAGATACATGGCAACAGCGAAGGTATCCCTGTTCAACCGACCCTCTGAATTGATGTCCGCGAGATCCCAGATTTGAGCTAAAGCGTCTTCGGGCAAGCCGGATCTGCTTAGGAAAGGGACCGCTTCCTCTCCTGTGATGAAACCTTTGTTTGCCTTATCCAATTCAGTATACAGCTGATCGAATCTTGCCTTTTCAGCAGGTGTGACGAGCCAGTCGCCTCCAGTCACCTGAGGCGGTACGCCTGGAGGGGGAGGACCTAACGGCGGCCTTCCTAGCGGACTGGTTGTTCGCACTTGTGCTTGTCCACTTAACTGTCGCGGTATAGCAGATATGGGTGGGCCTGTAGTTGCTGGGCTCTGTCTCGGCGCAGGAGCGCGTCGTGTAGCGGCCTCATAAAGCGCGGCAGGGAGAATATTCGGTAGGCCTCTCAAAGCACCAGACTTCATAGAACTAAGGAGATGCATTGCAATAACAAACTCAGTCTGCACAAGGGCGCCCCTCTGCTCCGTATCGGCGAGCTGCCAGATGCGCCCCAAGACTTCGTTGGGTAGGCCTGACTTCTCAAATATGTTCTTTGCTTGGTCACCGGCTAGTATACCACCAGGTTGTAGGTTCTGCTTCTCGAAGACGGTGGCATATTGTACGACCTTCTCGGGCGACAAGGGCGGTATTCGTATGGGCCCGCTACCAGTTCCTTGTGCTTGTAGCGGTGGATGAGCCGGCGGTGGTACGGGTGCGGCGCTAATATTGATCCCATCGAACCGCGGCAGAGGACCCTGTTGCATGGCCAGTTCAGGGGTTGGTTCGCGTCCGGCTTGGGCATGGCCGATGAGTCGCAAGACGAGTCCAAAGCCAACAGGTGTCAAGAAGCCGCGATTCTCATTGTCAGCTACCTGCCAGATCTGCCGGTGTTGTGAATGATTAGCAACTTCGGGTTTCCATGGTTGTTATGTCATCCCCCAGCGTATGAAATCATGAGCTCGACTTACCTCACCAAGAATGCGTGAGTCAAGTCGGGTCTTCTCGAAAAATTTCACTGCTACATCGCCCGTTACGATACCCGCACCCTCAACGTCCGCTTCTCGGAATAGTTGGCCATATACTCGCTTTTCTTCCGGGCTGAGGATGAGCGTCGGCGCAGCTGCGAAAAGAGGGGGTTAGCTGATGCTATCGACAATATATGTAGCAAACTAATGAAGTTCTTGATGGTATGTAGATATCTAGTGATGTTATTTGGACAGGAGTTATCGTAACTTACCGGCGTCAACGCTGGATTCGGCGGACATTATTGCGCAGCCGAGCTCACCAGGCTTCAATTTAAGACAGAGCTCGGCGGGCGAGGGCGAAAGATTTCGGGGTTAATGTTTCGGATGCAGATTAAAAAAAAAGGTTCAATTGACAATGTGTCAAGACGGGTAGAACTCTGAACTGCCAATAAAACAAGGGGCTACTCTGGAGCTTCGGCAGCAAAATACCGTTACAAAGTTTTAGGTCGTGTATTGCGAAAGGTAGGATAGGTATTCCGTAAATGTGGAAGAGAATGTTTTGGTGTTGGAGTCTCCAACTTTCAACTTTCGGCAGGAGGCTGGAGTCTAAACGTTCGATAGGTACCTAAGTATTACAGGCTTGACAGGGTAACCTTGAACTCTTCCCCCTACTGCCCCTACCTTCCCTACCTTAAGCTACCAAGGCAGCTGGGTACCTAGTCTACCGCGAGTCTACGTAGTCGGAGCCACTTTTCTAGCTCCCTGAGAACATTTGAACCTCTTAACCATCGAAGCCCCGGGCTCCCGGTACACATATACATATACATCATATATGTATTCCGTACATCGTACATATATATGTATGCAGAGACCCTCTATTTTAAACGATTATCATTATTAATATTTCTTCCCGACGTCCATTCGACATTCGGCTTTCTTCATCTTCCTTCTGGCATCTTAGCGTGCATCGTTTTATCCTGTCGGAAGGCAGCTAGATAGACATGTGACCCGTAATAAATATCCTCTCTATTAAAATTTGGAGACAGATAGAAAAGGAACGAACGTTTCTCGATGAGTCAAGCAGCTCGAGGGCGCTCTTTTCCTCTCATGAATGCCGCGGCATCCCAATCTGGAATCGTGATTGTAGGGGACAGATAGTCATGCACATCGCTGCGAGCTGCATTCGACAACGAAGCCACAATTGGTCGACGGCAGGTTCAACCGCGCATAGCGTCTAAGGTATTTATCGAATAGAGTGAGGTTGGTGCTCTGGATTTCAACCATTGGTCCAAAACTCTGTCACACTGCATGGAAATTATCAAGCGACACCAAGCGACACGAAAACGAAACTGCAGGGAGGATAATCAAACTACGACGGGAACATATTGAGTGTCTTTTAACGTCCTTTCTGTCGATATAACCCATTTGGGGACGACACCAGAGAAACTCGTGCTATTAAAAGTTGTAGGACGGATGTACAAAGCATATACTAATCTTGCTACCAGGCTCAGTCACAGTAGAATCAAAAAAGGTCCCCTGCTGCCTCTCCATTAGTCCCAACGGACAGCTCCACGTTATTCGGAGACTTTAGCACAACTAATACGTCTCGATTCGTCTTTAGTATAAACAAAGGTGCTATCAAGGTAGGTCCGAATCGTATCCGGTCACGGGTGCGAAAGTATTAAATGTCTTTGGCGGTGACACGTAGCACGAGTGGCCTGAAACTTAATACTCAGCCTCAACATCACCCTCGCCCTCTAGGGAATCAGTGGCAACTTCCTCGTAGTCGCGCTCCAGCGCAGCCAAATCCTCACGGGCCTCCGAGAATTCACCTTCCTCCATACCTTCGCCGACGTACCAATGGACGAAAGCACGCTTGGAGTACATCAGATCGAACTTGGTAGACAACGCAGACCAAGCCTCAGCGATAGCCGTCGTGTTGGAGAGCATGCAGACAGCACGGTTGACCTTAGCCAAATCACCGTTGGGAACGAACTGAGGAGCCTGGAAGCAGATACCAAGCTTGAAGCCGGTTGGGCACCAGTCGACGAATTGGATCGTGCGCTTAGTCTTGAGGGTAGCCACAGCCGCGTGAGCGTCCTTGGGGACGACGTCACCTCGGTACAGCAGACATGTGGCCATGTACTTGCCGTGGCGGGGGTCGCACTTGACCATCTGGTTGTACGGCTCAAAGCAGGACATGGTCATCTCCTGAACCGAGTTGGCCTCATGAGCAGCCTTAGCAGCAGAAATAACTGGTGCGTAGGCGACAAGAGGGAAGTGGATACGAGGGTACGGCACCAAGTTCGTCTGGAACTCGTTGAGGTCGACGTTGAGAGAACCATCGAATCGAAGAGAAGCAGTAATGGAAGACACAACTAGATAAAGTTAGCCACCATTAAATTCGTGATTTTACTCCACACATACCTTGCGCGATCAAACGGTTGAGATTCTCATAGCTAGGGCGCTCCAAGCCAAGATTTCGGCGGCAGATGTCGTAGATGGCATCATTGTCAACCATGAACGAGCAGTCGGAATGCTCTAAGGTAGTGTGCGTGGTAAGGATAGAGTTGTACGGCTCGACAACCGAGGTAGCGGTCTGAGGTGCTGGGTAAACACAGAATTCCAGCTTGCTCTTCTTGCCGTAGTCAACGGAGAGACGCTCCATCAACAAGGCGCCGAAGCCGGAACCAGTGCCACCACCGAAAGAGTGGAAAACCAAGAAACCTTGAAGACCAGCACAGCTGTCGGCAACGCGTCGCACTCTGTCCAAAACCTGATCGATGAGCTCCTTGCCCACGGTGTAGTGGCCACGGGCGTAGTTGTTCGACGCATCTTCCTTGCCGGTGATCATCTGCTCAGGGTGGAAAAGACTGCGATAGGTACCGGTGCGGACCTCATCGACGACGTTGGGTTCGAGATCGCAGTAGATAGTGCGAGGAACATACTTGCCCTGGCCTATTGAATCCGATTAGAACACCATTTACTAGCTGCAAAACAGCATAAGAAAAAAACGCTTACCAGTCTCAGAGAAGAAAGTGCTGAATCCTTGGTCGGGATCAGCGAGCTTGCGCTCTTCGGTCAGGTATCCATCAGGCTATATGATAAATTGATCAGTCGTGTCCTACTGCCAGAATACTTCGAAGAAACCTACTTGGATACCGTGCTCGAGACAGTAGAGCTATAAGATGTCAAGATTAGCATTGTGCTTGAGTCATTCTCGTGACAGTGACAGGGGTCGTTGAGATCCATATCACGCATTAAAGATGTGCGACGTCGACGTCCTGTCCGATAGATAGGATTCTTACCTCCCAGCAGGAATTGGCGATTTGGCAACCCGCCTGGCCAACTGCAAGCAAATACGTCAGTATAATGGTGGCTTCGAAGGATGGGCGTTATAGGGGTCTATAGTATGAGACATGGATGATGCGGTGAAGGAAAACGCGTGCCTCGAGGGGGGAAAAACATGGAATAAACGTACCGTTGATGCTAATGATCTCGCGCATCTTGAAGGCAAATACAATGCGAAAGCAGTAGTAAATGAGAACAAGAAGATGAGAGAACGAAGAATCGGAATCGCGGGTGCAGGCAAGGTTAGAAGGAAAGTCCCGTAGCAGGAGGTGTGAGTGATTGAAAAATGTAGGTAGGAATTGAAATTGAGTCGAAAGGAGTTCTGTTGATGCTTTTGGACCCAGTCGTTTTTACCCAAGTCCAATAACTAAAAAGTACTAAAACTCCAAGTGGGGGCGGATTAAAAATTCATCCCCTGGTTGGGTAGGAGCTTTTGTTGACATGAGATTGCCTAGATGGGACTCGGGCTACTCGGGAAGGCACACAGACCACGTCAGAATGCAGGGACCTCAAGGTGGGACTGCTGTTTAATATAATGTTGAATAGTAGGGGACAAACTGAGCTTGGCAGCAACGACACACCGTCGCGCCCATTGTCCAATACTTTCTCACCCCCAAAAAATTCGATCTTCATTAATAATTTAGCTAGCAATTAAATCTCATTCATTGAACTGTTGGATTACTAGATTACCACAATGTTAATTCGATTCGCTCCTATAATCCTATTGATTACATCCGTGTTTGCAAACACCGAAAAGACCATTTTCATCGGTCCACCAACCGCCAACATCCCCTCAGCTCATCCAACCCTTGAAGACTTGCATGTCGATGTCCTCACCCCTTCTAATTGGACAATACGAACACATCTAGAGGCTCAATTCCCCAATATTTCATCACCAAATGGCAAAGCCACTTGGCTCATCTTGGACGAACTCACTGAGGGTCAACGTTACGAAGTGAGAGTGTGTTGGGCTGCAACTGTTAGTTAAGCTCTAATGATGTTTCTTTTTTATATCCGTGCATCTATTCAGGTCGAGAAAGCTAATTAGTTTATAGCAACCTACCCAATTCAAAATCGCTACCTATGAGCTGCAAACTGTCTTTGAGACTCCTGAACTAATATCTGAGCTTTCAGAATATTCATGGTCTCGCCAGTCTCTTGGAGGTGATCGTGGGTCTCAATCTAAACCTGTAGGAAACCTCCGGGCCTCGAACTCGGAGAGAGAAGCTTCGGTTCTCTTTCTCCAGATTCTAGCAGCGGCAGATTACTATACGGCGAATAAGACGCTGATGAGACACGTTCCATCAGTCCATGTGGATATCATCCTCGACCCCTTTCTCCTTGGCGTACTGCCCCGTTCACTATTGCCAACTGTGGGCTACATTACCGTAGTAGCCATCACATCCTGGTTTATCGCACGATACATCTCAATATGGATTCGTAACTTAGGAGCAGAAGCAAACCCTGAGAAGAAGATTCAGTGAAATGGTAGACACGCTTTCGTCACTGCTTCCTATATTTGCCTCCCTAGATCCAAACGAGAGTACCATCGAATCCCAGCTATCATAACTCGTAATCCTCGCTCATCAAAGCATTCCACTCAACCTCGGACGGAAGCGTAACCGCAGCACTGTCTTCATTTTATCCACAACTCAATCTATGCTTTAAAACCATTGAGACATTGCCCAAGTCGATTGTCTCAGCAAAAGCGAATATTGTTGAATGCTAGAAAATGAAAGAACATGAACTCCGCGGTCTATAATACGTCTGCTTGAACGTCTGCCAATGACGCTGGCATATCATAAGGTTGACCTGCTACCAATTGCCGGGGTAACCCCCTGACTGACCGTGGTGAGGGTGCGTCGCCGAAGGAACCGGTGGCCCAGCAGCGTAGGCAGGTTGCACAGAGTATCCGTGAGGAGCCGATGATGGTGGTGGCATACTGTATTGTGGGTTACTAAACGTAGAGGGGGGCGGTGGATATTGTTGACCGCTGTATTGAGGCTGATTCGGCGGCGGTGATGCATATTGTGTTTGTTGTGCTACGTTCTAAATTAGTGAAATACAGCGACCATATCCCAAAATATATCACCTACAATAGGCGTGTCCTTGAGGACCTGGGCTATGTCCATAGCTAGAGTGCTGTCCCGAAGGCGGACCGCTACTGTATGGTGGATTGTGGTGCTGCTGGCCGGGAGGAGAGCTGTTGTAGGATGGATTCTGATGGCCTAGCTGATTAGGAGGAGGGGGATACGAAGTTGCAACATGCTGGCCGGGCGGAGGAGGGTACTGCGGTGTCACGTGTTGAGTAGAGGATGTATTATAAGAGGGTGAACCTTGCTGATGAGGCGGAGAGCTGTAGGATGGCGTCGAAGCATTGGGCGGTTGGTAGGATGTCGGAGGAGCATGACCACTATATCCGCTTGTCTGGCCTGCATTTGTATAGCCGTAATTCTAATACGTCAGATTACGTTAGTCAGATATTCCCGTCCCAATACCGTCGTTGAAGGCAAACATACTGGTTGGCTTCCATGACTCCCTCCGAACATATTCGCAACTCCTCCCATCACAGAACCAGCTAGGCCTGATGAATGTGGAGCTTGGCTGGGTTGCCCGCCATGGTAATTCTGAGGTTGCTGGGGCTTATGACCAGAAGCGAATAGGTTTGAGGCAAGTTGGCCAACAAGTTGGCCAGTACCTCCGCCATGCGTACTGGACGAACCTCCGTGGCCACTGCTGCCGTGACTTCCACCGAGACCACCAATCAATTGACCAGCAAGGCCGCCAATACCACCAGAGCTGTGGCCGTTGGTCGTCTGAGGCTTTCCATGGCCGCCGGAAAATTGGCTCAGTAACGAATTAGCTGCAAAGCTCTGTAGTTGGATATTAGGTCAGCGCATTATGCTTCAGAATGCAATATTCATAAGAAGACTCGTAGACGCACACCAAATCCCCTTTCGCCAGATGGTCCATCAAGTCCTCTATTATCCTCGGTCGGTAAAATGGGCTCCATCCGACCGTCGGGATGCTTGACCGTCTGTGTGCCATCGGGATGGGTGATGACTTCTTGCCGGCCAGGGATCCCATACGGATGTTCATTTGTCTGGGCAGGTGTGTTTCCCGGCGCAGCTTGTGTCGGGGTTTCCCATTGAGACACGCCCGTTGAGAGCTGAACGTAGTAATACTTCTTACTTGTGCCATCCCACTGCGCAATCCATCCAGGTGGGAGTTGTGGCGGTTCGAACGTAGGGCCTTCGTTGGGAGAGGCGGGGCCAGCCATGGCGACTGAGGGGTCTTATCCCGTCTCCTCTATATCTAGAGTATGTAAAGTAGACGAATTGGGAAGACTACCGAGTCGACGAAAGAGAAAGATCGTAGAAGGGGGGGAAGAGACCTCGAGTATCGGCAGAATCGCTAATGAAAAAGAAGGTGGTCAGTCAGTCAATAATTCTTTTTTAAAGTTAGGGATCTCGAAGGCGGTATGACAAGCCTTGGTACCTACTAGGTAATAGAATTTAGAGAGTTTGAGAGGAAGAAGGGTTGTCGAAGGGTCGCTGATGAATGAAAGGAGACTAACCCGCTAGTTCAAGATCTAAGACCCTGCAAAGTCTAATCTAAACGTAAGGTAGTCGCCAGTGCAGCTTAGATTAGTATGAGATATGCCGTGACCCGTCGCAGGTTTCTACTTCCCCAGGTAGCAAGTTAAGTATATACTTCACGTCTATATATCAAACACCTAAGATGCCCTAGGTACCTTACCATCTTGGAGGGGTCATTCCTCCCTCCTATAAGTGGACCCTCAGACCCAGCCATGCCACACAATGAATGACGACGTCAGCCACAAAGCCACAAATGCCACAATAATCGAAGTGGCGGTTCCAATTGACTTCCAAGATTCGTCGAGGTCCACATGGACTTCGCCATAGAAGAAGAGCTCCGTCGAGTCATTCTACTGGCACGAATTCAGGTGCCTACGTGTTTTCCCCAATGATCCGCCAGAATCGTATCCATATCAAATTACCTAACCCATGACAACAACGAATGAGACGCGATTAAATATCATTTGTTAACACACCGTCGGTTGCCTCCCAGTTGTGCTGTACATTGTGCAGGTGCATGAATATTCACATGAAAGGTAACGCACGCATAGGTATGTCTCTAACTTTGATGTACCTAGTGAATTTATCGAATCAGAGATATGGATAATTTAGGTAGATGAAAGCTTCAATGTTTTCCTGTTATGATGAGCAAGCTCTACCCACTAACTCAAAACTCCGAGTCTACCTGCCTATATGTTCTTGACAGTACCTCCCCAATTTTAGACCATGAACTTTAAAGATTCTTAAATTAACTTTGAGGTGAAAGAAAGAACAAAACATGTCACGCATAGCACAGTCCAGAGGAAACTTACTCTTGACACCCTCTTTACCGAGAGCTATGAAGTTCAACTTAACCGTTAGTTGCGCGGATGGGCCAAGAAGAAAATAGGAGCAAGCACCATTCAAAATCTGCACACAACGGGTTCAGCTAACTTACAAAACATAGGATTCTACAAGATCATGGACTCTAAGCACCCCCACCTCGAAAAGGCAGGAGACGTAGACCGCCAGACACGACTCGCACAACTTCGTCAGTTTGTTATGGATGGCTCTCTCACTAATGAAGAACACCGCTACGTGAAAATTCTCCTATCAAGAGTCAACATAGACATCATAAGTGAGCTACCAATTGAGCTCGTGGCACAGATTGCGGACTTCCTAGGTTTGCGCGATTTCGTTACCTGTCTCGCTGTCTCCAGACGATGGCGAGGAAAGTTCCTTTCTATTATAAATGCTGTCACAGATGAGCTATGTCCATCGCTACGTCATATATCAATGGGCACCCCATTAGACCCAAACGAATGTCTAAAAACCCTTCACAGGATAGGACGCTTGCACCGGCATTTTTTCGAGTCCAGTCTTGAGAAGTCGTTTTCTTGGCAAAACGAGTCATATTTTAAACTTGATCCCGAGTATCATGGCCGCCATAAAGATATGTCTGCTGCTTATGCGCAATTTGATTGCCAACCTGATCTCGAGCCGGATTCCTCCGCATATGAGAATGCTTTATATTCTCATGGTAGGATAGCGTGGCAACCTTGGCCTCGAATCATTGTAGTCGATAACCTATGGTCACGGACACGAAAGGTTTTCACTTCACCGAAGGGTCCGCTTGTTCATCCAGAATGCAAGCTTCAAGCTCTAGGGGATAGACTTGTCATAGCATCCATGGACCGTCTCTTGTAGGTAGTTTCACATTCAAGTATGTTTTCAACTCGGGTCTAATTGAATTGAATAGGACCGCGTGGGACCACATCGCAAACATTTGTCTTGAAAAGAAGTTACCCGGATCTATTAGATATGTTGCAACTAGAGGATCTGAGGTTGCCATAATTCTCTTCAGCGGAGACGTCTTCTTATGGGAGTTCGGCGGTAAATTCTCGACGCTCGCAACCACGCCATTGATCAACTATCATGGCTTCACCAACGAACTCACCAAAGACTGGAAGCAGAATCTTTGCGTTATATTCCATCCAACATGCACCAGGAAACTTTTTCTGGCCTCCGGATACACCGATAGTTCTGGTTCAAAATTGACGCTTAAACGCATGGTCTACGAATTCGATGATACCAGCCATACAGAGACTTTTGAATCCGAAATTTCAATGGGAAAAAAAGTACGCACTACCCAAGTCCGAATAGGAAAAGGAATGCCTTGTCACCGCGATATCATAGGGTTTGTTGAAGTATACCTGTTCGCGGACCCGCCAATCCCAGTGGCAGCATCCGAATCTTTCGTCGAATTTGACATTTACAAACGGAAGTTCTTTGAGAGAACTAACGAGAGGGGTTTCCCTCATATTAACTGGGTTATGGGACATAAACACGGGGATGTAGATTTTCTTATTCAGTTCCACGATCGTGGCTTCACGGCCTATAGCTTTCAACCCGGATTCGACTTGAAAATTGGCGAGTGAGTTTCCAACACGTAATGGATCAAATGAGAATAACAAGTTCGGAACACACTCAGAGTAACAGTCGCCTACTTTATAAACTACCGAATACCCTCATTAGAATCATGAAGGGCTTTGGAGCTGGTTGATGTGAGAGTTCTTCAGTCAAAATTCGGCGCCGAGATAAATGACACAAAACCATCCTGTCAACGTACAATATCTAAGGCGCTGTGGCACATTAACGAAAGAGTCATTAGTGTGTCTAAAACCTGTTATTTGCCATGGTAACCTTGGAAGGAATAGACTACGTTACACCCTTAACTCCTAGAAGCTATTTTGAAGGCATCCATAGGCCGGATCAAGGAAGCTCGAGTTGAATACTACACCAAACATATCGCCCCGAAAGATTTATTTGTTAGGGATGGTTATATTCTCCGTGGTGTCGTTTACGGGTGTAACCAAAACCTCGTTTGAATAAATAACTGTCTGTCTAATCATCCAGGTGACTTTTGGGAAGGTATACAGCCGAGTCCGAGCAGAGGTATATGCACTGCAGTCTAGCAGCAATACGAAAACGACGTGCCAAATCGACGGTGGATAGTGCTAGGCTAATCTTTAGTTCAGGAAACTCGCAAATATCTTCCCGTCTAACGAGTGCCGCCGAGTAAACCGGTAGGTACCTCTATGGCCGGACGGATTTAGCTAGGAACCGGGGATAAAAAGCAAGACAACCGCTCGTCGGAGTAGGTACTACTGATTAGGAAATCTAAGTCCGTGATGACTGGGTCTTTGCCATCATAAACAACCACGATTTTTCCATTTTCCACGAGTTGCAGTAACGCGAATAGGCGGAAGAAGGATGGGAGAAGAAATAGGAGTTACCGATGGCTTGTTACCCCGCAAAGACATCCATCCATCCTGGACCCGACACCCCTGTGTCCCGACCTGCTCCCGACTCCCGCTAGTGACCTAATTCTGCAGACCAGCCAGGTGATACCTGTCACTAAAACCCCACCCCCACAAACTCATTACGACGGGTCTTTTGTGGGGTAGTACGGTAGCGTGATTGGTCATTAGGTCTGCTTGGGATCACGACCCATTGATCAACCTTCACTTTTACCCCAACCACGCGTATCAAGCGCCATGGTTATTATGGATGCTACAAAATATTTACCTGCCAATTTCAACAGCTGAGAAATCCAGCCAACCATCGACAAGATAATTCCGGCGTGATAGACTATTTGCGAATGGCACGGCGGTACGACATTAGCGGGACGAATTATCATTGGTTCTTTCTCCCTTCTCTTGCCCATCACTTACCTAGTCATTCACAGCTAATCATAGGTAATATGGATTTTCGACTTAGAATTCGTTCCTCCGAGACATTGCGTGGAAGACTTGCCTCGGCTGGTTCCTGGCTAGAACAGCGAATCTTGCAGTAGATTTCACATGCTGTCTCAGACCGCTCACCCAAGATCTGTAGACAATGGCATTCCAATTCTAGCTTATGCACAACCAGGCCTCTCTCAACCGGGGATGGGTCCTAACGCGGTATACTAACCCCGTGGAGGAGGGGCTGAGAAAGAGAATTTCTTGCTAGATTCGATTCCCGGATCCTGGGTTTCTCGACGATATTCTGGAAGAAGTACGAAATTCGGTAAGCTATGCGATTGTTGACGAGTTGCTTGGTCCAACTCAGTTTGGCGTCCCTTTCGCAAGAATGGTCAGCTGGGTGGAAGTCGACGAACAAGGGCTACCTACGTGTGCTACGAATTCCATGAATGAAATTTGAGCTTGAGTTCATTCTTGATTTACATCTTGGTTGTCTTGATCCAGCTTATTCCCCGATGGGTATAACACGCCTCTCATCGTTATAGGAATGTCTATATAAGATCGCCATACCGTGTCATGAGACACGGTGATACATTCTTCGAAATTTCTACTCACTAACTCGCAACATACATTGATCTACGGACACAACTCCTGTCTTCGGACTTCCTGTCTGCCTTCCTATCCCCTTTTTAGTTTGTTGGATATTACCTAAAGGACATCATGTATAATACTCTTGCTCCTCTAGTATCGGCTGCCTTACTCGCTAGCATAGCCGCTGCTCTTCCAGCGCCGACTCGAACGTTAGAAGAACGAACTGTTACAGCCTCCGTGGTCATTTCACAAGGCACTCTTGTTGGTTCGGTCCTTAACGGAGTTGAGAACTATGGTGGTATACCGTTTGCCGAACCTCCGACGGGGAATTTGCGGCTGAAGCCGCCGCAGAGACTTAACTCTTCTCTTGGCACTTTCGACGCCACTGGACTTGGTCCCGCTTGCCCACAGATGTTCTTCTCTACGGAGGGAGATCTTATCACCTCTGTGTTGGGCTATCTGATCAACACGCCACTGTTCCAGACGGTTACGGAACAAACGGAGGATTGCTTAACCATGAGAGTCCAGCGGCCAATAGGTACTACGTCGGACTCGAAACTTCCTGTTCTCTTCTGGATCTTCGGGGGTGGCTTCGAACTTGGCAGCCCTCAGATGTACGATGGTTCCTCTTTGGTCGCTAATGGCGTAAGCCAAGGAAAGCCTTTCGTCTTCGTTTCCGTGAATTATCGGGTAGGTGGCTTCGGATTCCTGGCTGGCAAAGAAATCCTCGCAGACGGCGCATCTAACCTGGGACTCTTGGATCAACGCATGGGTCTCGAATGGGTGCAAGACAATATCGCAGCATTCGGAGGGGATCCGGAGAAGGTGACAATCTGGGGCGAGTCTGCCGGTGCCATCTCCGTGTTTGATCAAATGGCCCTTTACGGCGGAGATAACACCTACAACGGGAAGAAGCTCTTCCGCGGGGCCATTATGAATAGCGGAAGTGTGATTCCAACAGATCCAGTAGACTGTGATCGCTGCCAAGACATATACGATACTGTAGTCAGCAAGGCGGGATGCTCCAGTGCTGCCGATACGCTTGCATGTCTTCGCAGTGCTGACTACGATACATTCCTTAACGCCACGAATAGCGTTCCGGGCATCCTCAGTTACAATTCTGTCGCATTATCGTACCTCCCACGACCGGATGGTGTGGTCTTAATAGATACCCCTGACGTTCTCGCCGCCAATGGTCAGTACGCCGCTGTACCAATGATCATTGGCGATCAAGAAGATGAGGGGACCCTCTTCAGCCTGTTCCAGCCCAACCTCACAACTACGGATGAGCTCGTCGATTATATCTGGAAAATATTCTTCCCTGCTATCGAAAGAGACGACGTCGTAGGCCTAGTTGACACCTATGACCCGTCGATTACTGCCGGGAGCCCCTTTGACACTGGTACCTTCAACGCGGTGTATCCAGAATTCAAACGCCTTGCGGCCATTTTGGGGGACATGGTATTCACCCTCACACGCAGAAATTTCCTTGAGTCTACCCTTGCTGTGAATCCGGACGTGCCCTCGTGGTCCTATCTTGCATCCTACGACTACGGCACGCCGATACTAGGCACATTCCACGCTTCCGACATACTACAGGTATTTTACGGTATACTCCCAAACTACGCTAGCAAGGCTATCCAGAGTTATTACATCTCGTTCCTATACACACTGGATCCCAACAACGGGACGAGCTCAGACATTCAGCAGTGGCCGCAGTGGAAGGAAGACAAGCAATTGATGCAGTTTTGGAATAGCAACAGTAACTTGTTAGCCGACGATTTCAGGGCCGCATCGCAGCAGTACATAAGCGCAAATTCCAAGAAATTCTTAATCTAACGTTGCATTTTGAAATGAGTTATCGTGCAGGCATTCGGCGTCAATCAAGGATGGGCATGTGAATTGATTTAGGGTCTTAAGCGGATATTCCGGTTCGAGATTATGGTCATGCCGAGAATCACGTTGTGAAAAGAAAAGAAAAACAAAAACGAATGGGAAAATATGAGACGAAACTAAGGACGGGAATCTAAGACACGAGAACTGATGATGCTATAGACGAGGGTGCTTAATTCGATGAGGGTGTGATGATGGTGTGGGGCGGATCTCAAGCATCAGCAAGGTTGCGTTGATAATAATAAAAAACAAGGTAGCAATTTCAAGGTTTCTGATCAAGATAACCCGAGGAGAGGGGAATGTAACATCACTAACCGATACCATGCTCGTGGAGAGCATCTCGCGCCATATTTATTGTTGATGCCTATGGCTTGAGTGCCATTCATCATGCTAGTGTAAACTCAACACTGCTACTTACTCAAGCTTCACTAACAGCAATGCGGTTCTCCTTGCTGTTGACTCTATTGAGCGCCTGTGGGCAACATCAAGCACAAGCAAATGGATCGCCTCCTAAAAAGGGGTCACTAGCGAGAAACGTCGGCCAGGTCATTTTAGACAAGAGTTCATATGTAGACTCGTTAATTTCGAATATGACAGTCGAGGATCTGGGTGAGTTGGCTAGAGCTCAGATACGCGTTGAATACCAAGACTAACAAATAATCCAGTTCTACAATTGCACCTTATGTTTGGCGGCGACATTGTAGGGGTCGAGTCTAAGAACGAGCTTTATGGTATGCATGCTGGCCATATTAAAGATCTCACATCATATTCACCTAGGGGTTAGACTATGCGATGCGCTTCAGCCCAGACTCACCAATAGGTGCAATGCATGATTGGTACGTCTCATGTGCTCTAATCCAGCCGGTGCCCCTGGACTCACAGCGACATAGGTACCCGCTCAACACTTCTCACTATAACTCCGTTCAGGCATTGACCCTCCAAAAAGCGCGACTGAAGATTCCGCTCATGCATGTGGGAGAGTGCCTTCACGGTGTCGGGTCTTTTAAGCAGTCGATGTTCCCCCAGAGTCTAGGACTTTCAGCTAGTTTCGATACCGATCTTGTGTATCGCGTCGGCAGAGCGATTGGAACCGAGGCGAGGTCGATCGGGATTCATGCCTGTCTGTCTCCCGTCCTTGACATCGGCCAGGACCCGAGATGGGGGCGAATGCAAGGTAAATATCTGCTCTCGGCTCCTAAAAGAAGTTCCTTCCGTTGCTGACACCGAGTAGAGGCGTGGGGAGAAGATAAAGTATTAACTTCGCATATGGGAGTCGCCTACTCTAGCGGCCTGTCTAAGAATGGCTCTTGGTCTGAACCAGACGCCGTCGTGCCAGTGCTCAAGGTATGAATTCTCGCGTCAATGTCTAGGCAAGCTGTTGGTTTATTCTGTTGGATAGCATTTCGCCGCGCACGGAGCTCCTCAGTCGGGACATAATACCGCCCCGTTTATGGGTCACGGAAATCGGCAGGTGTTACAGGATCTCCTTACGCCATTCAGGGCGGCGATCCAACTAGGTGGAGCAAGAGGCGTATTGATGTAAAGGGATTATAGGCAGTCCGGTTTAGTTTCTCGTACTGACTGACGTATAGGGCATATAGCGAGTTTGACGACATACCGGCTCACGTCCACCCCCTGTTATACCAGGCACTTGAAGACTGGGGGTTTGATGGATTCACTATCGCCGATGATACTGGTATAATTAAGCCCATACGACTCGTTCCATATATCATGCTAATTGAGCAATAGGAATGGCCGAGTTACAAGCGGTACATCAGGTAGCAGATTCTGCAGGAAGTGCGATAGGGCAATGGTTTAACGCTGGAGGAATGATCCAATTCTACGACTATCCTCTTGAGGTCTATCTTAATGTGAAATCCCATTCCCGTTTAAATATCTGAAGGGGTATTAACGAAGTTCTAGACAACAAAAGACCTCGTCGCAAATGGTTCTGTGGAATTGACAACTCTACAGTCTCATATTCGCAACATCCTAGGTGTGAAGTGGGATTTAGGCCTATTTGACGACCCTTTCATCCCATCGGGGGTCAATCCTCAGGAAATTGTCAAGAGCCACAGGAACCTCACGCTGGAAGCTGCTCAGAGAAGCATCGTTCTCCTAGAAAACAAGAACTCCACATTACCATTAAAGCCTCAAGCTCAGAAAATCACCAAGATCGCACTCGTCGGCCCGTTCGCTGATGTACTCAATTATGGCGACTATTCTGGTCAATGGGGGCAGTATCCCGCAGACGCGGCACAGACGATCCGCCAAGGAATACTCAAATATGCGAATGGAGGAGATTTTGAGTTGGTTTCTAGCTGGGGCGCAAATACCTGGGAGTATAACTCCCAGTATGTAATACCACCGTACCTCTTGTCGGCGAATGGGACAGCGGGTGGCCTTGCTGCGACGTATTTCGCGGATACTAATTTCACCCAGCCTATGGCATATAGAATCGAGAATCCTGCGCTTGACTGGGGATTATATCCTCCAGACGGTCTACCATCTAATAACTTCAGTGCTATTTGGGAAGGGGAGCTGAAATCTCCTGTCGACATCGACGTAGATGGCTGGATTGGAGCGGCTGTAGGACCCAACACGACTGTTAAGCTCTTTATCGACGGAAGCTTGACCACCTCATATGGAGTAGAGGGTCTTCTACAGTCTAGCAATATCATGGGAAATATCATGAGCTACGATTACATCACGACGAATAGCACACTACCTCCGACCGGATCTGCCCCTTTTACATTCAGAAAAGGGGCAACATACCACATTCGCATCGAATACCAAGCCTTCACTCTCTACAAGACAACCGAAAACGTAAATTCTCTCAATTCGCAGCTCATACTCTTCTGGAACCTCGTCAGTCGGAACGGCGACGCAGTCGACCAAGCCGTCCAACTCGCAAGCTCCTCAGACGTGGTCGTCCTGGCCGTGGGGGCGGCTTGGAACAGCGACGGAGAAAATGGGGATCGAGGCACGCTAGGCCTTATATCAAGCCAGGACATCCTAGCCAAGGAACTATTCAAGTTGGGGAAGCCTGTGATGCTTGTTCTTCAGGGCGGTCGACCCTTTGCGATCGACTACTATAACCAGAGCGCTGCTGTGCTAAGCGCTTTCTTCCCTGGCCAGTCTGGTGGCCAAGCGATCGCGGATGTGTTATTTGGCACGGTAAATCCAGGAGGGAGGATGCCGGTCACCGTCCCGAAGAACGTCGGTCAGCTTCCTGTGTATTACAATTACAAGCCGACTGCCCACTTAGTGAAGTATCTCGATACGGAGTCGTCGCCGGCTTATTGGTTTGGTTACGGGCTGTCGTACACCACTTTTAAAGTATCCGAGTTCGCAGCTATGATAAACGGTACGGTGGCGACGGAATTCAAGGATGGGGATACGATTACGTTTTCGGCTACAGTCAGGAATAATGGTACTGTAGATGGGAGCCATGTAGCTCAAGTATATGTCCTCTCGCGCGTTTCGTCCATCGTGCAGCCTGTTAAGCAGCTTGTCACCTTCCAACGTGTAGACATATCGGCCGGCGAGGAAATTACTGTATCGATGGAGTTGGATACGAGTAGGTATCTAACCATCCTCAACAGGAAAAACGAATGGGAACTGGAGAAAGGATCGTATACGTTTGCGCTTTTGAACCATGGCGGTGACACGGATACAGCGACGAACGTCACTTTGAAATGTGTCTAAAAATCGGGGGCGTACTAAGAGAAAATAATTAGATGTAGATGCAGCAATCGTTAACAAGTTGAAGGTCAACGAATATGCGTTAGCTTCCTAGTAATTTGAATAATAATTTCTAACAATTTTGTGATTCTTTACTTGCTAAAAGACAAACATTTGATGTGGCATGCTCGTGAATATTTTAACGGTTGCCGTGAAGCTAGGCTGCCGCCTAGTGAATTTTGTAGTTAAGGCAACAAACTTTTTCCTTCTCGTACTCTTCATACAACATCGCCATGGTTGTCGTCGCTTCCAACTGTTTGAATTTATCAACCAAATTCTGAAGCAAACCAGTAAGGTCAAACGTCAAATTAATTGCCGAAATTTTACTCACATATTATAATAGGACCACCGTGTTCACCTTGGGCAAAATTCGTTTGCGGTTAAGACGAACCTACATTGAAGCATCAACTTCAGGTGGAAGGAAACACGTCGACACACATCCAATTTGACTCACGTCTTCGTCAAACCTTCAAGATGAGGGAGCGCAGAAAGTCGAACAAGAACGTGGACATGACGTCCCCGTCCACTGCGACTCCTCCTACCGACGTATCCCCATCCACAAAGGCTGTGACAACACCGCGAGGCGGCTCTGCCAAGGACATATCGTCTAGTCCTTTAAACCTACGAATCACAAGTTCCCAAGGACGACCTCTATTCCCCAACTTGCCGAAGCACCCGAAGATGCCTGACACCGAGGGCAAGAAAACAGCAGGCTTCGTCAAACCTGAAGATGACAAGAAGGATTACAAGTGGAACAGTATGGCAGAGATGATCAGTGCGCACGTGGAAGAGTTGAAGGAGAGACCGCCTCTAGGCACGCCCAAGGAGGGGACAAAGCAGGGTGACAAAGTCGATGGAGAATCTCAGCAGACATTGCAGAGCAAGGGAAAGGGAAAAGAGAAGGCAATCTGACCTATGAAGTCGATGGGATTGAAGAAAGGAAATGCTATGCCATGCTTTCCAAGATGTCACTATACGTCTTCGGACAATAAGGTTGAAGATAGCATGAGAGGGTAAAGTCCGTCGCTTTAATTAAAAAGGGGTTGGAGCAGAGTTCTAGTATTGCATCATAAGGCCAGTAAACCGTATAAAGTGGATATCCAATCCATATTCCTCAAGCATGTAACCGCCTAACCTTGAGAGCAACCCCTCCGAAGGAAGGGACCCTAGGGTAACACAACCATCCACCGCCCCACCTGGTGGAACACTACGCTGTACTATTAGGAAGGTTGATTCAGATCCATTTACCTTTGTTACCTTTATTACCCTAAGGGTAAGGCTCTAGGCTAAAATCCGCGCCTTTTAAACTATTTTAATCCTGCGCGTGCCGCGGGAAACAACATTCTAAGCAAAAACAATGACCGAGATAACTTCGGATTCATGTCCACCTCTTCGCCCCGTCCCTCGCCCGAAGCTTCCGATATAACATGTATCGCACCGGAGCCGTTCGAACCCGTACCGCTCATTGCCGACATCTTACGCACCGGCTATTGCGTCCCGGGCTCCGTGTTCTTGGTTGAGGGCGTCGACTCCCTTCACACCTCGAAATCTAAGAGATGGCGCGCCGTGCGCTTGATGCTGGGAGATGGAGAGCTATGCATACAGGCCCTGCTGTCGGCTGAGATGCATAGGTACGTAGATCAGGGTGAGGTCGCATTCGGATCTTATGTTAAGCTGGAACGGTTCCGAATCGAGTGGAAGAACGCTTCTAGTGAAGATGGGGAGAATCCATCTACGGCCAAAGGAAAGGGGAAGGGGCGCGACGATCGTGACCTAGGAGATAAGATGGTCTATTTGGTAGTTGAGGACCTTGCTCTAGTCGGATGGAACAACACCCTTATCGACGCAACAGACGTTGTGGACACCGACGTAGGCGTCGACTCCCCATCTGAATCTCAGGAAAAGCCCGAGGCCATACCTCAATCATCCAACGCAGCCAACCCATCACCACCAAACCACGGCGCATTATCCTTCGACAGCGGCATCGGCATCCCGCAAGAAATCATCGACGCAGACGACGACTTCGAAGTGATAGCCGACGCCTCTTCCAAAGCAACGCAAAACAGACAGGACATCGCCAGCCGCTCCAAGGACCAAACACCACCACCACCACCACCAGCAACAGCGAGCTCCCTACCCTGGTCGAGCAAGGACCCAGACAAGCCGATGAAACTAACAAAGCTGCGCGCGATCCCCAACCTGCCGTACAAGCAGAACTGGAGCGTCAACGTGCTAGCCGTCGTGTCGGCGCTCTCCGACATCGAGCCCTCGGGCCTGCCCCCCTACACGCAGCGGCAGGCGCGGCTCGCCGACCCGTCCACCGACAAGCACGTCCTGCTCACCGTCTTCCTCGACCCGGACCGGTTCGCGCCGCAGGTCGGCAGCGTCGTGCTGCTGCTCGGCGTCAAGAACCACCGCTTCGACGGCGGCAGCCTCAAGAAGTACGCGAGCGACCGCCCGCCCGACGGCCGGGCGTGGTGGTACGAGAACCCGGGCCAGCTTGGCTGGTGCGATGTTGAGGGGTTGAGGAGGTGGTGGGAAGGGTGTCAGTTGCCTTGATTGATGAGGCTGGTGACAGTTATGTCAGATAGGCGCATATCGAGTGTTAGGTCAACGGCGACCTTGGAGCATAGCTAATCATTAGGTAAAGTGCTATTCATTATTATCACATATGGAATAGTAATACAATGTGTACAGTGGCTCAGTCGGTTAACCGCTCACAGCCCACGACATTGGGTCCCACCCAATTTGCCTTCTTTATTAAAGTACATTAATAGGCCTATATGCTTTTTACTGAGGCAATTGCGCATGCCGAATGTAGAATACGATGGCTTCAAGTCTAGGAGACGCCGGTGTTGCAATATGACTCGTAATGCTTCACCAGTACTACAACTTGTAGTTTACTTCGCCCCCTATTTTCATCATATGGGAGAGAAGCGTCGGCGGCCACCGCACTTCCACACATTTTAATTTGCCTCCGACCTATGATTCCGCGGTACAAATCCTCTCACTGAACTTGTACGCATTGACTAGGTATATTTAGTAGGTAGATCATGCGTAATGAATATTAAGTCAAACGTGTCACTGTACTCCAGATAGCCCATAAACGTGACTACATACCTAATGATACTAGGCAACGTTTAACTTACCTTACGAGCAGAGCCTCTTATGGACATAGTAGACCGAATTTGCGAACACGAGTGCTTTACGTATTATACAAGGCTCCTTTCTGTTGGTCAGCTGTGATGTCGTCTTTTCCCAGCTAATGCCAACCAATCTTGAAACTTCGTTCTCTCACATTGGAAGTTTGCTACTCAACATGGCTCCCCTAAATCAAGATCCACATTATCAACATGATAACTTATTCCAAGCACAAATGAACAAGCCTCTCATCCCTCCCACCTCGGAACTTAAGCTGGCGGACCTATGTGCCAAATGCTCTGGAGCTCTGTTCCACGACGGCCACGGAGGATTCAAGGAGAAATTAGATGACAACCAGTCGCCACGACTTCTATTCCCTGTTAAGAGTTATCACGAAAACTATCGCAAAATCTGGACAGATTCCATCCCGAGTCTTCCACGAATTGAGAAATCTGCCCTCGGAGGTTGTGATTTTTGTTTGTTCCTACATAATAGCATATTATCTCGTGATGTGGATAATATGCTAGTACAGTCTATTGGGAAGAAACAAGCGGAATTGGGTACACAGAAAATATCGATATCCGTCGCGTACTGCTGGTCAAGTGGTTCTCCAGATATATATCGTGATCTATATGGCGGAGATACCGTGGAAAAGGAGGTCTGCTCTAGGCAGGACATATTTTCAGCTGAAGATGATGAATGTGAGGAATACCACCTAGACGATGCCGAATATCTCCCAACAGAAGGTGAGAACTTAGGCAAAGGGCACGATTCTGTGGAGACAGAAACCGGCATAAAGCTAGATGACGGTCAGCTGGAGGGACTACTCATCCGACTGGAGTCTCGAGCCACCGGTGAATACATACCACCGTTCTATCTCTGTTGCTATGCTACACAAACGCCTGGTAGTGAGGTTGCCGGCAACTGGCTTGGTCTAGCTCTACCGTCGAGTCAGGATTACTCGGAGCCGCATAGAGCGGAGTGGATGAAACAAGCTCTCCGAAAGTGTGAAGCACATAACCATGAGCTGACCGACGAACATTTCGCTCCCGAACGGCTCATTGATGTGTCATCTCCAAAACCGAGGCTAGTCCTCCGTGGCAAATATCAAATGTCACAGACCAACCCCTACGTCCCGACGTACGCCGCTCTGAGTTATTGCTGGGGTCCACCAGAAGATGCCAGGTTGCAGTTGACTACGACAAAGGAAACTTTTGAGAAGAGGCGAAGGGGTATTGAAAATCATGAGATGACACAAGTCCTCAAAGATGCGGTCTTCATAGCACGGGAACTAGGAATGCCTTATCTTTGGATCGACGCACTTTGTATCACACAAGGTGACACTGGTGACTGGGAGAAGCAATCTGTTGATATGTCAAAGATCTATGGAAACCCAAAGGTCACTCTTTGTGCAGCATCTTCCATGTCTTGCCGAGAAAGCTTCCTGCGCCAGCGAGGCAGTCGAATCCGTATGCCATTTCGTTCGACTCTCCAGCCGAGTATAACAGGTTCATTTGATGTGCAGTTCAAGTACGTCCGGATGGCTACCAACGGGTCCCGAATATTCTCACATCGTGGGATGGACGTTTTCGACCTCGATTTGTCGCAGGCAAATTGGTCGGGTCGTGGCTGGGTATTCCAGGAGAGGTTTTCCTCTAGGTGCAAACTTTCGTTCGGAAATGCCTTCATCCATTATCTATGTGACAAGGGCAGTCAAAGGATGGCCAAGTCATTGATCGATGGCCCATGGTTTATGAGTCTATCGGCTACTCTTGATGGGGACTCCGAAGAGCTCTATCACTCGTAGCGTTCTAAGGTCCTACGACGATACGCACGCTTCAACGTTCATTCCTTTACCAATCACACAGACTTGCTACCTGCATTATCAGGGTTAGCACGATGTTTTATTCAACGGCTACAAGATGACTTTCTGGCTGGGTTCTGGAGAAAGGATCTTCTAAGAAGCTTGCTGTGGTTCGTGCGATACTATGTTGATGGTGGCTGTGGGGGGGGGGGGGGGGGGGGGGGGGGGGGGGGGGGGGGGGGGGGGCGGGGCGGGCGGGGGGGGGGGGGGGGGGGGGGGCGGGGGGGGGCGGGGGGGGGGGGGGGGGGGGGGGGGGGCC